AAAATCTAAAATTATCAAAAATTATCAAAAATTCAAAAATCCGAATTTCTTAAAATTCAACATTTTTTCCTCTCTTTTATAGGATTTAGCTTCATTATTTTTGTGCTTTTGGAAAATACTTTACTTATTAAATTGTCTCGACTCTTTGGTAAAAAATGTGAAATTATCGAAAATTATCAAAAATTCAAAAATCCGAATTTCTTAAAATTCAACATTTTTTCTTCTCTCTTATGGGATTTAGCTTCATTATTTTTGTGCTTTTGGAAAATACTTTACTTATTAAATTGTCTCGACTCTTTGGTAAAAAATCTAAAATTATCAAAAATTCGAAAAAATTCAAAAATCCGATTTTCTTAAAACTCAACATTTTTTCTTCTCTTTTATGGGATTTAGCTTCATTATTTTTGTGCTTTTGGAAAATACTTTACTTATTAAATTGTCTCGACTCTTTGGTAAAAAATCTAAAATTATCAAAAATTAGAAAAAATTCAAAAATCCGATTTTCTTAAAATTCAACATTTTTTCTTCTCTTTTATGGGATTTAGCTTCATTATTTTTGTGCTTTTGGAAAATACTTTACTTATTAAATTGTCTCGACTCTTTGGTAAAAAATCTAAAATTATCAAAAATTCGAAAAAATTCAAAAATTTGATTTTCTTAAAATTCAACATTTTTTCTTCTCTTTTATGAGATTTAGCTTCATTATTTTTGTGCTTTTGGAAAATACTTTACTTATTAAATTGTCTCGACTCTTTGGTAAAAAATCTAAAATTATCAAAAATTCGAAAAAATTCAAAAATCCGATTTTCTTAAAATTTAACATTTTTTCTTCTCTTTTATGGGATTTAGCTTTATTATTTTTGTGCCTTTAGAAAATACTTTACTTATTAAATTGTCTCGACTCTTTGGTACAAAATGTGAAATTATCGAAAATTATCAAAAATTCAAAAATCCGATTTTCTTAAAATTCAACATATTTTCTTCTCTTTTACGGGATTTAGCTTCATTATTTTTGTGCTTTTGGAAAATACTTTACTTATTAAATTGTCTCGACTCTTTGGTAAAAAATCTAAAATTATCAAAAATTCGAAAAAATTCAAAAATCCGATTTTCTTAAAATTCAACATTTTTTCTTCTCTTTTATGGGATTTAGCTTCATTATTTTTGTGCTTTTGGAAAATACTTTATATATTTAATAGTCTCGACTCTTTGGTAAAAAATCTAAAATTATCAAAATTTCGAAAAATTTCAAAAATCCGATTTTCTTAAAATTCAACATTTTTTCTTCTCTTTTATGGGATTTAGCTTCATTATTTTTGTGCTTTTGGAAAATACTTTATATATTTAATAGTCTCGACTCTTTGGTAAAAAATCTAAAATTATCAAAAATTCGAAAAATTTCAAAAATCCGTTTTTCTTAAAATTCAACATTTTTTCTTCTTTTTTATGGGATTTAGCTTCATTATTTTTGTGCTTTTGGAAAATACTTTACTTATTAAATTGTCTCGACTCTTTGGTAAAAAATCTAAAATTATCAAAAATTCGAAAAAATTCAAAAATCCGATTTTCTTAAAACTCAACATTTTTTCTTCTCTTTTATGGGATTTAGCTTCATTATTTTTGTGCTTTTGGAAAATACTTTACTTATTAAATTGTCTCGACTCTTTAGTAAAAAATCTAAAATTATCAAAAATTATCAAAAATTCAAAAATCCGAATTTCTTAAAATTCAACATTTTTTCCTCTCTTTTATAGAATTTAGCTTCGTTATTTTTGTGCTTTTGGAAAATACTTTACTTATTTAATAGTCTCGAATCTTTGGTAAAAAATCAAAAATTATCAAAAATTCGAAAAAATTCAAAAATCCGATTTTCTTAAAATTCAACATTTTTTCTTCCCTTTTATGGGATTTAGCTTCATTATTTTTGTGCTTTTGGAAAATACTTTACTTATTAAATTGTCTCGACTCTTTGGTAAAAAATCTAAAATTATCAAAAATTCGAAAAAATTCAAAAATCCGATTTTCTTAAAATTTAACATTTTTTCTTCTCTTTTATGGGATTTAGCTTTATTATTTTTGTGCCTTTAGAAAATACTTTACTTATTAAATTGTCTCGACTCTTTGGTACAAAATGTGAAATTATCGAAAATTATCAAAAATTCAAAAATCCGATTTTCTTAAAATTCAACATATTTTCTTCTCTTTTACGGGATTTAGCTTCATTATTTTTGTGCTTTTGGAAAATACTTTACTTATTAAATTGTCTCGACTCTTTGGTAAAAAATCTAAAATTATCAAAAATTCGAAAAAATTCAAAAATCCGATTTTCTTAAAATTCAACATTTTTTCTTTTCTTTTATGGGATTTAGCTTCATTATTTTTGTGCTTTTGGAAAATACTTTATATATTTAATAGTCTCGACTCTTTGGTAAAAAATCTAAAATTATCAAAAATTCGAAAAATTTCAAAAATCCGATTTTCTTAAAATTCAACATTTTTTCTTCTCTTTTATGGGATTTAGCTTCATTATTTTTGTGCTTTTGGAAAATACTTTATATATTTAATAGTCTCGACTCTTTGGTAAAAAATCTAAAATTATCAAAAATTCGAAAAATTTCAAAAATCCGTTTTTCTTAAAATTCAACATTTTTTCTTCTTTTTTATGGGATTTAGCTTCATTATTTTTGTGCTTTTGGAAAATACTTTACTTATTAAATTGTCTCGACTCTTTGGTAAAAAATCTAAAATTATCAAAAATTCGAAAAAATTCAAAAATCCGATTTTCTTAAAACTCAACATTTTTTCTTCTCTTTTATGGGATTTAGCTTCATTATTTTTGTGCTTTTGGAAAATACTTTACTTATTAAATTGTCTCGACTCTTTAGTAAAAAATCTAAAATTATCAAAAATTATCAAAAATTCAAAAATCCGAATTTCTTAAAATTCAACATTTTTTCCTCTCTTTTATAGAATTTAGCTTCGTTATTTTTGTGCTTTTGGAAAATACTTTACTTATTTAATAGTCTCGAATCTTTGGTAAAAAATCAAAAATTATCAAAAATTCGAAAAAATTCAAAAATCCGATTTTCTTAAAATTCAACATTTTTTCTTCTCTTTTATGGGATTTAGCTTCATTATTTTTGTGCTTTTAAAAAATACTTTACTTATTAAATTGTCTCGACTCTTTAGTAAAAAATCTAAAATTATCAAAAATTCGAAAAAATTCAAAAATCCGTTTTTCTTAAAATTCAACATTTTTTCTTCTTTTTTATGGGATTTAGCTTCATTATTTTTGTGCTTTTGGAAAATACTTTACTTATTAAATTGTCTCGACTCTTTGGAAAAAAATAAAAAATTATTAAAAATTATCAAAAATCCGAAAAATTGAATTTCTTAAAATTCAACATTTTTTTTCTCTTTTATACCATTTAGCTTTATTATTATTTGAATTTTTATTCAAGAGAAAAAATGGAAAACTGAAAAAATTTAGAATTTTTTAAAAATTACAGGCCTTTTCCATGATTTCCCTGATTTCCAGAAGCCTTTTAAAAATTCCTTACCATTTCCATGATTTCCATGATTTCCAGATTCTGTAGGAACCCTGCTTTTGTCTGACTTTCTTGTAAATTATTGAATTCAGTGATTTCTGGGGTGAATTTGGTTAAGTTGTAAATTGATTAATTTCTATTTGAATTCGTTTTTTTTGAATGTAGAAAATGTGATGTTAATTTAATTCTTTTTTCGTTATGCACGGCAAAAAATATTTAGCTGGATGATTTACAGATTTCACTTTAGTAGCGAAATTATTTAGTGCTTCAATTAATACTTTCGTTATTCTCGAGAAACTTATCGCTATTTCAAGTAAAACTTTTTTCAGTGTGTAATAATTATTATTTCTTTAAAAAGTATTTGATTTAAAATTGCTTTATAAAATAAGCAATGCAAAAGATGACCCAGATACTAATTGTAATTGTTCTAACCATAGTTTAAGTCTAGTAATGTAAATTCTATTTAAATTGAGACCATTGAGTGAAATTATTTGAACTTTAGTTAGTTAAATCTCTTTGTTAGGTTATAATAATTATTTCTTTAAAATTTTTTAAATTGTTTAAAATAAGCAGCCCCATATAACATTCCCGCGCGCTTGAGCGCGGATAGTTTGGCTAGTTATATTAAAATAATTGAAATCCTGTGAAGAATTTTATTAATTTATGAAAGTAACTGAATTCTTCCAAGGAATTTTTTCAAATTTTTTTTTAAATAATTGAAATAATGTAAAGAATCTTATTTATGAAAATAATTAAATTCCGGCAACGAATTTTTTCAAATTTTTTTTTAAATAATTGAATTCATGTGAAAAATTTTATTACTTATAAAAATAATTGAATTCCTGCAACGAATTTTATAATAATTTTTTTTGTAAATAATTTAAGTTTTTTTGAAATATTTTATGGAAATTTAAATTTTTGTAAAACATGAAGATATCAATTACTCCGAGTTTTCGACTCGGAGTGATTGATGTCTTCATGTTTTATAATAATATTTTTATAAGTTGTTGAATTTTAAAAATGTTTGAATTTGAATGTTTTGAAGAATTTTAATTCCTGTAGAAAAATAATAATTAAATACTTATTTAAAAATTTAGTTATTGATGTTTGCGAATAATTTTACAATTTAAGAAATTCGTAAGTAAATGTAATAGAATATTTTTTTTATCTGATAATTTTTAAAGTTAATCAGAATATTCTTTAGGGCCAGGGGAAAAGTCAAAATTTTGTCTGTAAATCAGGGAAAACAAAATTAATTTTTTCTGGTAACTCTGATTTTATATTTGGACCTAGAATTTTTCATAATGGTCTGGAAAACTTGAAACTTTGAAACCGTAGCAACCTTGCTCACTGACACAATTCTATTTCTTTTTAAAATTTTTGATTTTTGTATTTTACTAGAAAATATCTACTATTTTGAAAAATTAAATTAATATTTTCTTTTTTCCCCAGGTGAGTTACTTCGGACTGACGCATCTACCTGGACTTCTAGACGTTCTATTAGAGCATTTTTCACGCTCGCTCTCTGACATGTTCGAATCGTCAACGGCAGACGAGGAGCGATACTGGGGTCAGACAGTGGACGGCCCCGAAGTTGATCTTGGCTCAGTGGTTCGGCCCATTGACCCAGAGGATCGTACCAAACTACTCTCGACCTCCAACTACACCTTCCTCTCCAGACGCGGTCGTCCAGTGAAAATGGTGCCCCGGGACGACGAGATATTCGTCCTGGACAGCCGAAGATCCTGGGACCATCAAGACTGCGAGGTGGAAACGGAGCCCTGGCAAGTGGAGAGCAACACCACCAAGTACATCGTCACCTGCTTTCAGTCCGAGACCGGCACTGTACCATTCGCCCGGCACTTGCGAGACGAGAAGCCGCCCCTTCTGCAGAAGGAGGTCGAGAGCATCGACTCGAAGGACGAGATAAAAGTGTCCGAGTCCTCGACCGACAACTCCGAGTCACATCGAAAAACCGAGCAAGTCAGTGACAAGCCAAAGGACACCGGCGAGCGCAAGCAGGAGAAGAAGAAAAAGACGAAATCCATCAGCGACGTTCTTTCCAGGATCAAGAAGGAGCCCGTCGAAATGAATGATCTCACGCGGGAGCTCTTCGAGAAGAAGAACGACAGTTCAAGGAAAGAGTGCGAGGTTGACTCGAGTAAAGCCAACAACAACGTCGGGGAGCATTTTGTCGAGTTGCCGAAAGACGAGGAGGAGTCACTTCCGAATCAAAACGGCCTCAGCGATTCGACGAGCACCCTGGACTCGGAGAAGCGGGAAATCAAGGTCGAGGCCGACGAGGAGGTTAGCGAAGAAAAAGAGGGACCAAGATTGAAGATTAAAGACCCGGCCGGCACGCTGAAGAGGCGGCGAATAAGCGACTACGAGGACGAGAGCTACTCGAGAGACGAGGCGAGTCTCTACCTCGTCACCGAGACGCAGAACAGCCTCGCCCAGCGCTGCGTCTGCCTCTCGACGATCCTCAGGAACATGACCTTCATACCGGGCAACGAGGGCGAGTTCGCCAAGAACGTCACGTTCCTCAGCCTCCTCGGCAAGCTGCTGCTGCTGCACCACGAGCACCCGGTGCGGACACTCAAGACCCGCAACTACGACCGCGAGGAGGACGCCGACTTTGCCGACTCGTGCAGCAGCCTCCAGGGCGAAAGCGAGTGGTGGTGGAACTTCCTGCACCACATCAGGGAGAACGTGCTGGTGATGTCGGCGAACATTGCCGGCCACTTGGATCTCAGTCAGCATCCGGAGGAGATATCGCGGCCGGTGCTCGACGGCCTGCTGCACTGGGCCGTGTGTCCGGCGGCGCACGGCCAGGACCCCTTCCCAACGGTGAGCCTCAACTCGTCCCTCTCGCCGCAGAGGCTCGCGCTCGAGGCCCTCTGCAAGCTCTGCGTCACCGAGAGCAACGTCGACCTCGTCGTGGCGACGCCGCCTTACTCGCGACTCCAGAGACTCTGCTCGGTCCTCACGCGCCTCCTCTGCCGCAGTGAAGAACAATGCCTGCGGGAGTTTAGTGTGAACCTTTTGTATTTCCTGTCGGCGGCCGACAGCGGCGTGGCGCGCAGCATCGCCCTGCAGACGCCGTGCGTCGCCCTCCTCGTGGCGTTCATCGAGCAGGCGGAGAACAGCGCGCTGCAGGTCGCCAACCAGCACGGCCTGCCGGCGCTGCGCGACAACCCCGAGTCGATGGGCACCAGCCTCGACATGCTGCGCCGCGCCGCCGGCACGCTCCTCAACCTCGCGAGGCACCCCGACAATCGGACTTTATTGCTGCAGCACGAGTCGCGAATGCTCGCGCTCGTCATGAGCCAAATCCTCGATCAACAAGTGGCGGCTATAGTAGCGCGAGTTCTTTTCCAGTGCTCGAGGAGCGGTGTCACGTCGTAACTCGAGCGTTACACGCAGCCCCGTTTTATTTTCTTCGTAGAGAAAAAACAGACTATTCGTTTTTGAACATTCAAAAAAAAAAAAAAACTGTGACGCGATTGTAGTTTTATATATAAACAAACAAGTATAAGGAAATAAAAAAAAATAAAATAAATGCTAATTATCGGTGTTAGCGCCATTGGTATACCTTTCAATTTGTGAATTGGAATAATATCGATAGTGTAATGTAAGATATTCAATAGTCGAGAAATATATGAATGGGAGATAGCTAAAAAATGAGAGAATATTGCAGAGTGTTAGATTAGAAAAGAGGGTGGGGGGGGAGAACGGGAAAAAAACTAAAGGATAGGAAAATTTAGAGTGAAGGGGGGAATGTTGAGAATTTGAGAGAGAAAAAAGATTACGAAACAAGAGAGTTGAGAAAGTGTCTGAGAGAACAAAAAAAGAGTGAATGAATAATTCCGAAAAAACAGCAGCTGCATAATAATATATAAAAAAAAGCCACCAATAAAAAAAAAATGCAACTCGCGTCGTGCGATGTGTTATATCGTGGATTACGATTATATATATAAATATATAATAATATAATGCAAATTTTTATATTTGCATGTTTTTGTGCTGTAATTAGCGAGTAATTAAGGTATTTTGTAGATAACACACACTTCCATTGAATCTTATTCGGTTCGTGTCATCAAAAATTGTCTGATGGCACTCCAAATATTATGCGTGGATTAGACCCACAAGTCTCGACATTTAACAAACAAAAAACAGGCAGTAAAATAAAAATTTTTGATGCGATTGATAAGAAAACGTACAAGTGTGAAAGAAATTGAATGAATTTTTTTAAAAACAAATTTGTTACGTGTGATACGTAAATTTGGCCGGGTGTGGGGGAAGGGAGGGAGGGAAACGGAAAAGTAAGGTGTGCGTGGGATTTTTTTTTTGTGGTGTAACGGGGAATTGGGGGACAGGGTCTACCAGACACTAGCTTAAGCGAACTAACGAGTAGTCATTCGCTTGCACTTTAGCAAAAGAATGAAATTCTTCCGTTCTTTATACATATGCATATATTTTATTTTATTTAATATAAAAAAAAACAAAATGATGAAAGAAGGCGATGATTTTTAAAGAAAAAAAAACCCTCTCGTGCGTTAAATACGAGAAAAAAAAGTGGAATAGCGATGATAATTTTGTTTTATAATAATAATATTGCAAATAAAAGGAGCGTCTCGATGTGTAAAAAGTGGACTAATTAGAAATTCCGAGACAAGGGCAAAAGTGCTAAATTTTGAACTCCTGATTAAGATTAATAAAAAAAAAATTATCATCGATTGTACAAACGACGCTAATTTGTAAAAAAAAATAATGATTATGATAATGATGACGATGAATTATGAGAAAGAAAATCATGATTTGATTTTCGAGTATAGGAAAAAAAAAGAGAACGGTTTACGGACGGTCCTTATTAATAATTCGACTTTGGTCGAAGAAAAAAATTTAAAAAAAAAAACTTCTCTCGAAGAAGTGTATTTGAACTATAAGGATGATAAAGAGCACTTCCCTTGAATCCGACATCTCCCCCCAACCCCGAAATATCCTACTCTATAGACATCTTAATACGTGTAGCTCTTAAATTATTTACTTTAGTTCGAGTGAAGATGCCTGTAAGTGTAATTTACTAAGACTTTTTGTAAATAAATTATGAAATAAACTAGACGTACTTTATCCAGTGATCTGCAATCTAACTTCAGAAAAAAAAGCGAATAAATTACGCAATTGTAGGAAGATTTATCGTCTCTCCTTTGCATCGTCTCTTAATAAGATTTATTGTAGAGAATTAGTTGAAATATACATCAATCTGACATAGTTGAGTTTTTTAACATTTTATGAATCATCACGAGGACAAGTACTGCTCTCCATGTTTAGGATCATGGCAATGTTTATCTTACGACAGAGCCACTCCAATATTGCGTTTTCCTTACTTTCCAAGTACCAATCGACCACTGATAACTTCTCGTCCTGGAATTTTCAGAAACAAAAAAAAGCGACATTACTTTCTTTTCTTTTCATCAAAATGACGATTTTTGTTGATCAGTTTCTTTTGTAATTGTTAATAGCGTTTATTATTTCGTTTACTGATTTTTTGTTTCAACTGGTTGTTGAATTCAATTGTAAAATTAAATTGATTTTGTTGCAATTTTCTACTTTAGGGAAACATTGTAATAAGTGTAAATTTTTATTATAAAATATGATTCTACTTCGATATTAATTAATATTGATTCAACGTGTAATATATATAAATATATATTATATATCAGTAATGATTAATTAATATTAATTATTTTAGTATAATTCATATTAAAATTTCGATTACTACTAGGAAATAGTATTTGAGAATGTTTGGCGATTATGTTTCGCTACTAATTAAAATTGACATTTTTGAATTACGTGCGTTGAAAACTTTTTTATAATTTACTAAGAATAGTATTGTTAATTTAATAGAGTAAGATTTTATAGAAATTACAAAGATTAGAAAAATAATGGAAATTTTTATTACGCTGAGTATTTTCAGTAATTCGGAAATTATTTCTATTTTCGAATATTATTTTTATTTTTATTTATTTGTACATTCATTTCCCGTTTTAACTTTTTCTGAACAACAAAAAAATTCTCTTTTCAACTTTTTACGACTTCTGTTAATAAAATGAGACTTTTTCGATTTTTTTTTATATATTGCAACAAAATACCAGTTTTATTGTAAAAAATGCAATTTTCATAATGTGAAAAATAACTAGTGTCAAAAATTGTCCTCTAAAATGTCTTATTTTTTTACAAGCTTAAAAAATCCAAGTCCTACAAAGTGAAATTACCATTAATTAGAATTAATTTAAAAATTTAGGTTTAATTATTTTTTAAAACTTATTTTTAAGTTGGACTTGCTTTTACATTTTATAAATTTCAAAAATAAAAGAGTAGAGGAAAAATATCAAATTTCTAGAAATGATAAAAAAGTTTTGACTTTTAGTGTCTTCTGTAAATAATAAAAACTTTGAAATTGAATTTTATTTACTTTAAATACTCTAAATAAAAGAGTTACAGTTTACAATTTTTACAAAAAAGAAATTGAATTTTTGTATAATTAAATAATTGAATTCTAGAAGAAGCTTCTAAAAATTATTTAAAAAAATAATTGAATTTAGAAAAGAATTTTTGTTAAAAATTCTTGAAAATAATTGACAATTGAAAGAGAAGTTATGGTAGAAATTAGAAAAAGTTAAATTTCGAAAGATCAAAATTATTCCTACGACCAAAGAAAATATTAAAGGATTCATTTTCACTAATTTCTAATTCAAAAGATCTCTGAAATTGAAATTTTTGAAAATTTGCATAATTTTTATTAAAAATTCTGAAAACTAAGTCTTTTTAAATATATTACTTCAAAATTTTTTTTAAATTAGTTGAATTTTTGAATATATTTCATTGAAAAATTTTCCAATAATGGAAATTTTATAAAATTGTTTCAATAAAATTTTATTAACAAATGAATTTCGATGGTATTTTAAGTGAACTTTCTTTTCTTCGAATAATTCAATTTTCAAAAATCTTTCACAAAATGATTCCAAATAATTGATTTTGAGAAGAGTTTTTTTATTTAAAAATTCTAGAAGATTTTCTAAATTTAAAATTCTAAATTAAAAATTCTAGAAGAATTTTGCAGAATTTACAGGAATACCTAATATTTAGAAATATGTCAATAAATTTCAGAAGATTTAAAATTAAAAATTTTCTAAAATTTCAATTCATATGGAAGTTTAATAACATTTAAATATTTATTTTAAAAGATTGTTAAACTTTAGAAAAATTTTAGTAAATAGTAAGTATTTAGAATTGAAGTTATATTCGGAATAAGGGAAAAAGTTAACAGTTTTTCCTCAAATCAGGGAAAAGTCAGAAAAATAGAAAACCAAAATTTTGTGATAATCCTGAATTAATGTGTTTTTTGAATTTTTTTTGTACTTTGAATCGACTACCGAAAACGAATTTCTTTCGTCTTAAAGTAAATCTAAGGCCTGAATTTCGGCACTAACTGAAATTAACATTTATGAATTACGTGTTAAAATTTTTGTTTAATTTACTAAGAATAGTTTTTTACTTCAACAGAATAAATCAGTAAATAAATCATTATTGATTTTATCAAAATTGCAAATAGACTAGAAATAAAATGGAAAGTTTAATTTCGCTCTTGCAAAATATTTCTATTTTTAAATATTAATTTCAATGTTTTAATTTATTTCCCAAAGAAAACATTGTTCTTCATGATTAATAAAAGATACGTATATTTATAAAGCTAAAAGTGTTAAAAAAGGATTATTTTAATATTTTACTTTTTACAAGTCCAAAATTTAGTTTTCTGTTGTTTGGTTTTTGTAAAAATAACAGCTTTTTATTAAATAACAAAAACATGACTAAAAGTCTTATTTCTTTTACGAATGCAATTAATTTTAAAATTGAATTTTTTTATTCAAAGTACAAAAGAAAGTTTTTGTCATTTATTCATTTTTCTGTTTAATATTTTTTCTTTTATGTTTTTTTCTCATTTCTTGGTTTTCTATTATTTAATGCATGAATTACATATTATTGTCGCATATTTTGTTTAGAAAATAAACTAATAAAATGACAATAATTTCTCCTAAAGGCGACAAGAGAGAATTTTTTGCATGTAGCGTTTTACTTCGATTTTTAATGTTTTATGACTGTTTTATTTTTTTACTAAAAAATATTAATATCAACTGATTAGTAATTAATTTTCTCATTACCGGATACTTTTATATGTAATTTGATTAATTTACATTTTTTTTCCTTGTGGATACCTATTATAATATAATTTGAAATCAATTTTTCTAATTTAAATATTTGATTTATTATCAAGTTAATTAGTATATTTAATTATTTATTTATTAATAGATCAACTTTAAAATATTGTTTCCATTTTTTGTGAAAAATGTTTATTTTTATGATAATCTTCTAATTTTTATTTTTAACGTTTCTAAATTGAATAAAATTATTTTTTTCAAACAATTTATCGAAACAATTTTTAGTAAAGGCAAATTGAAATAAATTGAAATAACTGATGTAATATCGTTGAAAAATATTTACCTTATTGATGCGGAGAACAATTTTATTACCCAGTACAACAGGTGGCTCGCAAAGTTGATTGATATCAATGCTCCATTCAATAGTCCAAGGGTCTCCTACACTTCTGTGTTCAATTAGAAATATCCTCCTGGTTTAAAAAAAGAACGTAGGAAATTGTTGAGAATTTTAGACAAAACGAAATGGATTTTAAATATAAAGGTAAGATATTCAATATTATTTACATTCAAAGACTGATTTTATTTTTTTTTTCGTTTGTGCATATAATTTTTGATTAGTTTTAGAGATAAATACCTGAATGTTACAAGAGCAACGTGTTTTCCATCTTGAGAAAGTGCCGAGTGTGCCCAGTATGAATCTTTGTGAGAGTAACAGCTTTTATTTATAACATTCAATAAGTGCAATCCCTTCGCTTTGTGATATGAGTAGAGTTCCACACCCTGAAACGGAAAATTAAATTCTAAAATAAAAGTTTTATTTTTTTCTTTTACAATCTTTAATAATTTGAGATTTTATTTTTTATGAACGAAAAATATAACTGAAAAATTACATTTTTTTGAGGAGGAACAATTTTTTCAAATTTTGTTTTTTGTATCATATTTTTCTTATTTTTATAAAAAATAAAGAAGGTAGATAATTTTTATAAAAAGAAATATTAATAATTTTTTCGACGTTTTAAGTTAGTTGTCTGCTTTTTTGATTCCTAGTTTTTTAATAATTTTTCCTTTTAGATATTTTCAATTTTTAAATTAATCTTATTGGAAATAATTGAATTCTTGCGAAGAATTATATTAAAATTTTTGGAAATCCTAATTAAATTCTTTTGAAGAATTTCTTTAAGTTTTTTGAAAAAAATGTAGTTTTTTTTAATAATTTTAATTGAAAAATTTGAAAATAATTGATTTCCTTTGAAGAATTTCATTATTTATGAAAATTATTGAATTTTTGCTAAGAATTTTATTAAAATTTTTTATAATCCTAATTAAATTCTTTTGAAGAATTTTTTCAAGTTTTTTGAAAAAATCTAGTTTTTTTTAATAATTTTAATTGAAAAATTTGAAAATAATAGAATTGAACAAAGAATTTTTTTCAGCTTTTTAAAGTAATCGTGTCTGTTAACAATTATAATTAAATATTTGATTATTGAAGTTTATTAAAGTTGTACTGAAAATAATTGAATTCCTGCAAAAAATATTTTACTATATATTTTCAAAAATAATTGAATTCTTCCTAAAAAATTTATTAAAAATTTGAAAATAATAAACAGTAAGTAATTTTGTACTTAGTAAGTGAATTTTTTAATTTCTGAGTTTGAATTATTAAAAAATTGAAGTTTATATTTAAAAATAAAAAATTTTGTAATTTACATAATTTCTTAATAAATGTCTTTCTAAATTCTTTCAATTTTTGCTAAAAACCAAATCAACCTTTTAATAAATTAAAAAAAATATTCTTTTCTTAAATTAAAATACTTTCATTTCAAAGTTAATGATCTAATTGAAAATAAAAAATAGTACGAAATTTTATGGCAAAATTGAAATAATTTATAATGAATAGTTCAATATTATAAATGTAATGTAAAATTTAAAAGTCAAGTAATAATTTGGTAAATACTCACGGAATAAGGATCGATGTATCGTGGTAATCTTGCTCTCGCTACGAATTTGTAACCCATTTCTTGAGCTCTGAAACAAAATTAATTTTCTTTTAGTTATAAAAATTTATGTTTGCAGTTAAGAAAATAAGAAAATATTTGTTTAAAGCATAATTGAATTTTACTTTTATTAAATAATTTTTAATTAAGGTGGAAATCGCAACCCATCTAAATTTTTGTTGTTTAAGGGTGGTCAACTTTTAACTGACAATTTTGAGTATTTGAAATTATACTTTAAAAAATTAAAAAACAATTAAATAAAACTCGAGATTTTCGAGAAATTAAAATTTAAACTTTGTAATTTTCAGTATTTCTAATTGTCAATTTTTTTTTATAAAATGTGCTTCTTTCATGATTCTGCAAAATCAATCGTATGGATCTTGAAAAATTTTAAATGTTTGAAAAAATAAAATTTCGAAAATCATCAAAAATATATTTTTTTAAATTTTAATAATAAAGAATAAATTTAGGTCTTAAGTAACGCCCGAGAAAAAATTGCCGCACCTCAATGTAATTATTGAAAGGTTGAAATTTCATCAATTTTTATACAAGTGAAAAATTGTCGTGAAAATTATTTTTAAATTTTCTTCAACGAAAAAAGAACCTTTTAATTGTGTCGGTTATGAGCTCTGGATAAATATGAAAAGTACTGCCTTCCTTCTTGGTTAGTCTCAGTAAACTTTTTCCAATTGTTTTAAAAAAGCATCTCAATTCTTCCTGATGTGTACCTGAAAGAAGTTTTCCAGAAAATTAAAAAGCATTTCATTATAATTAGAAAATGTAAAAATATAGACAAATAAAAGACTTACTGTCAGTCGGCTTTATAATTAAGCCTGAAAGTTGTATTTCCATGTCGACAGAGAAAGAATTATTAATCATAAAAACTTCTAAAGGTTCGTCTTTATTTTCAAAGTATGAATTTCCTGTCTGAAATTACGAATAATTTGATTAAATTTGGAAATCTGTTGAAATATTTATTTATTTATTTAGTAATAATACGAAACTAAAATGCTTCTTTTCGAATATTTAATATGTAGAATTCAAATTTAATTTTTATTAGTATTTAAAAAATTGTACTCACTTTTGTAGTAAAAATATTACTTTCGGCTTCTTGAAAAGTAAAATGGCTAGACTGCATTGTATCTAAAGTTGAATATCCCAAAAGGCACGAGATATCGTAGCTCAATTTTTCCGCGAATTCATCCTCGCATGTCATTATCTTTAAAAATAAAAATAATTATTTTTATCAACTTTAAAAATATTCGTATAATTCATTTCATATCTCAGGAATCACAGTTAGGCCCTTTTTTTATCAATTCCTCTTTTTTCTTCTTTTCCTCTTTTTTATCTCCTTAAATTAATAAAATTCCCGTAAATAACTGAAAATTATGCATATTCTCTCCTATTTCCTTTTTCTTAAAAAAAACTTATAAAAATTGTCTTTTCTTTATAAATTTGAAAACTTGTAGTTTTTTAAAACTTAAAAATCTTTTTAATCTCTAAAAAAAATTCGAAAATTATTTAACAAAATGTAATGTTATGTTTGTACAAATTCTATACATAATATTAAACATGAAAAAATCACTGTGATCCCTGGTTTCTAAAAAAATATGCAACTTACAGAATTCGATTCATAGCTGCTTTCTTCGGGAGATTTAAAATTATATCCATACGGATTCCCTAAAACTGTCACCGAAAGTATTAAAACATTAAATTGTTGCATAATTTTTCCAGTGTAATAATGCCAGATATTTGAAATGCACTGTCTGCTATTTAGTTTTTGAAAATCTGTTTCATAAGCTGGTAATCTGCAAGACAAATTTGATTTTTAGAAATATTTTTAATAGTCACTTAATATTTATTAGGTAATATTTATAAAGAAATAAACCTGAATTCTGCATTTTTCTCGAATGCTCCTTTACAGGCGTAATCGTACATGCATCTTACAAAACTACAATAATCCGATAATTCTCCAATTTGATTGGCATTAAATCCATTAGTGTCGGCCAAAAGTTTCAAATGTATCGTGATCGGCGAAATGTACAAATGCTCAATAATGCCATTCCTTTGGCTCTCAAAGATCTATAAATAAATAATAATTATTACATATTTGAGAATGAAAATAAAAAATTTTTTTAAAATATAATAAATTATATTTAGATTATTTATTATACTTAGATAATTAGTTACCTTTTCCTTGTTACAAAATGGAGACGTGCGAATATTGGAGAGATCCTTTCGTAGTCTTGTAGCAATTGAATGTTTCGTTTCAAGCTTCTTTGGAAACAGATTGTTTATCAAGGATATTAAAAAGCATTCTTGCAAATTCAGACTGAATTCTCTAACAATTAAATTTACTTCCCTGCGAAGGAAAAAATTCAAGTTAATTAAAATTCAAATTTCTACTTACATGTTAAATAATATATTTTAATATTCAAAATAATTTTTATTTTTACTGTTTAAATTAAATGTAGATTAACGATAAACATGAATTTCAAAATCTAGTCGATTTTGAAATCCATGTGGAAAAAATAAAAATTCAAAAATGGTAAAAATTCATTTCATTTTATGACCATTGAATTCCTCAAAAAAATTTCCACAATACTTTTGATGGAATATTTTCTTTCTAAAATTAAAAATATGGTTATACCCTCCACTTAATGTTAAAAATGATGTTTCAAAAAAAAAAAACATTAACTCTTTTTTCAACAAATAAATCATATTTTCTATTTTTTACAAAAATTTGGAAAAAAATGAATTAATCTTTTTAAAAAAAAAAATTGATTCTACAGAATTGTTAGTTAAAATTATGAAAAATTCAGATTTACAAAGATTTTAATTTGAAACCTTTTTAAAATTCAATTATTTCTAAAAATTCATGATATAATGCTTTTAATATCCAATTATTATCTAAAATTTCGATTTTATTGAATAATTGAATGTTTCTCAAAATTTTCTCAACAAATTTTGTAAATAATTGAATTCTTTGACGAATTTTAATAAAAATTTTAAGAATAATTATACATTATTTTCTCGAGAAATCTGATTAAAATTTTATTAAAATTTAGTTTTAGAGAAGAATTTTATTATTTATAAAAATAATGAAGATAATTGAAATTTCAACAAGAAGTTTGAAAAAATTTTTGAACATGTTATGAATTTGGAATTTTTTAAAAATGTTTCTAACTAAAATTATTATTTAAATCCATTATTTTTAATAATCTGAGTTATTCTTTAAAATTTCTAATTAAATTCATTAAAAATTAAGTTTCTAAAATTTCAAATTAAAACCTTTTGGAGTTCATCTATATTTATGACAATTGTAAATGCATTTTTTTTAAAATTCAATTAATTTTGAAATATTTAAGTAAAATTATTCATTAAATAATTTATAAGTTATAATTTTGATAGTTCTTCAAGAATTAAGTTATTTAAAAAGAAATTATTGTCAGAAATAGAAAAAAATTGAAGGTTTTGTATTAGAATTTATGTTTGAGGCAAACAAAAAAAAAAATAAAAATTGAGAATTTTTATATTGAATTCTAAGAATTTAATTTTTTCCAGTACTTTTAATAAAAATCCCGCAGACTTTTTCCTGACCAATTATCAAAATATGTATTTTTATTCTCACTTACTTAAAAATATTGCGCGTAGCTTTGAATTGTTTCAAACAACAAAATTCAATGAAATGCTTCAATTTTCGATTCTCCATTAAACGCGTTAGGGACTTTTGCGAGGACGTATGCAGCATAACTGGGAATGAGACTTTTTGCAATTGATTGTCAATCTGGAAAGAAACAAATTTGTTAAATAATTCATTTGACAATTAATTTTAATAGTAGGTAGGCAGTGGCAGTTTTAGTTTTTCCTTTTTTTTTTGTTAGTAAAAAATCGCACCTGCATTCTGTGAAGATAACCCTGAAGGTACGTGAAGGTTGCTGAATTTCTATAGTGAAACCAAATTCCCGGCGAGTAGGTTCTTCGAAGTTTTCCAAAGAACGGTTTTGTCATGTACATCTTGGAGAGGTCAATCTAAAAAAAGGAAATTTTTAAAGAGTGAACATAATTTCCTTTTCATTTAATTAACGTGTGATTTGCCAAATTTATTTTAAGATAAGTATAGAATAAACTGTAATTTAAATAATTTTTACATCTATAAAGTTTTCAAATTGGGCCTTCTTAGCGTCATTCGTGTATTTTTTCTCGATCCACGCGCTTAATTCCAAAGTAAGCGATTTCCACTTTTGTCCGACGAAAACTTCCCAATGAGCCGCTGAATCCATTATACTTGCAAGTGCCAATTCTCTACAGTCTTCATTCGTATTTGATACCTTTGGATAAAAAAAATTCACAAAAATTTTAACAAAAAATCGAAAATCAAATTTAATGAAAATTAGTTTTAAAAAATTATATTAAAATCTTTTTTAAAAGAGATATGTAAATAAAACTTTGCACAAATATATTTTACAAAAAAAATTTTTTTGAAAAATTGTTGTTCTTTCTTTGAAAGTATTTTTATTTTTAAAGAGTAAATGTGGTGAAATTTTCACTTACGAGACTGAGACCAATTCCTGAAATAGTGAAGAAAATTTCCCTTTCGCTGATTTCGGGATCGACGATACTTCTCACTTTTATGAATATATTTTCATCTTGAGTAAACATTAGGACCCTTTGCTCTCCCTCCGTGTAGCTCACCCAGTAAACTGTTGTTTTACTACTTTGCACTTGGTCCAATTTCAAGGGATCTATCTCAGCATCACTGTCTGTATCCTCATTGCTGCTTCCACCCAAAATCGAGGTCTTTTCCTCTAAGACAAGTTTCTTCGATAGAGATGTCGAGGATCGCTTCAAAGTTCGGAAAAATACAATTTCTTCTCCATATCCATTCTGAAAATTTTTAAAAGGAAAATTAAAATTTTCTTTTTGCAAAGTCACAAAAATTGGATAAATTTTTATTATTTTTTAATAAATAAATAAATTTCTGTAAATTTACATGCTTAAATTTTATTCTTTTTACATTCTCATAAAAAATGAGAAGGTCTTGAATTTGCGCGATTTTAAGCAATGTCTAATTTTTTATAAAAAAAATACATTACTGAAATTTTGTAATTTATATAAATTTGTAAATAGAAAAAAATTATTTAGCCTTAATAGTCGCTTACTTGACTAAATGGAATAGATTTTTTTTAATAACCACAATTTTGAGAACATACAATTTTCAATTTAAGAAAAAATACCAAAAATTGTTAAAATAATAAAAAGTTTTTTTTTTTTTTGAAATGAAAAATTAAAATATAGTGAGACCTTTGAGAACTGAGCGATAAATCCTTTTGTTTTGCTACTGTAGACATTCCAAATAAGCATTCTGTCCTTAGTTGGATTGTCCCAGGTGTAGAGCAAGCTTTGCAGCGGATTCAGAAGAGTCGCTTGTCCCAAATTAATTTGATTAATTTTCAAAAATAATTCAGCGCACAAATTGTCGATTCTCACGGGTGCGTCGCCGTCTTGGAATCTTTCAAACGTTATGTTAAAAGGTGAACTGCTTCCTCCTTCAATAGTAACTGACATCGCCGTCTAAAACATTTCAATAATTTAGATTTTTTTAAATTGAACTAAAAAATTATACATTTGAAATTTAATTTAATTTTAGTTTTGTGTCGGCTGCAAACTAAATTAAACAAACTGAATTTAATGTTGTGTCTATTTTAAACTAAATTAACAAACTGAATTTAATTTCGTGTTGATTCGAAACTGAATTATTAACAAAATGAATTTAATTTCGTGTCGATTTGAAACTAAAGTTTGAAAAACTTAAATATTTAGTGTCAATCACAAAATCATAAAAACTAAATCTTTGCTTGAATACTTTTTCATTTTTAAATTCAGTTTCCTAATTTAGTTTGTGGATTGAGTTTCGAGTCGACACGAAACTTAACTTAATTTAGTTTTTTATCAACTCAGAAACTGAAATGAAACTAGATTTTCGTGACGGTCCTAGATTTAAAAATAAAATTTTTAATTTTTTTTTTTTTTTTTTTTAAATTTAAATAAAATTCTTTAAAGAATAAAATAAATTCAAAAATGAATTTTAAGAAATTTTAAGAATATTAATACATAAATTTAAAAGAAATTCTAAAATCAAAAATTAACAATTTAGTGAAATTTGAAGATCATTGTGTATAAGAAGAGTAGAAATTAAAAGAAGCAAAAATAAATTGCTAACTAGTTAATTCTAATTAATAATTATTATAAACAAATATGCCAAAAGCACGTTTCGCACTCGAAAATTAATCTTAATAAAGTATCAAAAAGTAGTTTTAAAACTGAAAAAAGTAGTAAAAAGTAGTAATCAAAAAATTAAATTTGAAGCCTAAAAAAATTCATTTTTGTTAGTCAATTCACAAAAATTGAATTATTTTCCAAATTTTTGGTTAAAAATAGAATTATATTTAAAAAATAATTTTTTAAAGTAAAAAAATAAAATTCTTTAAAGAATAAAATTTATTTTAATTAAATTTGATAAAATTTGCTTGAAAATTCAATTTAATCTCGATTTTTAAATTGTTTAGGCGAATGTATCTTCAATAAAATTTTAAATATAATTTTTCAAAAGACTAATTTTTTTCATAATTTCTAAATTAAACTATTAAAAACTTAAATAAGTTTTATTCAATAAATATTAAAATTAATAATTTAATTATATTCTTTAAAATAAATAATAAAATTTAAAATTTAATTTTTCTTTAAAATAAGTATTTAAATATTATTAATTTTAGAGCAATTAAAATTTTCAGATTTCAATGTAAAAATCTTTTGAAATTTACTTAAAAATTCGTACAATAACGCTTTTAATATTCAATCATTATATCTAGAATTTAAACGGAAATTCCTATTCAAATCAATTCTTGTCAGAAATGCAAAAATTAATAACTGATTTAATAATTAATTAATTAATAAAATTGAATTCTAATAAGGATTTTTCTCAAAAATGTTATCAAAAATTGAATTCTATCGAAGAATTTTAAGAACATTTTTAAGAATAATTTCATTTTTCGAGAAATTTATATAAAATTGTATTAAAAATAATTGAAATCCTGCGAAGAATTTTATTATTTTAATGAAAATAGATGAATCCTTGCATTGGATTTTATTAAATTTCTTTTAAGTAATTGCATTTCTGTGAAGAATTTTATTATTTGTGAAAATAATTGAATTCTTGCGAAGAAATTTTTATTAGGTACAATTATTTAAAAATAATTGAATCCTTTTGAAAAATTTCTTATTAAAAATTTTGAAAATAATTAAGTTTTTTCAAGCAATTTAATTAATATCTTTCGGTAAATTTTATAAAAACTGTTTTAAAACAACTGATTTCTTTCAAAAAAATTTATGAAAATTTTATTTCAAATAATTGAATTTTTGAAAAGAATTTTATTAAAATTTTAACTGAAATTAATTCTCAAATTAAATCTTGTCAGAAGAATAATTGAATTCTTGCAAAGAATTTTTATTAAAATTGTTAAAAAATAATTGAATCTTTTTAAAAAAAATTTTTGTTAGAAATTTTCACAATAATTAAGTTTTTTCAAGGAATGTAATTAATTTCTTTCGTAAAATTTTATAAAAAAATATTTTAAATAATTAATTTCTTTTTCAACAAATTTTATGAAAATCTTATTTCAAATAATTAAAATTTTTGAAAGAATTTTATTAAATTTTTTTAAAATAATTTCTTTTGTGAAATTTTATTAAAATAGTCGACATTGAAAAAAAAAAATTGGATTTTAGCGAAGAATTTTATTATTTCTGAAAATAATTAAATTCTTGCGAAAAAGTTTCTTAAAATTTTTGAAAATAATTGTATCGTTTTGAAAAATTTTTTAAATAAAATTAAGTTTTTTCAAGCAATCTAATTAATTTTTTTCTGAGAATTTTATAAAAAATTTTTTAAATAATTCATATTCTTGAAAAATTTGTATGAAAATCTTATTTCAAATAATTGAATTTTTGGAAAGAATTATATTAAATATTTTCTTAAATAACTGAATTCTTTTGTAAAATTTTACTAAATTAGTAGGTATTAGAAATAATTGTATGTCAGCAAATAATTTTATTATTTATGAGAATAATTAAATTCTTACGAAAAAGTTTCTTCAAATTTTTGAAAATAATTGAATCGTTTCAATGAATTTTATTAAAGTTTTTTGAATTGTTTCGAAGATGTTTATGAAAATTGGTGAGAATAAATTTTAGTTCAACTATTAGAGGATTTGAAGTGGAAAATGACACTTTTCAAAGTTACCCCATTATCCATTCTGAGAACAGTTTTGCCGACAGTCGTCATGTCAAAGTGTTGAGATACCAATTGACTATTTTTCCATTTGACCCGCATTTTCATTGACTCCGTGTACGGCCAAAATGCCATTCCCTGTCCCGGAAGTAGATCATTCCACAAATCGGCTTCCTCATTTTCCTCCATGAATCGCAGAGCTTTCTTTGTTTTATTATTGCAATAAAAATAGGGCAAGAATGTGACGATTCTCGTGAAAATTGGCGCCAAATGGGAAATTGAACTTTCCGACAGAATGCGATATTTCCTTCGCCTCTCGATGTCTCTGCATAAAATCAACGACATCGAGCTAATCCCATCTAAATTGAACGATGGCGACCATCCTGATTGTTGGGCCTTCAGTCTCACCATTCGTTTTCTTCTTTTTTCTTTTTGCGTGAATACCACGAGTTCATTTTCCGGGATATCGTACATCACATTTGTGTGAGATTCCTGTTTTGGAGAACATTTTTATTATTTTTTATTCTTTTACTTTTGTTGTAAAGTTAAATGGTATTTAAGACAATTTTTTTTAATATTTAGAATAATTTCTGTCAATTTTTGCCAAGAAGTCTCATGTTTTTCTTTTTCTTTTATTTTTTCTGTCTAATTAAACTGAGTTTGAAGAATTAGTATTTTTTTTTTAATTCAAAATTTTCCATTACATTCAAATTTTGTGTGTATTTTCAAAATTGAAAAATTGAAACTAAATTTTTTAAAACTTTTTAAACTCCTGACTTACAAATTTTTGAGTGTTTCTGTTATAATCGTTTGTCGAACTTTTGAATTCAATTTATCAATTTTATGCATAACTTCTTTCCTAAATCAATTTTTGACTATGATTCTTAATGATTTTTAGAAAATTATTCAAGAATTATTATTTAAATACTAAGTTTTAAATTATTTAAATACAAAAATTCATTACTTATGTTTTAATTTTTATTTAATTATTCACAGGCCTCGAAATTAGGATTATTCGAAAGTTTTGCAATTAAATAATATAAACTCAATAATTCAACTAATTTCTAAAAAAAAATTTCTCATTAATCCAAAAATCAAATTTTTAAAAATTTTTATTTCAAACCTTTTGTAGTTTAATTCTTTCAAAAATTTTTTACTGTAACTCTCCTAATATTCAAAAATTTTCTAGAACTTTTCATTAAATTTTTTCTAAATCATAATTAATTTTAATCATTTTTAAAAAGTTAAAATTATTCAAAAGTCAAATTTAAAAAAAAAATTTTACTTGAAACGATTTGAAATTTAATATTATAAAAAGTTTTAACTATAACTCCTTCTAATATTCAATTATTTTCTAGAATTTTGAATTTAAATTCTTTTCTGAATAAATTAATCATTCTTAATGAATGTTAGAAAATTCAATTTTTTTTATAAAAGCAGCAAAAATATCTGTTTATGATTTTTTCTAAACTTTTTAATATAAAATATATAAAATTCAGTGTCAATTTTAGGTTTTTCCGTATTTTTAAAATATATCAAATATTTGAATCATTTCTAGAAATTTTATATTTTTCCACTACTTTGGATAAAGTTTTCTAACTTCTGTAACTTTCCTGACCTGCGACAATACTGTTATTGTCAAAATTCATAGAAATGTTAAAATAAATTTAAATTTCAAAAAAAGTTAAACTCAAAAGTGAAATTTTGAAAATTCTTTAAAACTAAATTTTTTAATTATTGTTTTAATGAACATGTGAAAGAAAAGTCGCATTGCAATGAATTTTATTGCAATTTTTGAAAATAATTGAATTTTATTACTTTTGAAAATAATTGAATTCTTGTGATCAATATTGTTATTTATGAAAATAATTGACTTCCTTCGAATGATTTTTCTATTTATGAAAATAATTAAATCTGATTAAATCCTTAAAGGAATTTTAAAATTTATAAAAATAATTAAATTACTGCGAAGAATTTAATGTCAAATTTTAAAACATTTGATTGTTTCGAAAAAATGTATTCTCAGGAAATTAACATATTTTAATTTTATATGAACTCAATTATTTAAAATAGAAATTTTAAATAGGTAATTGAGTTCCTTTGAAATTTTCATTTTGTTGGAAAATAATTGAATTTTTGTGTAGAATTTTATTAAAATTTTTGTTTAACAATTGAATTCTTTTGAGAAATTTTATTAAAATAGTAGAATATGTATTAAAAATCATTGAATTAAGACAAATTTTTGAAAATAATTGAATTCTTGCGATGAATATTGTTATTTGTGAAAACAATTGAATTTTGCAATGAATTTTATTAAAATTTTTGAATATAATTAAATTTCGACGAAGAATTTTGCAATTTATAAAGATAATTGAAATATCAACGAGTTTTTTTTTAATTTTTGAAAATAATTGAATTTCTGGAAAGAATTATGATATTTATTAAGATAGTTGAATTCTTTCAAAGAATTATGTTAAAATTTTTAAAATTGAAACTAATTTCAACAGAATTGAAATTAAAAGTTTTCAAAAAAAACTTCATTAAATGATTTATAAGTAATAACTTTATGACAGTTCTTCAATAGAATTGAGTTATTTAAAATAAATTATGTCAGAAATAGAAAAAATTTAAGGTTTTTTTTTTAGAATTCGTGGTCATTTCATAGTTTATGGGGCAAACAAAAAGACACAAAAATTCATAAATTTCTTATAAATTCTAAACATTTAATTTTTTCCAGTACTTTTAATAAAAATTCCTGACTTTTCCCTCATTTTCCTGACCAATTCCCTAACTTTTTCCTGAATTCCCTGATTTCTCTGACCAGTGGAATTCCTGAAATTGGGAATTTCATTAAATTGACGTCAATTTTATGTCAATTTCACAAAAAATTGAGATTTAATATACAAGTAAATTAACTTAATAAATTACAATAATAATAATTATTCCAAATAATAAACTCTTAAAAAAATGGTCAAATTTCTGAAAAATTTTGAGTATTGATAATAATAGTAGAAATTGACGATTTCTCTTCGGGTGATAATAAAAAATCTTTCTCTTATGAAATGCTTTTGGCAAAAATTGATATAGAAAAAATGGAAAGTTTTTCTGTTTTTTGAATTATTTACATACCCTGATACTGAGAGGTAGACCAGTCTTATTTACAATCCAATACTGTGCATAAATATCAACAATCCAATTTGTAAGTTTATTCAGTTCGACACACAGCAAAAATGGTTTGGTAAATTCTGATTCACTATCGCTAAACATTTTTATAAATTTCTTCTCTAAACTAGACGTCAACTGAAGCGTTCCACACCACTGAGTACCCAAATAGTTTTGAATCTGAAAAAGATTTCATTGTTAGACAAAAATTCAATATTTTGTCAATATGATTATCAATTATTTATTAAAAATAATTAATTTCAATATTAAATAGACAGAATGTCCAAGAATTCGAGATTTATTGAAATAATTTTGCTGTTTTTTGTTTTAATTTTAATAAAAAAGTTCTGAACTTGTTGGACAATGTCTATGATTATTTATATAGTTTTTTTAGATTCTTTTGGAGTAGAGTGAGTACCTTAAAAATAATCTGTATAGCGCTATTGCATTTTATACAATAAATACTTATTTTCTCCCCGGGCTCGATTCGCATCTCGTAATCCACACTGGGTATACTTATATCTATGACAAAAGGCAACTTATTTTCAAATATAAGAGGCGGTAGCATTCGTATCAGGTACTCTGGAACTTGGCTTTTTGTTTGACTCGATGTCTGACTTTTCGAGCATATCACTTTTACTCCAAACACCGTTGGAGAATTGCTTTCTTTTACTTTACAATAAATATCCTTAGGAACATATAAATCATCACTCAATTCCCTCCAACTTAGTCCTTCGTCACTAACTTCATACTTCTTATCACTGTCAACATTCAAACAGAAAGTATTTTATTTTTAATTAAATATTCCATTTTATTATTTTCATAATTATTTTATTTATTAACCAGCATTAAATACGCGCGTTCTCATTTACAATGTATTTTTATTATTAAAGTTTAAAAAATAATAATTAAAGAAAAAATAGTAAAACAAACATTGTAATTATTAAATAGAAATTATGTCAATTTTTTTCCCGATTTCTAAAAAGTCTAAATTTTCTTAAAAATTGTGATTAAAAAATAAGAAATTATGCAAATTTTTTCAGCTTTTTTTTAATAATACCTGTTTAACATTTTGTTAAATCATTTTCCAATTTTTTAGAAATGGTAATAGAATGAAATGTATAATTACGCTTTGTCAGATAAATTTTTTTAAACAAAACATTCATGTTTTAATAGAAAAAAAATTAAAAAATTTTGCGTAATCTTGATTTGTCAATTATTATTTTTACAATATTACAAGACGATATTTTTTTAGAAAAGGAAAAAAAATGCATAATTTCTCTTTCTCAATGACCATTTTTGAATAATATTAAAAGTTTTCATTAAAAATAAAGAAAAAAGTTTGCTGACTTTCTACTTTATTAATATTTACAATTTCTACCTTATTTCAACACTTGGCACAACAAAGCAAAAAAGATCTATTAATAATAATCGTTGTATTCCGCTAATCTATTCGGAGATTTAAATTAGTTTATGTTTGCTACTTCATTTCCTAAATTTTGTAATAACTTTTCTTTTTAAAAGTTATGAATTTTAAAATTAATCTACTGAATATCATTGAGTTCTTACAAAGAATTTTATAAAAAAAATTAGAAAATATTTAGAGTCTTGTTATTAAAATTTTTGAAAATAATTTAATTCTTGGCAAGAATTTTATTAAATATTTTAGAAAATAATTCTTTGAAACAATTTTGTTACAGTTTTCGTAAATAGTTAAAATTTTGATTAATTTCTTTAAATTTCATGAAAATAATGCAGTTTTTAAAATAATTTTAATTGAAAATTTTGAAATTTACAAAGAATTTTAACAAATCTTTAGAGAATAATTGAATTTTTTAAAAAATTTTTTTTAAATAATTGCATCTATTCGACAAATTTTTATAAAAATTGAATTGAAAATAATTGAATGTTTCCAAGAATTTTATCAAAATTTTAGGAAAGAATTAAATTATCTCTCGAAAAACTGTATTAAAAATTTTTAAAAATAGTTGAATCTTTTCGTGAAATTTTATTAAAATTGTTTTGAAAATAATTTAATGTTTCGAAGAATTTTATGAAAAAACTTTAGGAAATAATTGAATTCTTTGGAAAAAGTTTATTAATAATTTTAAAAAATAGATAATTTGATTACTTTCCTGAAATTTTATTAAAATTGAATTAAAAATAATTGAATGTTTCGAAGAATTTTATCAATACTTTAGGAAATAATTAAATTCCTTCGAAAATTTGTATTAAAATTTTTTTTTAAATAATTGAATCCTTTTGTGAAATTTTATTAAAATTGTTTGGAAAATAATTGAATGTTTAGAAGAATTTTATTAAAACTTTAGGAAATAATTCAATTTTTTCGAAAAATTTTATTAAAATTGTTTTGAAAATAATTGGATTTCTGTGAAGAATTTTATCAAAACTTTGGAAAATAATTAAATTCTTTCAAAAAAATTTTATCAAAAATTAAAATAAAAATTGATTCCTTTCGAGAAATTTTATTTAAATTGTTTTGAAAATAATTGAAGTTCCGCGATGAATTTTACTCAATATAAAAATAACTCTGAATTCTTCCAAAGAATGGTATCATTTATGAGAATAATTGAATTCTTGCATAAAATGTTATTAGAATTTTTTGAATATAATAAACAAGAATAATTCAACTTTTTTTAAAATTAATATTAATTTGAATCTATCACTCGGTGGTAATGGTATTTAATAATATTGATCGCTTGATCAATCACTCCCAGTAAGTCAAAAAAAAAAAAAAAAATTACGTTTCAACGGTTGAAATGTAAAAATTAATTTTCTAATTTTTTATTTTTTTGACTAACTCGGAGTGATCGATCAAGCTATCAATATTATTTTTCAAAATTATTAAAAATTACTAATTAAAATTCAAAACATTCAACAAGAAAAATTAACAAAAAATGAAGAGACAAAAACTGTCTTTAAACTGCGAACATTTATTCGGAACCAGAAGATTATTAATATAGAAGGTAGAAGATTATTAATGTCAGGATTAATAATAAAATAATAAATTGTAATAAATAAGAAAACTCACTCTAAATATGCAGGTAACAAATATATCGGAAAGTGATAAGCAATGAACAAAGGAACATTGTAGGTTTCATCTGGTTCGATAATTGTCATTCTCATATTGTCATCAAATGGATTCAAAGCCTGTCCTATGTGCGCTATTTGTAGTTTTTCCATTAATTGCTTTTTATAATGTAGGCCTATTGCGTAGGAGGTTTCATTGCGTATCTACAAATTTTTAATAATAATTAATAGTATCAAATTTCTTTTAAAAATCTCAAAAATAGAAATTATTCATTTTACCTGTAGTGGAGAGTGAACCGAAATGGTTCTATGTAATTGGCTATCGATCATTGTTTCGACGATTAAATGATATCGAATACCATTTTTAATTGGATGCAATGATATTTGATTGCATCCTCGCCTTCTTGGACAGTAAATTTGAACGTCATCGAAACCTTTCAAAATGCAATGAAAATCAGAAATTAATATTTAAAAAAAAACCAAATATAAAATATTCTTAATTACGAATGATAATTTATCTCTTTCAAGTTTATCTTTTTATTTTTATTTTATTCAGGCTTTTTTATAGCAAAAATTTCTAAAATATTAGAAATGTACCTTCCACCATGATTCGAAGACGCTCAGACGTTATCTTCTTATAAATATTAACTAACGATTCATCGGCAAACGGTGGAAACATTTGCAAAGCACCATCCTGAGAAACTTCATTTTGCTCCAACATTTCACTGTCTATATTCACAATACTAGAGGGGCTTGTTATTTTAGAAAGAGATTCATTTTCCGGACTGCTCGGCACACTCGGCGGGGAATTTGCTTCGTGAAAACTTTTAGCTGCAATTAGGCGTGTCTGATTTTCCGAGTTTTCCTAATTGAACAAAGAACAACAAAATTATAATTTCCAAATTATATTATTTTATCACAATTTTTCGAATTAATTTTTCTGCTTTTTTCAACTTTGGAAGAAATTATGAGCGATATTGAGAAGAGAAAAATGATTACCTTTTCTTTGACAAGAAATTGAACTGTACTTTCACATCCTATATTATTTTGTAAATTAAGTTTTCCACTCTTAGTGACCACTATTGGAATATCGCATTTTGTCTTCAAGTACGTGCTGTAAATTAATTCCATCAGTGCAATTGTATTAGGCGAGACGGTTAAATCTAATTTATCTTTTGCATTTATGATAAAATATGTGGCTCGAGTGTTCCTTTTAATTGGTGTTTCAATGACGGTATTGTCTGCAAAATTAAGTCGCTATTAATTCTCATGCATCTCAAATTACTCTCATTAATAAATAAACATAATAATAATAATAATAACAACAATGTTAATAATAATTATAATAATAACAGGGATCACAGTATTTTTTTCTTTGAAATAGGTGTAAAAGTGAATGATTTTTGAAAAATAGGACAAAAAGGTGAAAAAAAAATTACATAAAATAAACTTCTTGCAAAATAAGTAATTTTTATATATTGAGATTTTGAATAACTTTATTTTTTCTTCAAAATTGAAATTGAAATTTTTTTAAATGTAACAATAAGACTGACAATTTTTTATTAATAAAAGTTAGAAATAAATAAAATTTCGATTGATTGAAATTTAGATTCTTTGAAATTCTTTATGTCCCTAAAGTTTAGAAAATTTAAATTAAAGGAAATTTATTTATTTCCCTTCTAAAGTTCAAATTTATTATAATAACGTTTTACGTTACGTTTGAAAAAAATAATTTACAAACTTTGCAAATATTTAATTCAGTTTTTATTTTTTTATTGAAGTAAATAATTTTTCTAAATATTTATATCATATTTATTTCTTTATTTATTATACCCAAAAGAAAATAGATAAAATAGACCAAAAAAATATAAAATTATATCGAAAAGATGATAGATTTTTCAATTTTATTGTGTAATTGAAAAAGTTTTAAATAATTGAAATTTTGTAAAATTTTTTGAAAAAAACTGAATTTTAAAAAAGAATTTTTTTGAAAAATATTAAAAATTATGAAGTTTTTGAAGATTTTTAATTACAAATATTGAAAATATAAGATTTCTCCAAAATTCTAATCCGAAGCCTAAAAAAAGTAGATTTTTGAAAAATTTCAATTTACTTTTTCTGGAGAAAATTGAAATTTTAAAAATTAATGATAAAAAATTAGTTTTTTTTAAAGATATTAGAATGTTATTTTTAGAAAATAATTCAATTTTTTTTAAAAAGTGTTTGGACAATTTAAAAACCTAAACGATTTTTGAAGAATTTCAGTTAAAATTTTTTAAGAATGATTTTTTTCCCCAAAATTTTAAAAATATTTCTAAAACAGAAATTTTAAAAACAAAGTGAAAGGTAGAAAAAAGTAATTGAAAATTTTAAAAATAATTGAATTTTAAGAAATTATAATGACAAATTCTAAGAATTAATTTGTTAACAAAATATTTTTAATATAATTTTTTAAGTTAATTTTCATTAAATTTAGTTTTTAAATTTTCATTTGAAGATTTTTCATTAAAACTTTTGAGAATTTAATTATTTTCAAAATCTGCAATTAAAATTCTTCAAAATTTAATTTTCAAAAATTTTAATGAAATACTTTCAAAAAATCAAAAGTTTTCAATAAAATTTTAGAAAATTCCAATTATTTAAAAACTTTATGATTATATATTTCGAAAATTGAATTATCTTAAAAGAATATTAAAAAAATGAAAAATAATGAAAGATTAAACTATATTTATTTTTCGTACTATGAAAATCGAAAGAAGTTCCATTTTATACCAAAAAAGTGGTATTTTGTTGTAAAGTTTGGAAGAAAAGTCAAAATTGTCGCATTTTTTGAAAATATGTCGAAAAAGTCTTAAAAAGTCCAAAAAGTAATTTTTTCGAGGCCTGTTTTTATGAATAAAATATATAATTCATAAAAATTATGTTTATAAGAAAATAAAAAAAAAGTTTTTAAACTTTCGCCGAATTGTTTTTAAAATATAAATAAATAAAATAATTTATTATAAACTGTAAATTGAAATGATTGCATCTGAGATTAATTGACTTTAGAGTTTGAAATTTACTTTGTTCAAAAATTTAGATAATTTAAATTTCAATCAACTGAATTTATAGCTGAATTGAAAATAAGATGAATTGAAATTCTAAAGATTAATAATTTTAAATAATTAAATTCAAAGTCAATTTAGATTTTAATCGATGAAAGTTTTGAAAAATTAAGATTAAGATTTATTAAAATGTAAATTAATTAAAAGCTTTATAAACTAAATTTTCGATTGCAAATATTTGTAAAATCTATAAAATAGACCAAATTAGGTAAAAATTAACGAAATAGATGAAAAAATTTTCAAAAGATTTAAAAAGGTGACAGTTTGGGAAAAGTGATTTTTCAATTAATTTACTTGGCTCTGCGAGACATTCAGGTGTCAGTTCCAAGCCCTCGTCTTCGTATTTACTGGACTCGTCGGACTCACTTCCCTCCTCATCGCTTGTGTCCTTATTAAAAAGATGACTAAAGGTCTTTGCCAATTTTTCCGATTCACTATTATTGTCTGAATCCGAATCATCACATTCGAAATTATAATTTAGCTCTGAAAACAATACTTCATGTCAATTTTTTTTCTTTTCATTCTGAATTTAAAAATCTTAAATATTAAATCCTAAATTATACCAGTTATTTTTGATGGAGTTGCATGAGCTGGGGGAATAAAAACCATATCTTCATTATTCTCGTCTTCACTACTATCCATCTCTCGTTTCTTCTTCTTTGAAACTATTTTTCTCAAGGGCTGTTGAGAATAGTTTAGCCAAGAACTTAGTGAATAAGCTTCGTCTTGGTACATCTGAAAAAGAATTTATTTAGTTTATTCGTTAAAAATACAACAATTATATTAATGTAGATTTTGAAAATTAAAAATTGATTAATTATAAAAACGTACCTTAAATGTTAACGTCCATGGTATATATTGACAATTATTTTCTGGACACAGACCAATGAATGGTTCCCACAGCTTAGTATTAACATTAAAACAATAGACATAGATTTTCACACTAGATTGCATTTGGAAATTGGGACTATCCCAATCAGAGACACTTCCACTAATTTCCGAATCTCCTTTTAATAGCGAAATTCGTTCGACGGTCTCTTCCATTTCCAATTGCACGTGAATTGATACAGGTTTTAATTCGAAATATCTTACTTGTCTATCACATTCAGATATATTTAACGAGTGACTAGAGAAATCTGAAAAAAAGAAATTTGTATAAAACAAAATTATTAAATTAAACAAATTCAGAAATTAAATTAATCATTAAAAAAATAAATTAAAATTAAGATATTCGAGAATTTTTTCCAAACCTTTCTCAGTTTCTTTGAATGGAATATGGGACACGGGTTTCGGTGACCAGAGATCGTTGTGTGAATTAGAATCCCTATTGATTGTTTGTGAAGTTAATTCGCAGTCGCTTCTTTTAAAGAAGTTTAAAGTTTCACTAAAAATCTAAAAAAGAGAATTGCATTATTATTTTGTTTTTTCCTATTTTTTTTTTAAATCTACAGGCCTCGAATCAACTTTTTCCAGACTTTTTCATGATTTCTAGAAAAATTCTTAATTTTTTCCGTTATTCCAATAGTAACTTCAATTTTAAGATTTGTAAAATTCAATTATATTCAAATAAGTTATTGAAATTTTTTAACATTATTTTTTTAAAAATAGGTAAATTATAACTTCTCCAAAATTCTATCATTTTCAAAACTTCAATTAATTTCACGAAAATTTCAACTAATATTTTTTAACTGTTAATAAAAGTTAGGATTCAAAATTTTAATTTTCACAAATTTGATATCGAAACCTTTCAAAACGTAATTATTTCTATAAATATACCTATAGATACTATAATTCTTCAAAAATTCAATTATTTTCTCAAATTTTTAGAAATTTTTTAGAAATTTTTTTTTAAAATTCTTATTTTGGATAATTTTGAAAACTTCTTAAAGAATTCAATAATTCAAAAAAAATAGTTAAATAAAAACAATGTTCACTTAAAAATAAAAATCGTCCAAAATTCAATTATTTTTAATTCCATTTTTCGATGTAATGAATAAATTTCATAGACATTTTCTAAGGAAAAAATTAGAAAATATTTTATTTTCCATAATTTGTGTTTTTTTTTAACTTTTACAATTTTAAATCATAATTGAATTATTTCGAAGAATTTTAATAAAAATTTTTGAAAGTAATTGAGTATCTTTAACGAATTTAATTAAAATTGCACTAAAATTAATTGAATTCTTCTAAAGTGTTTTATAAAAATTTTTGAAAATAATTGAATTCTTTCGAGGAATTTTATAAAAATTTTTTAAAAGTATTATTGAATTCTATAAAACCACATTTTATTAAAATTTTATTGAAAATAATTGATTTCCTCTTAAAAGAATTTTATTATTTATGAATTTAGTTAAAATTGTATTGAAAATAAGTGAATTCTTTCGACAAATTTTATTAAAATTTGTAAAAAAAAAATCGAATTTTATTAAAATTGTAATGAAAATAATTAAATTCCTTCGAAGAATTATATTATTTATAAAAATAGTTGAATTCTTGAGAAGAATTTTATTATTTATGAAAATAATTGAATTGTTTCAAAAAATTTTATTAATATTTTTGGAAATAATAAAAAATAATAGGTAATAATTGATTAGTTTTGAAAACAAAATCAATTTTTCAAATTTAATTATTTTTGAAAACAAAATCAATTTTTCAAATTTAATTATTTTTAAAAACTTTTACTATATAACTCTGCCAATATTTAATTGTGTTTAGAATTTTTTGTTTAGAATTTAGAATTTTTAACGAAAATTGTTTTTTAAAATAATTATTTTTAATAATTTTTAGAAAGATAGAACAATAATTTTTCTTTTCAGGACAAAAGTTATTTTTATACGCTTAGAGACTGGAAAAAAATAAACCTCTTTTAAGAAAAATATTTGAGTGTAGTTATTTTTCACCCTGTGAAAATGAAAATAACTTACTTTTTTAATTTTTTAAACCAAAAAAGTGGAATTTTGTTGCAACGTGTGGAGGAAAAATCGAATTTTATCAAAATAAGAAGAAAAAAGACGTAAAGTCATATTATCCGAGGCCTGAATTTGTTTTAAGGACATGTCAATTTTTTCTATTTTAGAGAAAGTTGAACACTACGAAAAGACGTTTTTTTCTGTCATTTATATAAGAAAAAGAACTTTTGTTTATATCCTAAATGTTTATTTTTAAACCACTTCAATAATTATTATATTTTATTTTCTATGTTCAAATTAATTTCATAAAATTATATCATAATTTTGATTAATATTGAATTTTTGAATTACCTCCGTAAAAGTGCAAATTGTCCCAACAGAAAGATGTAAATTAATCGAACTGACAATTGCATTAATTTGAATTTCTTGAATTTTTTCCTTCCGACAGATTTCCACATCACATGGAAGTAAAACCCAGTGCGGTGATTGTCGAAGATATCGTTGCTGACTTTTGCTCTTGGCTCGTACATCCGACAATGTGCAGACAATTGACGAGGAGCCTTTGTGACGACTCGATTCAATCATCAATTCCGCTTGGAACAAAATTGCGTGAGCATTACTTGCACTCAGATCGCCAAACAAAAGCAGCTCCGGCTTTCGAATTCTGATTGAAATCGAAGAACCTTAAATTTAAAAAGAATTTTATTATTATTTATTTTTATATTCAATAGAAACTTATATTTTTTTATTTAATATTTACTAAAAAAATTATTTTTTATATATTTTAGAAATAAATTGACGGTGTAAACTTGCTAAATCACATTCTGGTGATTATTTCATCCCCAGTCTAAAAAGTTTATAAATAAGAAAAACTACGAAGCAAAAAAATAATTTGTTTATTAAGAATCTCTCTTTTTAATAAACAAATTATTTTTTATGTAAGTTGAAGTTTTATTACAACAAATAATAATTTTATTTTTTGCAAGTTTTATTTTAAGTTATTTCTAGGGACAGAAATTTTCCAAAATGCAGATTGGTTTATATTCTAAATCAGCGAAATTATAAATAAATGATAAAAGAAATAGAAATATAAATAAAAGTAGTAAATTTTTAAATAAAATATAATTTTCTAAATCATACTTCCAACTTCTTTTCCTTCAATAAATACCTGTTTGTTCTTCTGCGAATAAAGTGGGATCCAGCGGAGTGTGGGTTTCCTGTTTTATAGCAGTTGTCTGAAAAGTAATTGAAAATTGAAAATAAACTAATTATTTATACAATTAATTTGAAATAAAGCTTATCAATTTTATACAATTATAAATTTGTTTTTTTTTCTTTTATTTGAATTTGTGAAATTTAAAGAAAACTTGATTTTGAAATTATCAATTTTTCTTCAACGTATAAATTTCCCTTTATAAGAAATTTAATTCAAAAAATCATTTTTGTCGCACTTTTAAAATGATTGTTAATTTATTTATTTAAATTAAGAAAATTACTAATCATTATACTTTAAAAGCTAAATTTTGGATTTTGGATTTGACAACAATTTGGAAAAAGAAAAAAAAACAAAAATTTAATAATTTTGTCATATTTTTCCCTTTTTTCTACAAAAACTCGATAATTTTGTTTTTAAATTATTAAAAATAAAAAATTTGTTTTTAAAAAATTCTACGAAATTTCCAGTTGTTTAAAATTTTTTTAATTGTTTTCAAGAATTCAATTATATTCAAAAGTATTTTTTAGAAAAATAAATTTTTTCAGAATTTCTAAATTCACTTATTGAAAATTTTAATTATTTTCCTTACACTTTCCTCTAAATATAACAATTCAACTAATTACAAAAATTTGATGTTAACATTTTTCAAAAAACTAATTTCTTCAGAATGCTAATTAAATTTATTTAAAATTTAGATTTTCAAAAATTTTAATTTTAGATCAAGAATTATTATTTATTTCTACTTTTTTAATTTTAATAAAATTCTTCGAAACAATTTAATTATTTTCAAAAACTTTAATGAGATTCTTTACAGGAATTTAATTATTTTCAATACAATTTTAATCAAACTTTTCAAAAGAATTCAATTTTTATTCTCAAAAAGTTTTGATAAAATTCTGGAAAGAATTTTTTAAAGAAAAATCGAAAAAGTCACAATTTATCAAAATAAGTCGACCAAAGTGACATTTTTGGAAAAAAAATTTTAGAAACTACTATTTTGAATAAACTTGAAAATAATCAAAAAGTCATAATAAAAAATTTTATTGTCAAAAGCAAGCTCCTTTCTCACTGTAAAAAATTGATGAAATATTTATATTTTTTTATATAAAAGGAAAATCATGTAAAACAAAGTTTTTACTTTGTAAAAACAAACTTTTTCGAAAAAAATATTAATTTCCATTTTCGTACTTACAATTTCGTTATCATAGCCCTCGTAACCCTCGTTGATGAGACCCTCGTCAATTTGCTCCGCTGGTATCGAATCCAAGAAGTATTGAACTAAATTTAACAGAAATGGAATACACAAATTGACACGAGATTCTTCAACCAGCATATCGAAGCAAGTATCGCCCGTTGATGTTCTAGCGAAAGAAAAGTCCAATGCTGCAGGCATCGATATGTAAACTCCCGAGTCAGAATTAATTCCCATTCGTTTCGCCGGTGACTGAATAATTCTACAAAAAAAAGCAAAACGAAATATTAAAATTTTTCGAATTTCAAAAATCAATTTTAAACAAATTTTGCATTTTTTATAAAAATGATAATCATACTTTTTAACGATTGCTCCTCGTTTACGCATATCTTCCAATTCACAACTTCGAACCGAAACTTTTATCGTCATACTCTTATTATTAAAAAGCTCGAGTGACGAACTTATTTCTCCAAAAACAAGTTTACACAGTCCATGATTTAAGTCTCTTACAGGTGAACTTAGAACCTAAAAAGATTCAGTTTTTTTTAAAGAAAAGTAAAATTGGAAAGTTACAGGGTTGCCACAAAAATTGGATTAATTTATTTTTCCCTGATTTCTAGGCAGAACTTTGATTTTTTCCCCGACTCTAAAGAATATTTTAATTTACTCTCAAAATTCGGAACATCAACAGTTTTTTTCAAAATATTTAATCATTATCACTTTTCCTTAGGAATTATGATTTTTAAAAGTTTCAAATTTCAAATCTTTTGAAATTCAATAATTTTTAAGAACTACTGTAACTTACAAAAAAATGTTTTCAAGATTTGAATTCAATTGTTTTCTAAAATTTTTAACTAAAATTCCTCTCTAATTAAATTATTATTTTTGATAATTTTTGAGAAAAGTTCTTGAAAATTTAATTATTTATTTAAAAAAAAAGTTCACCTAAAATATTTCTGAAATCCACTTGTTTACAATTCAATTTTATGAAATTTCAATTATTCAAAAATGTTTCCATTAAGTATACATTCTTCAACATTTTTAATTAAAAGCTTTTAAAATTCAACTTTTCCAAAACTTGTTTTATGTAGAACTAAAAAAATTCATTTTTAGAAAATTCATATCACGTTTGTTCTAATTAGTTGAAATTTTTACTAATTCAAATTTACAGAATAAGTTTTGTCATAATATTATTGCAAAAAAATTTAGAAATCAATTTATTTTAACTATTTTGCGTGTTAATATGTGACATTTTTTTATTTTAAAAGATAAAATTTTTGATAACTTTTTATATTAATTTTAGTAATTTTTCAAACTTTTTATAATTTTGTATCTGAAATAATTTAATTTTTACATAGAATTTAATTATAATTTTAGAAAATAATTTAATTGTTTTTAAGTTTTTATGGAAATTTTGATGAAAATAATAACATTTGTGGAATTCAATTAAAATTCTATTGAAAATAATTAAATTCTTAGATATAAAGAATTTTTTAGAAATTTTTAAAAATAATTTGAATCTTTTTGAGTAATTTTATTAAAATTATATTAAAAATAATTGAATTCTTGCAAATTTTTTCGATCAATTTAGTAACAATTGTATTTTAAATAATTTAATTGTTTTGAAGAATTTTATTAAAGTTGAATGTTTTTAAATTTTGAATCTAAAATTATTAAAAAATTGCAGTTGATGCTTGAAAATGAATAATTAAATTTTATTTATAAAAAGTGAAAGCGTAACTCTTATGAAATTCAATTATTTTTTTAACGTTTAAAGAAAAATATTGTTGCTAGACAACAAAATTCAGAATTTTCCTATAAATTTCAGAAATTGAATATTTCTCCAGTACTTTTGAAAAAATTTCCTGACCTGTGGCAACCCTGAATTAGTTATTCGATTTTAACTAATTAGTTAATTAATTATTAATAATTAATTAGATAATAAATTATTTATTAATAAATAGTTAATTAATTATTGATTCATTCGTGAAAAATGTTCAGTTAAAAGCTCTGTGTGTAAAACTAATTAAAATAATTAAATAATATAATAATGATTATTCAGTCGTCAAATAATTAAAAATTAAAGTTAACTTTAATTTTTTAATATTCTTTTTGAATTTTGTCCAATTTTTAATTAAATAAATAATAAACCCGACAAAATTGAAAAAGAAACATTAAAAAATTCCGCAAAATAATTAGAAAAAGTGTAATTAAAAAAAAGCAGAATTAATAAGAGCAGATAACTGAAAGAAATAATAATAATGAAAATAAAAGAAAACTAACGTGCTTCGTGTTTTAATGAAAAGTGTTTTTGTTTTTCTTTAATTGGCTCTCGAGCGAAAAGTACCTCCTCTGTGTCTGAGAATAAATTAAGTTGCAATCCATCTAAATTCACTTTTAGACTTATTTCGCAAACTGGATTTTCATTTTGTGAAAAAAATACTTCCAATTTCTTGACAATTGCATCTTCTGTTTTTGTCGATTTATTTCCCGACGAATCAACATCGTAGCCTAAAAATTTGCGTGCCAAAAATGTCTTCGACAAATTCTCCTCCCATAATGAGAAAATTGATGTTAAATCTTTTTGTCCTAAATTCGTGGTTATCGCATCAATTGAACCTTGAATGTGACATAGACACTGATCGTCCATTTTACGACCAATAATATTGCGATCAATTATTTTTCTTTTTATGTCGAAACGAATTTGAATTGGTTCAACTATTGGTTCCTGTTAATGTAAATTTAATAAATTATTTAAATTATTCTTTAGAAAAAACACTTATTTTCGTTTTTCTATTTTGTATTTTACATTTTTGTATTTTTCATTATTTCTATTTTCTATTTTGTTGCAAAATAAAATTGTGTGAATCTTACTTGAATTTCCAAATTTCCACCAAGTGTCATTATTGCTCTGGACAAAATCATTGCATTCAATTTTATCAAAATATTATCCAGCACACAAAGATTTGATTCGTTATTGACTTTGCTGTGCTTTGTCAATTCACTTATTTTTAGAAAATTTTCTATCGTCAAATTACCTGGAAAGAGAAATTTTTTCAGTAATTTAATCTTTAATAATTATTTATTTTGAATTTCTTTCGTAATTTAAATTTAAATAATATTTTAAAAATATTTTCTTGTTTTATTTTTAATCTGAACTTTAGTTTTCTTTATTTACAAACTTAATTCAATTTAAATTTTTTCATTAAAATTAAAATTAATATCTTGAAATTAAAATGATTTCGGATTTCAAATACTCACCAATATCGAAAACCAAAAGATTTGGATAATCTTTTTTTTGTGGAAGAAGAAATGTAGGTCCTTGAAGATCAATTGAGACTTGAAGTTTAATTTCGCTTTTCATAAATTCCGTGATACTCCAAAAGAATAAATTTTTCAAGTGCCCGGAAACTCGGGAATGGAGAAAATTTACAAATGGATGGAGAAAATTCTGTGGGAAAAATTGAGAGGTTTTTTTTTCAATTTAATTACTTATTATAATAAATAAAATAAAAATTAATAGAATTTTTTTAATATTAGACAGGATTCGTACTTGATAATTTGTTTTTAAAAAGTAGCAAAAAGTATCTTTAAGACTAAAAATTAAAAAAGTTGTAGAAAAAGTAGCTATCGAAAAATAAAATTTGATAGCAAGAAAAACTCGTTTTAGACAATTAGCAAAAATCACAAAAATTTTATTCTGTGTTTTATTTTCCTGACTTTTTTCTAATTTTTGCAAAATTCAATTATTTTCCAAACTTTTATTTTAAATTCTTCAAAAATGCGATTATATTAAAAGAATAATTTTAAAAGTGTAGAAATTAAAATTCTTTAAAATACAAAATTTATTTTAATTAAGTTTGACAAATTTTTCAAGCAATTGGAAATTTAATTCAATCTTTTTAAATTATTCAAGTTTTTCGAAACACTAATTTTTTCCAAAGTTTCTAAATTAAATTACATTCAAAACTTAAAAAACTTTTGTTAAATAAATATTCAAATACTTATTTCTTTTTAGACCGGAATTAAAATATTTTAAGTGATTTCAATGCAAAATCCTTTTGTAATTTAAATATTTCTAAAAATAACAATTCTAATTCTTCCAAAATTAAATCATTTTTTGTTAACATTTTTAAAAAGAATTATTCAATAATAAATTAATAAAGTCCTTAACGTCTTTGTCTAAATGTCTTCGTTTATCTTATTATAAATTAATAATTTTTCAAAATTTAAATATTATAACAGTTTTTCAACACTAAAAATAATTTTCAAAAATTTCGATTTAAAAATTTTTTGAAATAATGAAATTTAATTATTTTTAAAAATAACAAAACTTTTGAATTCAATTATTTAATAGAAAAATAAAAAATTTATTGAATAATTGAATATTTCTAAAAAATAAATTCTTCTAAAGATTTTTGTCAAAAATTCATTTAAAATTGTTTAAAAATAATTGAAATCATGCGATGAATTTTATACTTTATAAAAATAATTGTAATTTTTGCAACGAATTTCATTAAAAATTTTTTAAATAATTTAATTTTTGAAAAAAATAGTAGATATTGAAAATAATAATTGAATTTCGAAAAATTGTTAAAAATTGAATCGTTTTAAGGAAATTTATTACAATTTTTTTTTAATTGTTTCTTAAGGATTTTATGAAATTTTTTGAGAATAATATTTTGATTTCAACTATTAGCGAATTTAAAGTAGTGCAAATTTTTAAAGAAAGAGAAAAAAGTAGCTTTTAGTTACACAAATAAAAAAAAAGTATCCAAAAAGTAGCAAATCGAAAAAAAAAATTGTAAATAGTAAGTTTTTGTAGATTAGACGAAAAATAAAAAATTTTACACTCAAAGTTGAAAAAATAAATATTGAGTAAATTTTACATACCTGACAATCGCAGAGAATTTTAGAAATAAAGACACAATTTATCCTGCCGATGGAAAGTTTGAAACTTCCATCAGACATAATTTTTTCATTTTTTGCATCGAGTTCAGAATATTTGTATAATTTTGGAGTGTGCCTCACGTATTTTAAATCAAATACTTTGTCATCCTCATTGGTTAGAATCTGCAAGTTTTTTTTTTTTTAACGAAAATAATTATCAGAAATGTGAAAAAAATTAATAGTTAACAAAAGAAATCGACATATTTTTTTCTTTTTTAGAAAAGTATCAATCAATTAGTTTATATTTTTTATAGAAGAAATGAAAAATGTTTTAACTATTTTTATAAATAAAATAAAATAAGTAAAATAAAATTTTTTTTAGTTTTTTAAGGGACATTATTTCTAAAATTTTTTCCAATTTTCAATTACCTTCGAAAAAAGAGTAACACTGCTCAAATCCTCAATTGTTAAACTCGTGAGATGTGCTCTTAACATCATTCTTTCATTGGCATTGTAAATACAGTCATTCTCCAAGCCCATAATTTTAAAAATCAAAAAATCTGAATCTTTGCTGCAGAGTTTTAGAACAAAAGTATTGAGTCTGATGGAATAACTCAATTTGATTGCACCTAAAATCAAAAATTAAAAATTAACCATACAATCACAAATATATTGAAACAATTTCGAAAAATTGAATTAAAATATTAATTGGTAAATGAAAAGTGAAAAATTTGCTTACCAGGTGGAATTGGAGGATCGCATTCCGTTTTTATAAAAAGAACAGCGTTGCGCTTAACCATGTCCACAATATTTTGAATATTTTGACTATAACAAATTCTAAAAGAAGAAATAGAAAAATCGTATTTTTCATTATTTAAATTTTATTAAACAATATTTTGAATATTGACTCTAGTTTCCAAATAGTTAATAAAAAAATTGTAATAATTTGCACCTACTTGTATAAATTGGAATAATAATTATTCAATTTCATAAAAGCTTGTCGGTGAAAAACGACATTTAAATTCATAATATTAACAGTTAAAGATCGTTCCACATTGCGAAAATGCGCTTTGAAGTCTGGACAATTGGCTTTAACCTGTGACAAAAAATTACAGAGCAATTAAAAACCTAACTTATTTTTCAATAAAATTAATTAATCAAAATTATTTTCTCCGAAACGTCGTATTCAATTTTTTATTACGTAAATTACAAAAAATCTATTTTTAAAACATCAATTTTAATTTCTACATAATTTCAGATTCAACATTAATTAAATAATTGAATCAATAAATAAAAAGTTAATAAAATATTTTCTTCTCTAATTTTATTTTCTTTTCTATTTTATTTTCCATTCTCTATTTTTTATTTTGGATATACTTTAAGGTGCAAAAAAAGTCGTTTATTTTATTCAGAAATGTCACGAAATTTTCTTTTATTTTCCTGAGTTTTCCCTGATTTTTAGAAAAGTTTTTAACTTTTCCCTAATTCTAACAATTATAATTCAAAGTTTTTGTGAAATTCAATTTCTGTCAAATAATTATTTCATATTTTTTAAACATTTTTCTTCAAAAAACACAATTACTTTTAGAAATTGTAAAAAAAATTTAAAACATAAAATTTAATTCAATAATAAAAATTTAATTATTCCTAAAAATTACTATTGTAACGTCTCCAAAATTCAATTATTTTTTTAAAAAAATGTTATCTGAAATTCTTTTCTAAGTTTGAAATTAGTTGTTTTTGTTTAATTTTTTGTTTTGTAAACTTTTTAAATCATTTTTCTCTTAAATGTTTGGAATGATAAAATTATTGCATTAAAAATAATTGAATTCTTATCAAGTATTTTATTAAAATTTGTGAAAATAATAATTGTCTTCTTACGAAGAATTTTATTAAAATTTTTAAAAAAATTGAATTATTCCGAGAAATTTTATTAAAATTGTAATGAAACTAATTGAATTCCTGTAAAGAATTTTATTAAAATTTTTGAAAATAATTGAATTCTCTCGATAAATTTTATACAAATTGTATTGAAAATAATTGAATTCATGGAAAGAATTTTATTATTGAATTGTGTCGATGCATTTTTTTTTTCAAATTTCTGTAAGTAATTGAATTCTTTCAAGGAATTTAATTAAAAAAATATTGAAAATAATTAAAATCTAATAAACAAATTTTATTAAACTTTTTGTAAATAATAAAATTCTTTCAAAAAATTTCATTAAAAATAAATTAAATTTAAAAGAAATTGAAATAAAATTGAATTCTTTTAAAGAATTTTATTACAATTTTTGAAAATAATTGAAATCTTTCCAAGAATTTCATTAAAATTTTTTAAAATAATTGAATTGTTTAGAAGAATTTTTTTGAATTTTTTAAATAATTATTTTAATTGCAAATTTTTAAAGTATAATTAAATTTTACGAAGACTTTCTTTCAAGTTTTTTTTTAAAAAGTAAAAGTCATTACAAATTTTATTATTTTATAAAATTTTTTTATAAATAATTGAATTCTTTCGAGAAATTTTATATAAATTATACTGTAAATAATTGAATTCTTGTGAAGAATTTCATTAACAATTTTGAAAATAATTGAATTGTTTCAAAGAATTTTTTTTAAATTTCTGTAAATAATTAAATTCTTCCAAGAAATTTAATAAAAAATATACTGAAAGTAAATAATTAAAATCGAATATCTAAAAAAATTTTATTAAAATTTTTGTAAATAATAAAATTTTTACGAGAAATTTCATTTAAAATTTAATTAAATTAAAATTGACTTCTTCTAAAGAATTTTATTAAAATTTTTGAAAATAATTGAATTGCTTCAAAGAAATCTATTATAACTTATGGAAAATAATTAATAATGATTAATTAGTTTATAAGTCAATTTTATAAATTTTTGAATCTGACTTTGTTTAAAAATAGAAGTTTAATTTCAAACTAAAAAATTTTGTAATTTGCATAATAATAATAAAAAATTGTAATTGAGAACTAGAAAATTATTATAATGTATAAAATAAATTTCGTACCTTACGATACGAAACAGAACAAACTTCATACTGTCCATCAGTGGAGACTAGTTCTAAATATGATCCCGTTACACCAGCTTCGGTTTTATCAGCTAAAAGAATGGTACCAATTCCCGATTGAAGGGCAAATCCATATTCCATAATGGCAGACTCAAAATACAAAGTGCAGAATTTCAAAATCAAATAGGGTTTTTGTCTTCCAGTTGTGGTCATGTAACCAAAATGAAAAGAGAGCTGAAAATCATCAAAAGAAAAGTTTCAAAGAAAAGTTCGTAATTTGGATCAAATTTTCTCAAAAAAAATCAATGTTGACAATGCGTCTGCAGACCCAACTGTAAATAGAAAAACAAAGTAAATTAGAAAATTAATAACAAACCTCGCCAATAACGAATCTTAGCAGTAAATTAATTCGATTTTGAGGTGAAACAATGTCATCAAAACCTGATACATTCGTCATTCGGAATAATTGTTCCAAGTCTTCTTCGCTTATTTCAGATGATACAACGCTCCTAGAAAATGGAATTAATTTTAATTAAATCAATTAAATTCTTATTACAAAGTTCTACGAAAATTTTAATGAAATTAATTTTTTTATCATTAAATTGTGAAATTAAAATTTATTGAAATTAATTTTTAAAATCGGATTGAATTAAAATTGAAATGTGCTTGAAATTTACTTTTCCTTCTCCAATTTGGCGAAATTTTGTAAATCTTTCATGATGCAGTGGGACATGTTGTGGGCGACAACAGTCGAAGATAAAGCAACGACTGAACGTACTCTAATTAATTTATCTGTCGTTGATGTGAAATCGGGTTTCGGTTCCTTGACACTTTTCAGATAATCAGTTTTTATGGCGTCAATATCCTCCTGACTGGGTATCGCAAGGAGATTTAGAAAATCTACAAGCGACACCAGTCTATTTTCGGATAAATTAAATTTCAATTGCGACACTGAGACATTTACTTTCATCCTGTAAACAAATTTAATTGACATATTTTCAAATATTCATTTCTAAAAAAAATTCATTAACAGCCTGTGACTGTTAGAAATTTACTGTTCATTTTTCGATTATTTTTCTCTTAAAATAATAAATAAATAAAGTTAGTTTCGTTTGAAAAATTCTAAAAAAAATGAATTTTGTCACAAATTATAATTATAAAGTATTTTATAAAAATTAATTTTAAAAAATGTTAAAACTTTTGCTCATCTTAATTTATTCAATGGATACATTTTTAACTATATCAAAAAAATGATACAAATCTTCAATAAAATTATTTTTATAATAATTTTTTGAGAGGAATTCAATGGTCAGACAATTTTTTACCCCTTTTATTTATTACTAAAAAATGTTACGTGCGCTAGCGAGCGGAACCTGACATTCAATTTATTATTATTATTATTATGCAAATTAAAATTTTTTTTTCAAATATGAATTTTTGAATAATTTCAGATTCAAATTTTAAATAACTTAATTATTAACTAATTTAATAATTAATTATTCTTGTTTATTAATTTCAAAAATTTTAATAAAATCCTTCGAAACAATTCAATTATTTTTTTGAAATGGTACAATTCTTCGAAAAAATTCAATTATATTTATAAATGTAGTAAAATTCCTTGCAAAAATTCAGTTATATTCCAAACATTTTCACGAAAGAATTAAATTTTTTTTTCTTAATTTGTTATAAAATTTTTTAAGAGAATAATTGAATGTTTCTTAAAATTAAATTCTCATAAAAAATTTTAAAAACAAATTTGTAAACAATTAAATTTTTTCGACGAATTATAATGAAATTTTTAAAAATAACTGCATTTTCCGAAAAATTTATTTGAAACTGTTTTAAAAATAATTGAATTATTGCAAAGAAATTTATAAAAAATTTGTAAATAATTGAATTCCTGTGATATTTTTATTATTTATGAAAATAATTAAATGTTTGCGTAGACTTTTATTGAAATTTGTTTTAAATAATTAAATTCGTTTGGAAAATTTTATTAAAATAAATTGAGAATCATTGAATTGTGGAAAAATTTTTGAAAATAATTGAAAGTTTGACAACAATTACATTCAAATTTTTGATGATAATTGAATTTCGGAGAAGAATTTTATTATTTATAAAGATAATTGAAATTTTCAGGAGAATTTTTTTAAAAAATTGCATTTCTGCGAAGAATTTTATTACTTTTGAAAATAATTGAATTTCTATGACGAGTTTTATTATTTGTAAAAATAATTGAGTTCCTAAAAAGAATTTTATAATTTATGAAAAAATAATTGAATGTTTGAGTAAAATTTTATTAATTTTTTTTTTGAAATAATTGAATTCTTTCGGAAAACTTTATTAAAATTGTAAATATTGAAAATCATTAAATTCGGAAAAAGTTTTGTAAAGTATTGAAGAAAAAGAATTTTATTAAAATTTTTGTAAATAATTGAATTTCGGAGAAAAATTTTATTACTTTTGAAAATAATTGAAATTTTGACGAGAATTTTAAAAAAAGTTTTGAACGTAATTGAATTTCTTTGAAATTTGTATTGTTTATTATTAAATGTTTGTGTACAATTTCATCAAACTTTGTTTAAACCTTACAATTTGTTTGGAAAATTTTATTAAAATACATTGAAAATCATTAAATTCAAGAAAATTTATGAAAATAATTGAAATTTTGCCAAGAATTTCATTAAAATTTTTGGAAATAATTGAATTTCCGAGAAAAATTTTATTATTTATAAAGATAACTGAAATTCTGACGAGAATTTTTTTAAAACGTTTTAACATAATTGAATTTCTGCGAAGAAATTTTATAATTTTGAAAATAATTGAATTTCTGTGATTAATTTTATTATTTATAAAAATAATTGAGTTCCTAAACATAATTTTATTATTTATGAAAATAATTAAATTTTTTGCGTAGAATTTTATCAATATTTTTTTTAAATAATTAAATTCTTTTGGAAAATTGTATTAAAATAGATTGAAAATCCAAAATTTCCAAAGATTTTAATTTAAAAATCTTTTAAAATTTAATTACTTCATAAAATTCCCGTTATAATGCTTCTTTTATTCAATTATTATCTAAAATTTGAAGTGAAATTCAATTTTAAATCAATTCTTATTACAAAGTTTTACGAAAATTGAATTATTTAAATAAAAAAATAAATAATTTATTGAATAAGTGAATATTTTTTATAAAAATGAATTCTTATGAAGAACTTTATCGAAATTTTGTTTAAATAATTGAATTCTTTCGAAGAATTTTAATAAAAATTTTTAAGAATTTTGTAGAAATTTGAAGAATTTGAAGAATTCATTAAAAATTTTATTAAAAATAATTGAATTCCTGAGAAAAATTTTATTATTTATAGAAATAATTGAATTTTTCTGAAGAACTTTAAATTTTTTTTTAATAATTTGAATTGTTGCGAAGAATTTTATAAAAATCTTTTTAAATGATAAATTTTTTTCGAAAAATTTTATTATTTATGAAAATATTTGAATATTTGCAGAGAATTTTATAAAAATTGCTTTTAAATAATTCAATTCTTTTGTGAATTTCTTTATTACCTAGATATTGAAAATAATTGAATTTCAAAATATTTTTAATTAAAGTAGTAGATATTGAAAATAGTTGAATTTCAAAAAGTTTTTGAAAATAATTGAATAGTTTGAAAGAATTTTATTAAAATTTTTTGAATTGTTTCTAAGAATTTCATTGTAACTTTTGAGAATAATTTTTTTATTCCTACTATTGGCGAATTTAAAGTAGTGCAAATTCTCAAACATAGAAAAAAGTAGCTTTTAGTGTCACGAATCTAAAAAAATATTCAAATAGTATCAAATCGTAAAAAAAGTAGTAAATAGTAAATTTTAGTAGATGAGTTTCGTACTCATCTACTAAAATTTATTTCTCTCAAAAAATTACTATACAAAATAATAATTTTATGTAAGATTTAAATAATTTTCTTGATATAGTTAAAAATGTAGACGAACCCTCCGTTTAAGAGAAGTAATGGTCGAAAAATTAACATTGAAGATCTAAAAGTCACATGCTGTTAAATCTCTCAATTTCAAAAAAATATCTTTTTAAAAAATAATATGTGAATAATATTACTTAGGCAAAACTCGATATTCGGGTTTAATACTGGAAGAAATGGTGACACTCGCTTGTAATTTCGGTATCAAATGATTTTCCGATTCTTTTCGTCTTCTTATGTCTCGCCAGTCGTCGCCTGTTTTCGATTATTTTTCATTTTAATGCAATTTACGGAAAAAAATTACAAATTGCATTCGTTTTTTTGGAATAATGGGGAGTGGAAAATTTTCTCACCAGTATGACAAAGAAGGACTTGACCATCTGAAAACACCATATGAAGTCTATCAAAAAGTAATTCCTCCAATTCCATGAGTGTCGCATCTTCTAATTGCGTGTCAGCTGCTTGTAATTCAGTTTTCAGCGTCATTCTCCCAGAGTCGAGAAGAAGTACATATCCCTCTCTGTAATTAAAGTTTTTTATTAAATTATTACACAGTTTTCTATATCCCGTCTTTTAAATTAGATTAGAAGCGTTAAATTAAATTAAATTGATTATTAACTTCTCGAGAACGATAAATTAACATTCAATGAAAATTAAAAAAAAAATATTAAATTAAATTTAAATTAAATGTTAAATTAAAAAAAATTCATTTAATTAAAATTATTTTTTAATTTATTTGATTTGAATTCACTTTGAATTAATTTAATTTCAATTAACTTATTCAAATTCGTTTTAATTGAATTAAATTTCAATTTAGATGTTAATAAAAAAAAAGTATAGAATGAAAATAAAAATGAAATGCATAATTAGCAGACAAAATTTGTTACGTACTTTTGCAAGGATCCGTATTGTGGAAAAACAATGTAAGGACCTTTTATGTCGACTTTTAAATTAATCCTCAATTGACGACTTAATATTCGATGGACTAACTTTTCAATTTTATTTTTCGCCCTTGAACACATTTTGTACGTGGATGATGTTGCTTGTTTCATTTGAGCGTCATTTATTTTAAAAAAATTTATTATTTCCGACACCGAGTACTGAAAAATAATTTTTTTAAATTGTTAAAATTTAGTAATAATTGTTTCCATTAAATAATAATTAATAATAGAAAAACTAAAAATTAAGAAACTAATCCCTCCATTATTTTCAAAAATTTCAGTAAAATTATTAAAAAATTCAATTATTTTTGATTGAATTCTAGAAAATTTCTATTAATTAAAAACTTTTCAATTACTTGTTTATAAAAATTCAATAACCTTTAAAAAATAGAATTAAAATATTTAAAAAAACTAATTTTTTGGAATTTTAAATAAAATATTTCGAAACCTCTATATTATTAAAAATAATTTAAAATTTTACTAAATTAATGAAAATTTTAACTGAAACTATTTTGGAATTAAATTATTCTAGATGCAATTTGGATCCTTCAATAATGCTTTTTACACTAAAAAAAATATATGAATTTAACCCTGTTAAATAATTTTTATTGACATTAATTTTATTATTTTATTATTAAATGATAAGCATAAAATATTTGTCAGTAACAATATAAAATGACTAAATAGTAAATAAGAATTAAATTTGCATCTTACGTGGTGATAAGTTACTTCGATGGGTTCCAACGATATGGATATATCGTAATTGAAATCTGAATTTAATGGCTTCTTTTCGAAATCTATGGAGAGAAAATTCGGCGCTGCGCTTCCTGAAAAAAATTAAATTAATTAGGTACATAAAATTAATTATTTTCAAAAGTAATAAAATTCTTCGCAAAAATTCAATTACGTTCAAATTTTTTTTTAAATTCTCGTTAAAATTTTAATTATTTTCAAAAGTAATAACATTTTTCTCCGAAATTAAATTATTTACAAAAATTCAAAATAAAATTCTTATTTTTCAATAAATTTCTTTACAAAACTTTTTCCCAAATTCAATGATTTTCAATATCTACAATTTTCATAAAGTTTTCCAAAAGAATTCAATTATTTCAAAAAAATTTTAATAAAATTTTACTCAAACATTCAATTATTTACATAAATAATAAAATTCTGTTTAGAAATTCAATTATTTTTACAAATAATAAAACTCATCATAGAAATTCAATTATTTTCAAAAGTAATAAAATTCTTCGCAGAAATGCAATTTTTTAAAAAAATTCTCCTGAAAATTTCAATTATCTTTATAAATAATAAAATTCTTCTCCCAAATTTAAATATTTTTAAAAATTTTAATGAAATTGCTGACAAACTTTCAATTATTTTCAAAATTTTTTTTTATAATTCAATGATTCTCAATTTATTTTAATAAAAATTTCCAAAAGAATTCAATTATTTAAAATAAATTTTAATAAAAGTCTACGCAAACATTTAATTATTTTCATAAACAATAAAAACATCACAGGAATTCAATTATTTACCAATTTTTTGTAAATTTCTTTGCAATAATTAAATTATTTTTTATTCTTAATACAATTTTAATCTAATAATTCCTTGAGAAATTGAATTATTATTTTTAAAATTTTCATTAAAATTCGTCGAAAGAATTCAATTATTTGAAAATTTGTTGATAAAATTCTTTATGAGAATGCAATTTTAAGAAACATTCAATTATTTATTAAATTATTTATTTTTGTATTCAAATAATTGAATTCTCGTTGAATTTTCTATTAAAAATTGATTTAAAAATGAATTTCAATTAAAACTTTAAATAATAATTGAATATTAAAAGCAATTTTGAGAAATAATTGAATTTTGAAAAAGTTAAAAAAAAAATAATTTGAATTTTTTATACTTTTAACTAACAATTCTGTAGAATTTTTTTTTTAAATTTTTAAATCCAATTCTTTTGAAATTATTTGATGTTTTTATTTTCTAAAATATATTTAATTGGAGAATTTCCGAAAATTGAAAATTTTAATTTTTCTTACTTTTAACTAACTATTCTGTAGAAGAATTAATTTTTAAAAAAAAATTTATTTCAATTTTACTTGAAATTTTTATTTTCTAATATATATATTTAATTTTAGAATTTCCGATTAATTGAAATTATGTAAAATTGAATTGTAATCAAATAAATTTAAAAATTCTCAAAGAACTTTTTCAAAAATTATTAAAGCAATGGATTTATAGAAGAATTTTTAGTTAAAAACACTAAAAAAATTTAATCTTGGAGAAATTACAAAATTATTGCAGAAATTCAATTATTTTCAAAAGTATGTGATAAAATTCTTCGCAGAAATTTAATAAAATTCTTTTTAGAAATTCAATTATTTTCATAAATAATAAAATTCATCGCAGAATTTCAATTATTTTTAATACAATTTTAATTGAGTTCTTCAAAAAATGTAATCATTCTTAAAAATGTTATTAATATTCGTCAAAAGAATTTAATTATTTAAAATTTTTTTTGATAACATTTTTTATGAGAATTCAATTTTAAAAGAAACATTCAATTATTTAATAAATTTTTTTTTATATTATAATAATTGATTTCTAGTATAATTTTCTAATAAAATAATTGAAATTTCGTAAAATTGAATATTGTAAAGTGTAAACAAATTAATTTGAAAATTCTCAAAGAACTTTTTGCAAAATTATTAATAATAATTTATTTAAAGAAGAATTTTACTTTTAAAAAATTCTAGAAAATAATAATTGAATTGAAGTGATGAAAATAATTTTGAAAAAGTTACAGTAACAATATTCTTGTAAAATAAAATAATGATTTTATCACTCGGTCATTCTTAATTATTATATTCTTCTATGTTGTTGAATTTCAGAAAGGTATTAATTTGAATGTTTTGAAGAATTTTAATTTCTACGGAAAAAGTAATAATGATTAAATATTTATTTAAAAATAAAGTTGTTGATGAAGTTATTGATGTTTTCGAATAATTTTCCAAATAAATGTAATAGAACATTTTTTTGTGTATCTAATCATTTTTAGAGTGAATCAGAATATTCTTTAGAGTAAGGGAAAAGTTAAAATTTTTTCTAGTAATCAGGGAAGAACAAAATATTCATACCTGTTAAAACATTGTCAGCTGTAACTAAAGGAACCAATTCATTCTCGCAAGAAACTCCTTCGATAACAATACTTTCAGCTCGGGTAGAAATTTTATATGTTGATAATTCAGGATGTTTTTCAACACTTGCCAGAAATTGAGTCATTGATAAAACTAGTATTTCTTTGTCGTTGCTTAAAAGACTCAGTGAATAATTTGCTAAAGTAAAATTGTACTTGTGATCTGAAAAATAGAGAAAAAATTAAAATTAGAAAATAATTTATAGATTACAATATTCAATCAGAAGAGAATTTATAGATTACAATATACAATTAGAAAATAATTTAAAATTATAAATTTAAATTATTAATCATTTACAATTTACAAAATTTACAATTAATAATTTACAAAATCTTGAATTATTGTTACCTAAAGGTTTAGTTAGTTTATCGCCTTTTCCCTTTCCATCTAAATCGTTGCAATTGAATCCAAGATACTTTCCATTCTTTTGATCATTGTCTTGCGTTTTTGTTTCGTTTCTAACAACTAATCTAACTGTCGATTCTTCAGCTTCTATGGAAATGAGATCGGGGTTTTTGTTTTTCAATTCAATTTTTGCATGTTCTCGCGCTATGACGATATTCAAAATTGATAATGTGTCTTCGTATTTTTGCAAATCCATTTTTAATTCCGTGTCATTTGGCTTTAAAAGATGTTGCATGTAAACTTCCTTATAACGTTTGTAATTCGCTCTATGGGCTTGAATTCTCCTCCAAGTGTACGGTCGTACATTTTGCTCCAGAACAATACAATGCGTATATTTCCACCAGGCTTTCGCGTTTCCCTTTATCGTGCAATTCGAATGATACTTTTTGTGATGCCTGAAAATGTAAAAATTCTAAATTATTATCACATTTTTTTAATATTGATGACTTTCTTCATCTTCAAGTATTTTCGGGAGCAAAAATCTTTTTAATTCTGAAAAATCAATTTCTCCTTTTAATTAAAACAGATATTTTTAATATTGATAAAAAATATTAACCGATGACTCTTAATTTGCAAAGGGATGAAATTTATTATTTGCTTGAAGTAAAAATTGATTAATTGTAAATTAAAAAAAAAAAAAAAATTCAAATATACTCGCCTACTTATTGTTGCTCGATGCAGTGAATCGTAAAGTCTTAGGAACGTGACGTATTGATCTTTGGAAATTTGCATTGCAACGTCTTGCAAAACAATGTCAACTAACATTCGAGAATCCCTCGTTTCCGTTGCTTTACTGATGATTATCTTTATCTTTGTTGTTAATGGTTTTACCACTTGAATAAAATAACAGTTTATTAAATTTATTCAAATTACCTGCAACAATCTGACAAAATTTAATGCCAGAAATCGAAAAAATTTCCAAAAGAGTTACTCTTGTTTTTTAATTGCTCTTTACAGTAAGAAAATGTTTATTAATTAAAATAATTATTTACAATGACTAATGAATTTTAAGCAATAATTTTCTATTATTTTCTCCAATTCTAGTTATTATTTATTGATCTTATTATTATTCTTTTTATAAATATTTATATTTGTTTTTAAATTAATTAATTAATTTTATTAAATTAAAATAAATACAAAAAATACATATAAATATAAAAATGTTAATACATTTTTATATTTTTTTAAATATTTTTTTAATAGGTAATATTTACAATAATCTCATTTAAATCTTTGCAAATGCTAGCAATAAGTTTTTACAGAAAATTCTGGATAAAATATTCTAAAATTATTATTAAAATTTAATTAGTTAATATTAATTTTGATTCTTCTTTCAATGAATAATTTAGACCAACTTACAAAATTGAAATTCCTGATCGTTTAAACCAAACTTTTGAAGTGATCGTCGCATTGTATCTTTCCAATCGACAATTGATTCAAAGTCCCAAAATGCGGGGTTACTTCTTAATGCGGATTCAGACTGAGGATCCATGTAGATGCAAAATGATTCGACTCTTATTAATTGATAAATTGTTGTTGAATTCGTTGGAGTGACGCCAGGTTTCCATTTACTAAAAATTAATTTTATTAGACGAATAATAAAAATAATAATAATTGTTTATTACAAAAACTTCAATTATTATTATTACTTATTAAAAATTAACTGTTTGTATTTAGAAATTATTTTCCAAATTTTTAGTTACAATTCTTCAAAAAATACAATGATATTTAAAAATAATTTTTTAAAGTGTGAAAATAAAATTCTTTGAAATATAAAATTTAGATATTTTAATGAAAGAGAAAATTTTATAATTTTTCAATTTCGAGGAGTTTTTATGCGAAATGAATGATAATAATTTAACAATTAAAACAATTATTTTCGGGAATTCAAATATTTAAAAAAATTTTTGTAATTTGCATAATAATAATTATTATATAATTAAAGTAAAGAATTGGAAAATTACTTATTTGTTGTGGCCATTGTAAGACTTTGCATACAAATTCCGCAAGCACTTTGCACTTTATTGGCGAATCTCTCCTCATATCTCACGTGCACATTATTCACAGTGATTTGAAAATTTTTTACAAGTGACGATAAAAAATTATCAAATATCCCAGAAGGAAAACCTAAACAAAGAGAATTCAGAAATTTTTATTTTTAACTTTTTAAACTAAAGAGAATTCGAAGATTTCTTTTTTTTTAATAAAAAAATTTGTAGTAAATCGCAAATTGTGTAATGTAATTAAAATTAAAATTTGAAAACCTACCTGGACCTAAAAATGCTTCCCTCTCGAGATCTTCCAATATCTTTTTCTTTGTCGCTCTTATCAATCGCTTGTGTACTTCGGAATCGTAGTTTCCGAAGACTTCGGAAACTGCCACTATATATACATCCTAAAACATTAAATTAGTGAATTAATTCATTAATAATTATCTAAATAAATTAATTAACATAATAACTAACAAAATTATTTATTTAGCAACCTCATCCTGTCACCTCTCAAAGAATATTATTTACTTTAAATAAAAATATAAATTTAAAAAAAATATATAGAATTTTATTGAAACTTTACAAAATAATAAAATATTAGCGAAGAATTTAATTAGAATTCCTTAAGAGAATTAAAATTCTTGCGAAGAATTTTATTAATTATGAAAATACCTAATTCAATTCTAGTAAATAATTTTATCAACATTTTTCAAAGTACCTAATTGAAATTTCTGCTTAGAATTTTATTAAAATTATTTTATTTAAAACAATAAATTATAAATTCCAGACAAAAATTTTATAAATTATGAAAATACCTACCTAATTTGCTAAGGATTTTTAAAAATTTTTCGAAAGTACATAATTGAATTTTTTCGAGGAATTTCAAAAAATTAAATTGAAACTGTTTCAATTCTCATAAAGAACTTAATCACAATTTTTCCAAATAATTTGAATTTGTGCGAAGAATTTTATCAAATTGTTTTAAATAATTGAAATCTTTCAAGAAATGTTATTAATTACGAAAATAATTGAAATCTTAGTAAGAATTTTCTTAAAATTATAAATTAAAAATAAGTGAATTCTTATAAAAAATTTTTTCAAAATTTTTCAAAATAATTGAATTTTTGCGAAAAATTTTATTATCTTTGGAAAAGAATTAAATTTTTTTTTGCTTTATAAAAAATTTTATTGAATCTTTTCAAAGTAATACAATTTTTGCAAAGAATTTTTTTTAAATTCTGTAAAATAATTGAATTTTTGTGAAGAACTTTATTATAATTACGAATATAATTCAATTCTCATTCAAGTATTTTTTTTTTAAATTTTAATTTCAATTCTGTTGAAAATATAGTTTTAATTTTTTAATTTTTAACGCAATTCTTTGAAAAAAATTCAACTACTTTAATAAATATTAAAATTCTTTCTAGAAATTCAATTATTTTCAAAAGGTTAAAAAAAAATTCTCGTCAACATTTCAATTTTTCGCCAAAATTCAATTATATTCAGGAATTTTTATAAAATTCATTGTAAAATTCAATTATTTTAATAAATAACAATATTCAACACAAGAATTCAATTATTTTTTAAAATTAATAAAATTCTTCGCATAAATTCAATTATTTTCAAAAAGTCTAAAAAAATTGTCGTCAACATTTCAATTATCTTTAAAAATAAATAGCAAAATTCTTCGACAAAATTCAATTATTTTCTGGAATTTTAATAAAATCCATTGCAAAATTCAATTATTTTCATAAATAATAGTATTCATCACAAGAATACAATTATTTTCAAAATTAATAAAATTAATTTATTTTCAATAATTTTAATCAAATTTCATGGCAAAATTTCAAAAATTTTTCTTAATTCATTGAAATTATTAAACAAAAATTTTGATAATATTCTACACGAACATTCAATTATTTTACAAAAAAATAAAAATTTCACAGGAATTCAATTATTTAAAATAAAAATTACTTCATAAAATTCTTCGCAATAATTCAATTATTTTCATAAATAATAAAATTCTTTTTAATACAATTTTAATCGAATTTCTCGATATATATCATGATTCTTGAAAATTTTTTTAAAATTCGTCGAAAGAATTCAATTATTTAAAAATTTATTGATACAATTCTTTATGAGAATTCAATTTTAAAAAACATTCAATTATACAATAAATTATATGTTTTTGTATTTAAATAATTGAATTCTCGTAGAATTTAAAAAAAAATTGATTTAAAAATTAATTTCAGTTAAAATTTTGAAAAGGTTTCAAATTGAAATCTTTCAAAATTTAAATTTTTCATATTTTTAATTAACAATTCTGCAGAATTAATTTTTTTGAAAAAATTTAATTGATTTTTTTTAAATTATTTGAAGTTTACATTCTGTAATATATATTTAATTGAAGAATTTCCGAATAATCGAAATTTCAGGTAAAATTGAGTTGTAAACAAATTGATTGGGAAATTCTCAAAGAACTTTTTCAAAAATTATTGAAAATAATTAATTTGAAGAAGAATTTTAGTTACAAATTCTAAAAAATAATTATTAAATTGAAATGATAAACATTATTTTAAAGAAGTTATAATTTAACAATTTTATATTTTTCTTTTGAAATTATTCCAAAATTGAAATTAATAGAGATTTGAAAATAAAAAATTTGTTTAATTTGTATAATAATAAGTGAAATACCGTGTCTTGCGAGTAATATTTTCTAATTAATAAGAATTAATTAATTTTTAATTAATTTTTTAATAACATGTAAATAATTAAATATTATTTGTAATATTGTTTACGAAATTATTATTAACTTTTTCATAAATGTTATTTTTATTATTATTATTTTCATTATCAGAAGATTCTGTATCAAAATAGAGTTTACGAAAAAAACGTCGCATTTTGTCAAAGAGGGGTAACATATTGAACGATTTTTCATTCGAATTTTTAACATTTGCTTCACATTCCAAAGTAATTTAATATCAGAAATTTTCAATTTAATCAAATTCCAATTTATGGGAATTTATTTCTCTATTCTAGATCGATAATCGTAGAAGTTGCGAAATCACTTTTGAATGACAAATATGGAATGATAAAAAATGAAAAAAAAAAAATCACACACCGGTAGAAAAAATAATTGTTGCTTTCCTTTTAAACACTAATTTTAAAATATTTACACTTACCTCGACACAGAGGATAATTGGTTGCGAAAATAATCCGGCCCATGGTATTTTTAATGATATTTTTCCAATTAATCCAAGTTCAACTCTAATTGGTAGGCCAAGTTGATACTTAAAAAAAAATATAAATCTATTTTTATTATAAATTCATAAAAATTAGTAAAAAGAAAAAAAAAATTTTTTTCAAGAAATAAAAAACTTACCAGAGCTTCTGGTTTCAGTCTTAGATCTGACAGGTATGTATCGCCAGAGAAAATACCAACATTAAAATCCTCTGTGTCCAAGTCTTCGACATACTTGCCAAGAAATCGATTAAGAATCGCGGCTACGGCTCCTTCGAACATTTTTTTCTTCTTTTATTATTAAATTTCACTTTTAATCGAATTAGAGATGACAAAACGGAAAATTGAATTTTGATCTAACTATGTATACTACTATTATATATCTGGCACCCTTTTTGATTATAACCTCATTGAATCCTTAGCTGCGATTATTGTAACAATGCGCACATGCGCCGAGAACAACATTACTTTATTGATCTTTTATTTTACAAAATGGTATAAAAGACATACGATACTAAAAAAGCGATGACACCAAAGAGAGAAATATTGCTGAAAGGGTCGTTTAAAATTATTTTCACCCCCTCGTAGTGTTTGATCTGTCACGTTCACTCCATCTGTCAAAATGTCATTTTGTAAACACAGGAAATTTTACACATTTTTCAATATAATTAATCAACTGTCACCACTATTGATTAGAGGCAAAGGGAAGATGATTAAAAATTCTTTGATTCGTTTTCCTTTTTATTGTTTATCAAAACTTCTTTGTTATTTAAAAAAGAAATTAAAAATTCATGTTTTTAAATTGTATGACGAAGGAGGAAATTTCAAACGTTCCCGGTTTGTCGTCTGCTAAAATTGTTTACAGCGCCATCTGTAGTAAATGTGTGTAAAAAAATCTTTTACATGGTGTGTAATACCATGCTGGTGCTGGAGATGTATATTCTAACCTATACATGAAATTTTTTCTTTAATTATTTAACAATTTTTTGTTAATTAATTGTTGTCTTTACAAAATGTTGTCACGAATGTCATTCAGTGTTGCTGCTCAAAATGTTACTAAATCACAATCTTTTATCAAGGTAAATTATATTTTAAAACAACAACAAATTCACACGGTATTTACAAAATTGTTGAATTGACTGACAATTCACAATTTTAAGAAATTAAGTTTGAATTTTGTTATTATTAATTAGTTTGTTAATCTTTAACGTACGAGGCTTTTTATAAAACAAGGTAAATAAAACGAAAACATTCGAACAATGATTCAAATATATTTGAGGAGCAAGTTTTCAAAAGCTGATAAATCCATTTTTTAAAAAAGTCGAGATAAACATAAATTTAATAATTTAAAGACCTCACAGAACGTCCTGTCACTGTTAAATTTAGAAAAAAAAATTCAGAGAGACTATGAAAAAATATAGAAAATTAAAATAGGTAATTAGGTATAAAGAATAATTTAAGAGTCAGAAAAATTATAATAATGAAAGTTAAAAATTAATAAAGTAAAGTAAAACGCAAAAATTGAAAAAATCCAAAGAAATAATTAAATATTTGAAGTTAGGATTACATTAAATTAATAGTTAGGAAGAAAATAAGTATCAATCAATTTTATTCTGCTTTATAAAAAATACATTTTTGTAGCAGGAGATTCCGCCGTTTACATTATAAAGAAAAAAAATAAAAGCTCTCAAAGAAAATAAGTAGATAATAATTATAATAATAAATAATAATCAACTAAAAAAAATAAATATATAAAATTAGTAAAAATTGGAAAATAAAAATAATAAATAATCAATATGGTTTTTAAAAAATGATTACTTCCAATTTAATTTGGGGAAAAATTGTAGGAACCATTTATTTGAATCTATATACTTAAGTAATAATTTTTAAAAACGTTTTGAAAACAAAAATAATGTCTTAATTTTCTTTGAAAATAATTGAAAATTGTAAGAATTATAGATGGAAATTAGAAAAAATTAAATTTTAAATAGTCTAAAATTGAAATTTTTGGAAATTCGAATTTTGAATAATTTAAATTATAAAAATTCTAAAGACAAATTTCACTTCAAATTCTTTTTTTAAATCAATTGAATTTTTGAATGGATTTAATTGAAAAACTTTGGAGTAATTGAAATTTCGTAAAATTGAATTAAAAACAATTGAATTTTAGACTGTATTTTGAGTGAATTTTATTTTTTTTAATAATACAATGTTTTTCAAAAAATCTTCTTAAAAATTATTTAAAATAATTAATTTAGAGAAAAGTTTTAGTTACCAGTTCTAGAAAAGAATTTAATTTTGGAGAATTTAAAATTATCATTTTTAAAAATATTTTAATTAAAGAGTATTTTCTTTTAGTCGATTTTTGGAAGACAGGTGAATAAAACACATTCACTTTTTTAACGACTATTTTTAAAAATAATTAAATTTCAAAAAGGTTTTCGTGAAAAAATTTATATCGATGTAGAAGTTTAATAATATTTTTGAATATTTATTTAAAATTGTTATACTTTTAAAGAATTTTAGTTAATAGTAAATATTAAAATATTCATTAAACAAAATTATAGAAGTTTTCGATTACTTACTGAATTTAGAAATTCTGAAAAAAATTAGGTTTTTGGAAAATTTTAATTAAAATTTGTTGAATATAATTATTAATTCAAAAGTTTTGATACATTTTTTTTTATAAAAATTCAAATATTTTATAAAAATTTAATTTACTCTTTCCTGAGAATTGTACAATTTTTCCAAAGAATTCAAATATTTTCAAAAATTTTAATAAAATACTGGGAAGAACACAATTATTTAAAAAAAAATTTAAAACAAATTTAATAATCATATTTTTCATACAATTATTATTTAACACTATTAAAAAATCGACATTATTTTCAACAAATTTAAAGAAATTCTTTTAATTAATTATTTTTGAAAACTCTCATAAAATTTTTGAAAAAAATTGTAATATTTGTCATAAATTAAAAATAAAATTCTTCGCAGTAATTCAATTATTTTCAATGCAATTTTAATAACATTTCTCGAAAGAATTGAATTATTTAACACATTTTTTGATAAAATTATTAATAAGAGTTCATTTATTTTGAATGTATTAATTTTTAAATTTGAAATCTTATTTTAGAAGAAAAATTATTAAAAAAACTTAAGAAACAAAAAAGCAGACAAGAACAACTACATAACTGCGAATAGATTACCAGAATAAAACGATTTTTAAAGAAGATTTTTGAAAACAATTAAAAATTTTTTAAACCATTGGAAATTTTGTGAAATTTTTTTCAAACAAATTTTATATTTAAAAGAATTTCAAAACAATTTTTAAGAATAATCATATTTTTTTTGTAGAAAAAAATGAAAAGATATGAAAATATTCTTTAAATAATTCAAGTTTACAATTTTAGAATTGATGTTATAATAAGAGGAAAAATTAAAAATTTGTACAGAAATCAGAAAAATGTCAGAGAAATAGAAAATCAAATTTTAATTATAATCTAAAATAAAATAAACGATTTTCTTGAATTTTATTTTCGTACTTTGAATCGACTAAAAAGGGTTTTTTTGCGCCTTGAAGTCGATCCAAGGCCTGGAATTGTTTCATTTTCTACAATAATTATTAACACAAGAATATTAACAAATTTTTTCAGTTTCAGAACAAAACTACAAATCGATCTTTACATTTAATTTGCCGAACACGAATATTACCGGCGCCAAATATTTTCAAGTCTAAAACAAATGTGGAATTAAATTTCATTCGTCATGCAAGTAAAAAAGAGATTGTTGACACTTTTGGTTTTATACCCGAAGCACCAAGTGAGAATAAGAGACATTATTATTTAATAAAATTATGTTTTACAAAATATTAATTACTGACTTGAAAAATAATTATTGCAGTGCCTGAAACGATTATTGAACCTGAAGTGGCTGAAAAAATTAGTGAAATTGCAAGTGCTGGTCTAGGAAGTTACTGGACACCTGTGGGTTGTGTACAAAATACATTAGAATTTTTACACTCAACTTTAGAAATTCCTTGGTGGGCATCTATAATCGCACGTAAATTTTCAAATTATATTTTTTCGTTCAAACAAATTCATTGATTGTATTTTGACTTACTATTAATAATTAATAATTAATAATTATTAATTTATACTTATTAATCTTAAGAAATAAATATGTCAAGTTTCATTAAAAAAAAATTATAATATAATAACTCTTTTATCGAGTTCTTAAATAAAAAAAAATTATTATTATTTCAGTCACTGTTGTTGTGCGATTAGCGTGTTTTCCACTGGTGATAAAGGCACAAAAAGCGACAGCAGAGTTATCTAAATATCTGCCCGAAATTCTAAATATACAAGATAAAATAACGAGAGCTCGGAAAGCAGGAGATAAAGAAGCAGGTGATTTTATAGAATAATATTTTCTTATTCGTTTAATTATATTAACAGGCCTCGGATTTTATGACTTTTTCTATGTTCAAAAAATGCGCCTTTTTTATTTTTTTTCCAAATATTGCAACAAAATATCGCATTTTTAGTATAAAATGTAACTTATTTCGTCTAAAGTTCGGAGGTTTCAGTCAGGGTTGCCACAAATATTTTTATTTTATTTTTCCCTGACTTTTCCCTGATTTCCAGAAAAAAATTTCACTTTTTCCCTGACCCTAAAGAATATTCTGATTCACTCTCAAAATTATTAGATACTCAAAAAAAATGTTCTATTACATTTATTTACAAACTTCTTTAATTGTAAAATTATTTAAAAACATCAATAACTTCTTTCTTAAATAAATATTAAATCATTATTATTTTTCGGTAGGAATTAAAATTCTTCAAAATATTCAAATTTAAACCATTTTGAAATTCAACAACTTATAAGAATATTATTACAAAACATGATTAATTATTTACAAAAATTCTTCGCAAGAATTCAATTATTTTTACAAGAAGTACAATTTCACAAAAAAATTGAATTATTTAAAAAAATGTAATAAAATTCGTTTTGCAAGAATTCAATTATTTTCTTAAATAATAAATCGATTATTCGGTAATTCATTTTTAAATCAACTTTTATTAGAAAATTCTAAAAAAATTCAATTATTTAAATTAAAAAATAAATAATTTATTGAATAATTGAATGATGGTTAAAATTGAATTCTCATAAAGAATTTTATCAATAAAATTTTAAATAATTGAATTCGTTTGACAAATTTTAATAAAATTTTTAAGAATAATTTCATTTATCGAGGAATTTGATTAAAATATTGTATAAAAAATAATTCATAAAAATAATAATAATTAAATAAATAATTAAAATTTTCATAAAATAATTGAATGTTGGAGAAAAATTTTTATTATTTATATAAATAATTGAATTCTTACAACGAATTTTATTCAAGTTTGTAAAAATAATTGAATTTTGGTGAAGAATTTTATTATTTATAAAAATAATTGAATTCTTAAAAAGAACTATGTTAAATTTTTTTAAATAATTAAATTCTTGCGACGAATTTTATAAAAATATTTTTAAATAATTGATAATTTTCGAAAATTTTTATGAAATTAATTATATTTTAACTAATTGAATTCCTGTGAAAATTGTATTACTTATGGAAATAATGGAATTATTTTGAATTGATTTATTAAAAATTGAATAATTGAATTCCTACGAAATTTTGACAAGAATTTTATTAAAATTCTTAAATATAATTGAATTTCGATGAAGAATTTTATTATTTATAAAGATAATTGAAATTTTGACAATATTTCTTTTTTAATTTTTGAACATAATTGAATTTCTGCGAAGAATTTTATTATTTTGAAAATAATTTAATTCTTCCAACGAATTTTATTCAAGTTTATAAAAGTAATTGAATTTCGGTGAAAAATTTTATTATTTATAAAAATAATTGAATTCATGAAAATATTTTATAAAAATCTTTTTATATAATTGATGTTTCGAAAAATTTTATGAAATTTTGTATTTTAAATAATTGAATTCCTGTGAAAATTTTATTACTTATATGAAAATAATTGAATTATTTCAAAGAAATTTATTAAATATTGAATAATTGAATTCCTGTGGAATTTTGACAAGAATTTTATTAAAAGTTTTAAAAATAATTGAATTTCGATGAAGAATTTTATTATTTATAAAGATAATTGAAATTTTGACGAGAATTTTTTTTTAATTTTTGAACATAATTGAAATTTTGCGAAGAATTTTTGTAACTTTTGAAAATAATTGAATTTCTGTACTCATTTGTAACTTTTCCAAAATCCAATTTTTTTCTGTATTTTTAACTGAAATTCTTCTATCAATTTAGTATTTATGAAAATTGTAAAAATTATTTATAAAATAATTTGTAAGTCATAATTTTATGATCGTTTTTGAAAAATTAAGTTATTTAAAAAAAAATTATTGTCAGAAATTGAAAAAATTGAAGGTTTTGTATTAAAATTCGAGGTAATTTCATAATTTACGAGGCAAAAAAGAAAAAAATTCAGAGTTTTCTCATGAATTTTAAAAATTCAATTTTTTCCAGTACTTTTAGTAAAAATCCCTGACTTTTCCCTGATTTCCCTGACCTGTGGCAACCCTGTCAGTGTAATTAAATTTTCGAAATATACCATTATTAAAAAGATTTTGAATAATTGAAATTTTTTTTAATTTAATTGAAAATCATTGATTTCTTTCCAGTATTTTTTATTATAAATTTTGAAAATCAACTTTTGAAGAATTTTAATTCAGAATTTTGAAAATAATTGAATTCTCACAATTTTTAAAAGAAAAACCTTCAAGTGTAAATTAAAAAATGAAAATTAGCTTCTAAAAATTATCTATTATTAAAAAGATCAGAAGAATAAAAAATTAAAGTTTTGTGACGACACTGAATTAAATAAACGACTGTTTCGACTTTTTTTCTATTTTAAATTGACTAAAGCGACTTTTTTTGCACCTTAAAGTCGATCCGAGGCCTTTAATTGATTTAGAGATGAAATTTAGTTTGAAAGTTGTTGAAAATAACTGAATTTTAGAAAGATTAGACTTTTAATTTTTTAAAAATTATTAAATTTCAGAAAGTTTTAAATTGAAATTTTGCAAATTTTTTTTTTGTGGAAAAACAAATAGGTATTTAAATATTTAATTATTTGAATATTAACGCGACAGGTTCGTTAATATATTTAATAAAATTATTTAAGTTTTGAATAATTGAATTTAGAAATCAGCGAAAGGTGAGGGGAGTAGAAAATAAAATTTTTCGACTTTTTTTTGTATTTTCAATTGACTAAAGCGACTTTTTTTTAACCTTAAAGTAGATACGAGGCCTGTATTAATTTTTCTTTTAGTTGAACGATACGCAATTGAATTACACCGTGCGGTGAACGGTAAAGAACTTATTCCTTTTAAACCTTTTGTTCCATCAGTCATACAAGTAAGTTCAGAAAATAATAAATTTAATCAATTCGACAATTTTCTTTTTTTTAAGTCAATAATGCTAAATAATTGTTTACGATTTTCAGGGATCACTTGCTTTGTCAGTATTTTTAGCTCTTCAAGGAATGGCAAAAGTTCCTTTGAAAAGTATGGAGGAAGGGGGTATATTCTGGTTCACAAATCTTTGCGTTAACGATCCTTATTATATATTGCCTTTAATGAGCTGTGCAACGCTAACACTGCTATTGAAAAGTTCTTTAAATACAATGCCAATGGATAAAATAACGAAAAAATTGTTTATATTTGTTATGCCTATTGGCATTCTCTTCTTCATTAAGTCATTCCCAGCGGTGTGTAAATATATTTATAATTTTAATGTTAATCGTAAGCAATGGGGCGCATGAATATTTCTCAAATGTCATTTGAAAATTAATATTTTTGCCCTTTCACAAAAATGAATTTAAAATTTAATTTCTCTTTTTCTTTTAAAATATTGTTCCGATTGTTTGTCGGATTCTTTATATAATTTAATTTATTTTTTGTTGTGTTTAATAAATTATTTTCATTGTTTCTTTAAATTATAAAACTTTTCCCTATTTATATTCGAAGATTATATAAACATTTTTGCAATTTTTTTAAACGAATGTCTTATATTTTTAGAGTACTCTTGTGTACTGGGTGACGACAAATTCTGTTACACTTTTACAACATCACGTGTTAAAAATTCCTTCTGTTAAAAACTATTATGGTCTTCCGAGTTTTGAAAATACTGAAAAAAATGTGGTGTCACCTGGAAATTTTCTAGAAAGTCTTCACAGCAGTAAGTTTCAATTTACTCTCTTAACATTGTGTAAGACTATTTAATATTTTTCTGAAAGTTTTAGATAATATTAATTAGAATGATAATGGCAATACTTTTCTTTGAATTAAATATTTTTTTAGACGTGGAAAACATGAAAGTTACACAACAATTCAATGAGAGAATTTATCTTCAAAATATGGAAAAAACTAAATACAAAAGGCAACAGACTAAAGTTCCTGAACAAAAGAAAATGAAACGTTAAATGTAAATAAATTTGTGAAAATCGTATTGCGTGTTGAAATTGTATTTATATATGATAAATAATGTATAAATTAGAAAAAAGAATTATTAAAATAACATTTGATTTATTATATTTTTAACAACACATTTAAAATTTTTTTAAAAGTATACATTTTAAGCCTTTTGAACTTGGAATAGTTTAGAGGAAAAGTTTACTTATAATTCTACTCGTATACACTGATTAATTACTTCGAGGAGATGATTATTTTCGAGGGCAGCTGCAACACGTTCCTTATCGGCGAGTTGTTTATTTATTGCCAATTCGGAAGCGTGTGTTCCAGGTGTAATTTCAACTGTGACTTTAAATCTTGCTGGTAATGCCCGTAAAAGTTGAACTCTTATTGAAAGGCCGATTAACGTGGCCATACTACAGTGAGGAATTGTTGGTGTGAATTTTACTAAAACTGCATTATTCTTATTGTCCACCTGTGGATAATTTTTCATTTATAGTTTCAAAAATAAATAGTTTGCTAACTAAACATTTTTATTATATATTTTCAGATATTACAAGCCTCGGATCTACTTTCAAACATAAAAAAAGTCTCTTTAGTCGATTAAAAATACAAAAAAAGTCGAAAATAAAATTTAAAAAATTTCAAATTCTGAAAGTACTTCTAAAGAATTCAATTATTTAAATACAAAAATTCAATTTTTATAATAATTGAAACCGTTCATTTTTCTTTTTAAAGATATTAAGGTAGAATATATTCAAAAAATTTTAATAAATAAATTCGTAAAATTAACTTTTTAAAAATATTTCTAAATAATTTTTGAAAGACGCAATAGTTTTACAATTACATAAAAATTAAAAATTTTTTTTTTAAACTTAAATTTGGTAAAATCTTTTTAAAAAATAATTTAAATTTAGTAAAATTTTTGAAAAATAATTAAAATTTGCAATGAATTTTAATTAAATTCCTTAAAATAATTAAATTTGGCAAAAGTTTTAATAAAATTTTTGAAAATAATTGAATCTTGCAAAGAGTTTTATTAAAATTATAGATGAATTAGAATTTTAATAAAATTTCAGAAAAAATTGAATTTTGCAAAGGGGGCCCCGTCCATAAACTACGTCACGCCTTAGAGAGAGGCGGGGTGGAATTCATTTTTTGTGACGTTCTGTAGAAAAAATGGCGCTAAAGCATGTAAAATTTGTGACGTGGGTAGGGGGGGGGGGGTGGAAAAATTAGGCAAAATAGTGTGACGTAGTTTATGAACGGCCCCAAAGAGTTTTATTAAAATTCATGAAAATAATTGAATTTTTCAATAAATTTAAAAAAAATCCTGAAAATTGAATTTAGACAAAAATTTTATTAAAATTCCTGAAAATAATTGAATTTTGCAACGAATTTTAATAAAATTCCCTAAAATAATTAAATTTTGCAAAAAAATTTATTAAGCAAATAAATAATTGAGTTTTTAAATAATATTAAAAAAATAATCAAATTTTTGATGAATTTTAATTATAAATAATTACTTTCTTAAAACTATTTTAATATTTTCATTTTTTAACGAATTTACACTTGAAGATTATTCATTAAAATTTTTAAAAATTCAATTATTTCCAAAATTATCAATAAAATATCTATAATAGTTAATTTTCAAAAATTTTAATAAAATACTTGAAAAAAATGATTTATTTTCAATTAATTTTACTAAATTTCAATTATTCAAAATCTTTTTAATTGTATATTTCAAAAATTTAATTAGAAAAAATTTTCAAAAACAATTTTTGAAACATTTATCTACAGTTTTTTATACTGCGCGTAAAAATCGAAAAAAGTTTTTTAATATAAGTCGATAAAAGTCGCATTATTTAAAAATAGTCGAAAAAGTCGAAAAAATCACAATATCCGAGGCCTGCAATTCTAAGAAATCTTTTTTTTTAAATATTCTAATGTAATTTATTCGAAAATAATTGAATTTCTTAAAAGAATTTTTGTATAAATTTAAAAAAATCTAAGCCATTTTTTTAGAATTTTAATTAAAAATTTTCACAATGATTGTTTTCTCCAAAATGTTAAAAATAATCTTGAAAAATTTTAAATGTTTGTATTATTTTTTGTACCTGTGTATTTGAATTTTCGTAATTATGTTTTTAAAAATATTGATGATTCTTCATTAAATTTTTTGAAAATTTAATTATTTTCAAAAAATTTGCAATTAAACTTCTTCAAAAGTTGATTTTCAAAAATTGTAATAATTGAAAAAAATCAATTATTTAAATTAAATTTTACAAAATTTCAATTATTCCAAATCTTTTTAATTGTATATTTTGAAAATTTAATAAGAAAATTTATTCATAAATAATTTTTGAAAGATTTGTCTATATAGTTATTTTTCACACCTTAAAAATCGAAATTAATTGCAATTTATACTAAAAATATGGTATTTTGTAGCAATATTTGGAAGAAAAGTCGAGAAAGTCGCAATTTTTGAAAATAGTCGAAAAAAGTCGAAAAAGTCAGAATATCCGAGGCCTGATATTATGTTCTCTTACTTCAATAAGATCCTCTTCGACGACTTTTAATTCCTCGAGAGTTAAAGGATGTTCCGGATCGTTTATGTTCCTGACGATGTCTGTGGGCAACGAGAAAATTTATAATAACAATACAGATAAGACTTTTTATTTATTTATTTTATTAGTTAATTTATCTTCAGAAATCTTTATACTAGTCAAAAAAATTTCTTCAGATTTTGGTTATAATTTTTTCTAAAATATAATGACATTAAAATTCACAAACAATTTTAAAGAAAAAAATTAATGTGTTTGAATATGTTCGCACTTTGCAGTTACATAGTTTTTGTTTGCTTAGCTAAATAACTTTTTTAAAAATAATATTTCTTTTTAAATGTTTTAAATTTTAAAATTAATGCACTGAAAATTACTGAATTCTTGCAAAGTTGTTATCAAGAAATTTGAAAATAATTAAAGTCATTTGAAAGGGTTATATTAAAAAATTTTAAATAATTGTATTCTCTCGAGAAAATTTAGTTAAAATTGTATTGAAAATAATTAAATTCTCACAAAAAATCTGGCAGCTCTATTTCTAATTAAAATTTGTAATTATTATTAATTAATTAGCAAATCAAAATAAAATTTTGAATAACAAAATAATTTAACAAATTTTTAATTCAATAATAATTAAATGCAAAAGTAAAAAAAATTGTAAATAGGTAATAGTTTAAAAAATTATTTATGGAACTGTATAGTACACATAAACGACAATGTAATTTTTATTTAAAAAAAAGTAGCTGAATTATTCATACCGAAAACTTCACGTGAGTCGAATTCGTCGACAACGTCTTCATTTTCATCATCAGCTGTCACTTTCCTCTCATCAAGTTTTTTATACAATGTAGGGTTAACATTTTCTAATTGTTCTGCATTGTTTTTGTCACCCGAATAAACAAAATAATTATTCATGGTACAGTGTCAAAATAATGTAAAGACACTTTCATAAATGTAATTTTTAACGAGTGTAAAATTGGCACAATACCAGAGGAAATAATGATTTCATCAATTGTAATCGTTTAATAGCCTTTTAATCACTTTTTATTGTTTGGTAATTAATATTTAATTATTTATTCAAGTTATAGGTTAAAGAGCTACTTTGCTATATCCCCGTCAAGAAGACTATATACAGGAGAACCAACTCGCCTGCTTGTTCATAGAGAGCAGTGGTCCCGTTTTTAACGGACGACTGGGCGTACTACCCCGAGGCGCACTAGTCTTCTGCACATCGCAACACATGCATAACTGTATAAACTCTATCTGTGTATCTTTAAATAATGTGTGTTTGTTTTGTTTACAATTTTCTTGGTTATGTGCAAGTTCTGTGACAGTTGATTTTGAAAACACTAAATGAAATGCCATAAAAGAGTTTGTATCTTCTGAAATATTTTTGCTTGATTTCATCTTTATTAGTTTTTATAATTTATAAATCTCTTTTAAAATCTTTGAAATATCGTAGAGCGTTAAATCCGAAAACTTAGTTCAGTTGGAAAAATTCCTCTTTGGAGGTTATGGTTAACCTCAAATACAATGCTATAACAGAAATAAATATAATTGCAGCAATAATAAATATATAATAAATTATATATTACAATAGGATAGATAATAATTTATAATATAACATACCCTTTTTTTATTGTAAGATAAAAAATGGTTATGAAAATCCCATTACAACTTTTATTATTTAAATTAACACTCTTCATCAATACGAATCATAATTAAAAACACTAGTGTTAAATACACTTCTCACTTTTATTAGAAATTTCTGTATTAAAAATATTAAGTTCACTTAATATTTACACTTATTATTCAATATGAGGGGATAATAAAAACTTGCAGCTGTTACAGCTGTCAGATGGAATATATATAAAATATACACAGTTATGCATGTGTTGAGGTGTGCAGAAGACTAGTGCGCCTCGGGGTAGTACACCCAATCGTCCGTTAAAATCGGGACCATCGGAAATACTCGAGTTGTTCCTCCTGTATATAGTCTTCTTGATCCCCGTCAATACAAAACAGAAAGCTGAACGATGCGCATGCGCAAATTTGGCAGCCATATTGCTGCAGGGAAAACTTCAAAAATAATTTTATTTTTACAATATTCAAGAAAATGTTTATTAACATTTAAAAAAAATTTATTTGTTTTATTTATTATTTATTTTAATTTAAACGGACAGAAAACAAAATTTATGCCCAAATACAAAGTATTAATTACAATAACTATTTCAGTAAACGTAATTAATGTTAAAAAAATTGTCATTATTGAGAAAACGAAATTCTGCAAATTGTTTTCCTTTTTTTTATAAAAAATTAGAACTTTGTAGGTAATGACAAATATAAAATATATATATCCATTTTGCATTATTTCTGTTTATCAATCATAATTTTGTTTTACAAAAAGAAGAAAAATGTTTGCATAATTCTTATTTTTTATAATCACATTTTTTGTACAAAATTCTGTTTCTTTTTAAAAAGGAAATAATTTGCACCATATTCGATTTTTCAATTACAATTTTTTCAAACAAAATTCAAAGATTTCTTAGAAATAAAAAAATAGAATTTTTATAAATTCAAAAAAATTTTTTTTTTAGCAATTTTTTAATTTTTGAAAAAATTGATTTTTGACTGATTCTATTTCAATTTATGCAGGGCAAATAGGTTGAAAATTCTAAATCAATGTTAAAGGTGATTTTTCTTGTTCTGAGCTATGAGTGTTTGAAAATTTTAGGACATATCGTGATTTTAGAGCTAAACAGCTGATGACAAATTATTTTCAAATCTTTCTAGTTTTTGCAAAAATTAATATTTTTCAATTTTTTTTCTTGATTTTAGTAGTATTTTTGATACTTTTTCTTTGCAAACTTGAAAATATGAAAAATTTTGAAAATTAACAAAATGCCGGACATTTTTCGAAAAATCAAAAAAATTATTTTCTCAAAAACATCATTTTTTATTTTTCTTAAAATTTTTGTGTGATTACTAGATGAAAAAAGGAACTATTTTCAAAAGGTTTCATGTCCGCCAAAACTGTTTGGAAGTCGCTATAATTTTAAGATCACAGCACAGAAACTTTCCTAAAAATTTATTAAATATTTACTTGCAATATTCGGAATATTCAATTGCAATGTTTATTGAAAGTTGTGTAAAGATTTAAATGTCCCGATTAAATAAATGTTTAGCGCGAAACTTTCCTGAACATTTAAATGATATTTTCGCCTAATTATAATTATCCCAGAGTTTAATAAAAAATATTTCATTTGTAAAAATATTATTTTTTTTGCCTCTGTAGCTTATCTCCCAAAGATCCTTGAAAAAAAAGTGTCCCGTGGTGAACAAGATAACAATTGATAGAATCATCTGAGATCAAAAAGTTAAATAGATTCTGTTAGTGTATGAAAAAATGTACTCTTTGATCGAAGGAATTAAAAAATTATCACTTTTTGACAAAATGAAAGCCAAAAAAAAGTTCATTTTTATGAAAAAGAAATCGTCTTCAAATGTTGATTAAAATTATGATTTTATTTAAAAAACCTACGATCAAGGACAGCAAAAAGTAGTTGTTGAGCTTGTGTGAAAATTAGAGCTAAATCGGTTTAGCGGTTTTTGAGAAATCGTGTTCACCGACTTGAAAAAAATAGTTTTGATAAAAGCGAGTTTAAAGCGTCATAAACAGTTTACATTGAGTTAAATTTTTTTTTTAAACTTACATTGAATCATCTATTCAAGGCCCATATATTGAGTCTTCCACTCCTGTTGCAGCTTTCAGAAAATGCAAAAAAATCGATTTTTTGAAAATCGTGACTGCATATATAACCCCTTAAAGTGAATTTATACTATTTTTGAAAAATTCATCTAACATTTTGAATTCTTTAAAATCAACACCGTAATTGTAATCAGCAACCCCAAAATCCCAAGTAATAATCATTAACATTTTATTAGTAATAATAAACAATATTTGGACTACATATTCTTAAAGCGTAATTCCTCTTGAAAAAAAGAAGGAATAGTATAAAAGTTTCGTCTCGAAAAACTGAGAGTTTCGCGAGAAAAACAATGAAAAATTGAAAACAATTGAATATTATGTTCTCATCTCTTTTCTTTTATGAAATGACGCAGATTCTCGTTGTGCATCACTAACTCAAAAATACTTAAAAATATTAAATTTTTAAAGGAGATTTATATTTGTCTTATGGGAGTGAAGAAGTTGAGGTGAGTGTCGCAGACTTAAAGGATTTGAGTCTTCATAATAAGACTACAAAAAAATTTAATGAAGAAATTGGTGAAAATATTGATGCAAAATAAAGGAACAGAGTTTTGAACTAATATTACCACTTCGTTGAGAACGCAATTTGGTCTAAATTTGCTAGGGGCTTAGTGAATGTGTATAGACAGAGAACTGATTTACTCTTAAATTATTATCATGATATTATACACTGATCCAATATGTGCAAGTATTCGATTCATAGTGAAGCACCTAGACTTGTATATTAAAGAGAAGGGAGAAAGTGGCATCACTATAAATACTTGACCGTGACTTTGAAAGTATTAAAGATACAGCATCGATTTAAAGTTGTTATTGTGGAGTCAGGTTCTTTGAACCTAATAGTGTCTCTATTTACTACAATCATGAAGGTCCTGGTAAGTAATAATTTTTCGTCAAATAACACGTCCACTTTCCAAAAAGAGAGAAACTACCGTTTACAAAAGCCATGTAAGACTTAAAATTAATTTTTTCTGTAAATAAAAATTATTTGTAATAGAGCATAATGTACTATACAATATCTTTATGATTTCTAAGCAAAGGGTGTTATACTATCCGGTTAATGGAGTTGATGACTTATGGTATATTTTTCCATAAAATGTAATTTTAGATTTAATTTTTTTTTGACAATTGTCAAAACTTAAGTGTACTAAATATTTATAATACGATTTATAATTCTCTCTATGAATATAATTTCCAAAAGTTCATGAAAGAGAAAAAATCTTTATTATTTTATTTCTTTTAACTAAAAAATATGTTTTTATTATGAAAACAAAACAAGTTATATTACGTTATAAAAATATGAACATACCTTTGACCAAAAATTAATTCTCCTGATTATTGAACTCGTTATTAATTAATTAATTGCACAGAAAAACATGAATTATTTTAACTTTTGCATTAATAAGAATATTGAGTCATTTACAAAATGCCACGAAAAAAAAATTTTTCACTCAAATTTGCAATTAGTATCGTTACTGACATGAGAGTTGAAGAAATGGAATAAATATTATATTTTAATAAATTTTTTCGAAGCAAAAAATAGTAAGGTTGGATATTTGATTAATTTCAATTAGTTCTCTTGTCAATCTTTATTGCACCTAGAATTTTAATATGACAAAGTTTACATATATGCTTTTAGTGTTTTTATCTGTCAATTTTCAGATAAATTAAAAAAATCCCCGGGTTCAATTTCCACAATGTAATATTTTGATGAACTGGGTAGCATTGGTATATGACAAATATTACCTTCTACCTGGAAATTTTGCAAATAATTAATAATATTTACAGATATTTGCGTCCTTAGTGGTGGGTATATTTGGAAGTTACGAGAGTGATCATGGGACAACGACTTATCATGAAACGCAAAAGCCTGTCGAGATACCAATTTACAAAAAGTACGCTATTCCAATTCCTCATCCGATACCAGTTGCTGTCCCACAACAAATAAAAGTACCGATTCCTCAACCCTACCAAGTTCAGGTGCCCGTTCCACATCCAGTCCCAGTAGAAGTCGTAAAACGCATCGAAATACCAATAGAGAAGCCGGAGCCTTACATTGTTGAAAAAAAGGTATTATTTTAACTTCTTTAATTAATAAATTTCAAACTTATAGCCAGATTGATTTTTTGAAATTTGTTCTTTTATTACTATTATTGTTATTATCAGTATTGTATTATATATACATTATACTATTATTTTGCGCCATTCAGGTACCTTACATAGTGGAAAAGCCTTATGCTGTGACAGTGGAAAAACATTTTCCGGTGCCAATTCCAAAACCATATCCTGTGCATGTTCCAGTTTATAAACATGTTTTTCACCATCAGAGCAAAGGACACGGCTGGAAGCACTATTAATCTCTAAAATAAGAAAATAATTAGTAGTTGGAAAATAGTAAACCAAAATATATACAACTGACTATGTGTGTACTTCAGAGTGTACACGTACATATTCATTGTTCAAAATGTTTTAAAAAAACTCTTTAATTATATTAAGTTATGAAGCATGTAATTTAAATTTTGTACATAATATTTTAAGATTGATGTAAAGTAAATATAGATTTACTTCCGTTTGGTAATATTAGTATATTAGAGAATTAATCCTTTATAATTTTGGTTAATTTATTCTTGAGGCTTATTTTCAAAAAAAGTTCTATTTAATGACATTTAAAATGTTTAAATAAAATAAATAAATTTGATGTTAATCGAAATTGTCTGAATTTCTCTATAGTTTAGTTAACCCAAAACGTTGCTATAAGTCTTTCATTGAGTGACACGAATGACCGCAGTCGATATTCCCATCACTGCATTCATAGTTTTTTACGTGGTGTCTTCCGTGACTACGCCACATTCACATCTTTTTTCTTAATAAGAGCTTCTTTTTTAGCATCAATAATGTTTTATTGTTATATATTTATTGCGGGATGCATGAATATTCCACAAATTACAAAGAACCAAAAAGTCTTTTAACAGATAAATATTTAACTTAATTGAATAGAATTAGGATTCAACAGAATTAACGTTTAATAGAATTGATACTTAACAGAATGTCATCAACATAATTGTCATGCAACAAAATTAACGTTTAACAGAATTGACACTTAATAGAATTGACATCGAACAGAATTGTCATATAACAGAATTGACATGCACCACCCAGTAAAAAAAAACTAATTCAAATGGATTGAAATGAATTAAGATTTTTGGTAGAAAGCGGGATTCATTCAAGCTCTTTGTATATTCGATTGAATTTAATTATTCAATTTGGCTGAAGTTGTGCAAACGAATTCGCATTCGTAATAAATGACCAAGGCATGCATTGAATTCGAGCTGACGAATTAAAAAAAATTAAAGGCCCCAAAACTTGTCCATTGAATTAGTATATGAATAGAAGGTTTGGAAGTTCAATACAGTTTGACGAATAATTCAGGAAAATTGCAACATAGCTCCAATTCGTATTTGTCACAAAGCGGGATTCACTGAAACTCTTTGTGAATTCTTTTTAATTTATTTCAATTAGTTTTTGTTTACTGGGCAGAGTTGACATTTAACAGAATTGACATTTAATACAATTGACAATTCTGTTAAATGTCAATTTTGTTGCATGACAATTGTGTTAAATATTTTTCTCTTAAACGACTTTTTGGTGTTTTAGAGTCTAATCGGATTGTATCCGATGACATTACGCAGCGTCAATTTGCTATTTTGCATTTTGTTGACAATTCTTTTTCATTATTGTAGTTGTTATCGTCATAATTTTCCGTTAAAACTGTTATCGATCTTTATATTCATTTCTATTAAACGACGATTGAAGTGATTGTCGGTCATTTTTTATATACTGATCTCTTGCACTAAGAGGTTCTGTCATCCACGTCCTCCACTGAAACCGATTCTATAATAACTCGACGATTTTTCATTAACATCTTATGTCTATATTTAATACTTCAGCATCATCAATCTTTTGACGTTTTTGATTAGCACTTTAGATTTCTTTACAGTTGATTATAATTACAAGGACAAAATACAATAAGTTTATCTATCTATATTAATAAAATCAGACTTCTGTGTGTACATTGCTCCAAACTTGAAAATTTTTATATATTTTTTCGTTTTGAGACATTAGATTTCGAAAAATGTAAAAAAAAATTTCTGTCTGTCTGTCTGTATGTAAAACTTTGTTCGCGCATCAATATTGAAAACGGTTTAACTAATTTAAGTCAAATTTGGCATTCTATTAGGTATTAACGTAACTTAAAATCATACCCGAGTCGAAATTTAAGCCCTACTTTCACCCTGAATTTTCAGGGTCTATTGAGTGTTAGGAGTAGTAAAGTAGGGTCTAATTCTAATACAATTAGACCCTACTTTGACTCCCAAAATAGGCGGAAATTTGCCAATCTTCCATTTGGAGAAGCAAAGGAGGGTCTACTTCTAAGAAACCTATACCGTACTTTTAAACCTCGTAGACCCTACTTTCATACTCCTAGACCCTACATTCTAAAAGAAAATTTAGAATTATTTTTTAATGCATTACTTGAAACACTGCAAATGCAAAAAGTACTCCAAATTCATAAATACTGATGTGTTTTATAGCGTCTATATACACTTCGTGTATATAGACGCTATAAAACACATAAAATTCCACTTTTACTCATCCCTAGTGCTTCAATTGAATCTGAGCAAATCTTCAAATTTTTCTTTTTCTAATTGTAGGGTCTAGGAGTATGAAAGTAGGGTCTACGAGGTTTAAAAGTACGGTATAGGTTTCTTAGAAGTAGACCCTCCTTTGCTGCTCCAAATGGAAGATTGGCAAATTTCAGCCTGTTTTGGGAGTCAAAGTAGGGTCTAGTTTTTAAAAATTGTATTGAAATCAGACCCTACTTTACGACTGCTAAACCTGAATAGGCCCTACATTTTCAGAGGCTAAGTAGGGTCTAAATTTCGACTCGGGTAGCCTTATCCGATTAAAAAATATAAACTTGAACGAAAGTTATGACATTTTTCCAAAAAATTCAAAAAATAAAAAAAATGCAAATTTTTTATTTTTTGTAAAATAAATGCAAAACTATCCTTAGCTAACTTTTTCAGATAAATACAACCTATTTCTATAATAAAATTTTTAAAAAAATACGTATTTTGAAATTTTTTTTTTCGATACGGTTTTTTGAATTTTTGATAATTTTTGATAATTTTAGATTTTTTACCAAATTGTGGAGAATATTAAATAAGTAAAGTGTTTTTGAAGAGCACAAAAATAATGAAGCTAAATGCCACGAAAAAGAAGGAAAAATGTTGAATTTTAAGAAATTCGGTTTTTTGAATTTTTGCTAATTTTCCACAATTTTAGATTTTTTACCAAATTGTGGAGAATATTAAATAAGTAAGGTGCTATTCAAGAGCACAAAAATAATGAAGCTGAATGCCATAAAAAAGAAGGAAAAATGTTGAATTTTAAGAAATTCGGTTTTTTGAATTTTTGCTAATTTTCCACAATTTTAGATTTTTTACCAAAGGGTGGACACTATTAAATAAGTAAGGTGCTATTCAAGAGCACAAAAATAATGAAGCTGAATGCCATAAAAAAGAAGGAAAAATGTTGAATTTTAAAAAATTCGGTTTTTTGAATTTTTGCTAATTTTCCAAAATTTTAGATTTTGTACCAAAGGGTGGAGACTATTAAATAAGTAAAGTATTTTTTAAGAGCACAAAAATAATGAAGCTGAATGCCATAAAAAAGAAGGAAAAATGTTGAATTTTAAGAAATTCGGTTTTTCGAAATTTTGACAATTTCTTTTTTCGGAGTAATATCAAAAAAGAAAATAAAACTATGTACCTAAAAATTCAACACCTAATTAACTTCTAAAGTAAAACATTTCTTAAAATATTTTAGGGTGTTAAATGTACTCATATCTACTAAAAATCATACATAACATTGAAAATAGAAGACAAAAAATGATTATTTTACGATGTATTTAATTCACAATATAGCCCTATATTTTTGTTTGACACGTATAATATGTGGAAGGAGGTTAACTGGATGTTTAAGTATTTTGAAAGAGTAAAGTGTTGATCTTAGAGCGGATTAATCGAAGTTTAGGAGTACCCTACTTTTACCAGAGCACTTTATTTACAAACTGAAGCAATTACTTCATTCGTCATAGCAAAAATATTTATAATTGCTCAGCTATCCTTTTCATAACAAATTGTCTACATGGACAAATTCATCAAATTGTATAATTTAATGTTTAAATTAAAAAAATGTTGAAACAACTGTATATATGTTAATATAATCAATTAATTAACATTATCCCAATGGGAAATCGACAAGTTTTTTTATTGGCTAATTTACTAGTTTCCAATAAAAGGCCAATATTAAAATTATATTTTATTTTAATATTTAACATTAATTAACAAAAATTTTCATATTTAGCAATAATTACTTTTTAATTGTCTATGAATAAATGAATTTTTTTTTATAAATTTATATTAAATTTTTTCAATAATTACATTAACAAAGAACGGTAAGAAATAAGGATACTATAATTAATAACTCCTAATTTTTCTAAGAGTGAAAAGGGGATGTTGATCAGCAACTCCAGCGCGAGTTATGTCGTCATTGCTCTTTGCGGTGTTAACATTCAGAAAAAGTTATAGCTTTTAAAATGCGTCTTTTGTTGTGAAGCCGGTTATTTTAAAATGGCATTAATAATAAGGAATAAAACAAACTCTACAACTTTTCAAATGCCCCTTTTCTCTCCATGAAAATAAAAAACATGAAATTGAACATATTTATTTTGATACATAAATTTCATCCTATTTTTTTTATAGGTTTAGTGATATTTAGATGTTTAACTTTTAAAATAATGACATAACCAGAAAAGTAAAAACATAATTTTATATAAAACATTATATTATGTTTTTCAGAACTTTTCCTTTCCTGTATCCTATTTTGACTCATGAATGAAATGAACAACAAATTGCCTATGAACACCTACATTTTTGTTTAAGTCTAAGTTTATTGCCTAGTAGGCACAGGGACATGGGGGTGTCTATTGGATGTCTACGTCTGTTCATAGGACGTTCTGTGTTTGAAAAAAGAATAAATGTGTAGAACTTCTGTGTACCTGACATGGTAACTAATTTTTTTAAACCTTGTTTTTAGTAAAACTTCGTTCTTATAAATAGTTTCTATTTCAACATCCTTCTGTATTTATTCGTTTCGAAACCTATATGTCAAAAGTAAGAGAACTTATTTAAATTAAGGCTCTGACACATTGCGTACACGAAATAATAGTAAAATTCCTTAAAAATTAGATGACAGTAAATTTGTAAATTTAGTAAATTTTTCCAAAAAAGTCCAAAAAAATCTCTACGAAATAACCAGAAAACAGATTTATGCTATTTTCAAAAAATTGATTTTACATAAAACTTTAAAAGACGTATATATCTTGAAAAAAGTTCCATAAAAATTTTAAAATTCGGAAAACAAATGTATCACCCTCAAACTCAGCGCCTGTAGGCTATTACGGCATAATGGAGATTTATTCAGGAAATATCTGGGAGCGACCATTGCATCATATGTATCGACCACTTTTTATACTTCTTAAGGGAATTTCATTAGGCATCGTTGGACTCAACTGAATGAGAAACTTGCTCTATCCAAATGGGGCACAAGTTTATAAATCGAGGAGCAATCACAAAATACTTTTAGTTTCACATGAGCAGCGGATACTAACATTTATTGAATGAAGCATCTAATTTAGTTTATAACCATGCTTAAAATTTCGGTGAGTGAAATATTTTTTTATCGATCTTAATATTTGTTGAAGTTGTTAGACGTTGTTTGCTTCATTACAAAAGTGAACATGGAAAATAAAAATGTTCATCAGAACATTAATAATAATTATTATACAATTCATTTTTAAATACAATTATAAATCTTTAATAATTATCAAATGGTAAACTGGTAAAATTAGGTGGATGATAAATTAACAACTGTTCTAACAAATTTTTTAAAAGTACACATTATTCAAGGATAGAAAATTTATTAATTTATCAAATATTCATTCAGTTAATGTTTCTAATTTTATTTTTTGATGTTATTTTGTAAGGGAAATAACACTGTCCTGCAAATTTAAACTTTTTATCTGCGAATAAAATGGGACAGTGTTTTTGAAATGATTTTTCGTGATAGACACGAAGAAAGGATCAAAAGTATCACCTCAAGTTTTTTAAAAAAGACTTAAAACCTATAAGAGTATAATATTTTTAAATTTTTGAAAAATTGTGCAGCTAAAGTCTGACCCCTTTGTGCAGGGGGTGTGTTTATATATTAGGGTACAAAAAGAAATGTGATTAAGGGTTTTCAGGGTCTTTCTTTTCAAACTTAAATCAAATTTAAAAAATTCAAAATAGTGGTTTTAATATGACGGACATAAAATTTTTGACATTCAGTAAATTAAAATTTTTTTTTATTAAATGTTTCTTTTCAAAATAACAATAGTTTACTTTAATACATAATGTATTTATTATTTTTTTAATGTCAAAATGGTAAAAGGATTACCTTGTGGGCACTGGGACATGGGATGTTTTTAGGACATCATTAGGACGTCTATTTCCTTTATGTTTTTGGGTGTCGCTGAGTTAAAATTCGATATTCATTTTACCCCAACTCGTCAGGCTTTTGACACAATTTCTGAAAGATATTTTAGTTACACAAAAGAAATCTGATTCAGGTTTCGATGTCAGGAAATATTTTATATACGTTTTTGGGATCGCTGAAACCGAATCTTAGGTCCGCTTTACCCTACTTCAAAAGGATTTTGGGATACCCTCAAGAAAGGCATGTTAGTTTAATCATTGATTAACTTTTAATCTGAGTTGGTGAAACTGTCCCTTAGAAGATTTTTATGTTGTTCCATTTTTTATTGGTTTAGCTAGAACTGTTTTTGACGTTATTTCAAAATCCTGATGTGATGGGGGTAAAATGGACTTTGAATTCGGTTTTAACGATTCCAAAAAACGTATAGTGTATTTAACATATGACAGTTGACAGTTTAGTAAATAAGTTGAAACAACTTTTAAAAAATGTTTTTGGAAACCTTAAAAAAAAATTAAAAAATAAGTCATTTGAATAAGAAGTAAAACGTGTCAGTATTTTTGCGAACGATCTGACGAACAGTACTTTAAATAAAAAATTGTATTTCAGATTTTAGTGCTACTGTGTCTCTCCCGTGTCTATTCAGAAACGGTAGAAAAGGTCTCAATAGAGAAAGAAACAGATGTAGAGAAATCGAAAAGACATGCTTCTCATCCAGAACCCTGTCCTCCAGAACACACTAGTTCTCAAATATGGAAACCTGAAATTAAAGTTAGTTTTCAAGCAATGCCTCTTATTATTCATTCGTAAACAACTTTAAACTTAAGCCAATGTTTATTGTTCAAAGCAAGCCATAAATTTTGTGAAACCATTGCCAACTGGATGGCAATCAAAATCTTCTGGATGGGAACAACAAAAATGGCAATCACCTTCTACAGGATGGCAGCCTAAATCTTCAGGATGGGATCAACAAAAATGGCAACCAATGCCATCAGGTTGGCAATCAATGCTAACAAGGAAAGTACAACCCTTATCAAGTGGTTGGGAAAAACAAAAATGGCAGCCAACATCTTCAGGATGGAATCAGCAAAAATGGCAAGCACCTTCCACAGGATGGCAGCCTAAATCATCTGGTTGGGATCAACAAAAATGGCAACCACCAACGACAGGGTGGCAGCCTAAATCTTCTGGTTGGAATCAACAAAAATGGCAACCACCTTCTACAGGATGGCAGCCTAAGTCTTCTGGATGGGATCAACAAAAATGGAAACCAGCGACGACAGGGTGGCAGCCTAAGTCTTCTGGATGGGATCAACAAAAATGGCAACCACCTTCTACAGGATGGCAGCCTAAATCTTCAGGATGGGATCAACAAAAATGGAAACCAGCGACGACAGGGTGGCAGCCTAAATCTTCTGGTTGGGATCAACAAAAATGGCAACCACCCTCTACAGGATGGCAGCCTAAATCTTCAGGATGGGAGCAACAAAAATGGCAACCACCTTCTACAGGATGGCAGCCTAAATCTTCAGGATGGGAGCAACAAAAATGGCAACCATCAACGACAGGGTGGCAGCAACCGAAAGTCAATCTGCACAAACCAATGTTTGAATATGCCCCAATGTACCACCAACCAATGATACATAAATCCTGGGCCTCGAATTGGCAGGAACCATGCCCTGAACAACATGCTCCACTACCACTTATGCATCACATTAAAATACCTCAAATAAATTACATTAAACCTCAAATACAGCCTGTTGTTCATTTGCCACCTGTACAAAATAAGGTTTGGGAGGAGCCTTGTGATTGAAACGTTACTCAAATCTTTTCACTGGCTTCTTCATTACCAATCAAAGTCTTAAGAAAGAATCTTGTCTCATTAAAATAAAATATTCTGTCATTTTGATTTTAACACATCTCTCAAAAATCTTATTGTTTGCAAATGTATTATTTTTGACCCATTCAATGATGTACAACTTAGTTTTAATTTTGTATTTATTTCTACGATACGTATGAAAGTGACCAGGCAACGAGTAAAAAGGTATTCATCATTAAAAGTCTTTTTTCTACCACAAAAAGAAAAACAATTGCAGTTTTATTTAATTCTTTTTATCCTCTCCTTACTACTTCATTTCAAATTAATCGTACATTTTAATAAAATTTATTTGAAGAAATATCTAATTTAAAAAGATACAGAAAAATAATCTGAGCAATACAATAGTTTTGATAAAAAAGTCAAATTAATACTTGATAATCGTGATGACGGCAAAAAATCAAATTCGAAAAAATGCTTTAAACTTTTAAGGATCAGATGTATGCAATATTTGAAGTTTAGAATTATTTTGAACTATTAAGGCGGTGTCAAAGTGAATTGGATTTTTGCATTGAGCTTCAATGGGAAAATCGCATCGACTTTGACATCCAAAAAACAAATATTTTTTGACAAAAACATTTGATAATAGACATATCTTATGGCTTAGGAATCCCTCTTTTAAATAATTTTTGAATTTCTAAATAATCTTACCATGATAATTTTTCTATTATCTTTTCTATTATACAATATTCACATATTTTTATTACTGCCTTTATATAGTAAACGCAACATTGAAAAAGTAACATTTACGAAGTAAATTATTAACAATTTATTAACAATAACAATCTTAATTTTATTCAAAACATAAATAAGAAGTAATAATTTTTATTAAGTAATAATTTATTATCACTAAATATTTATTAATAAGAGTATAAATATTGCAAAACCGTTTTGCACACAGTTTTATGTTTATTATCAATGTTTACAGAGACCAACTCTTGAAGTTGCTCCGTAAATATTGTATATAGTCAATTCTTTCATGCGACTTTACAGAGTGTCTATTTTCTATATATTTATATAATCTAAATTATTTCTTTTTATAACTTAGAAAGAAGTCTCTTTTTACAGTGAAAAATGTCAAATTTTTGGAATTCATCATTAATGGTCTAATGCCAATGCTTTCCTTTTGATGAGTGTTGGTACACATGTTTGTAAATAGGTACATGTACTGTATAAGGCTTTACAACGGGATAAGAGAATTTTTTTTCCACGTAAACAGGATAAGGTTTTTCCACGACGTATGGTACCTGAAAAGGTTATATTTTGTTAATGAAAAATAATAAAAATCTAAAAAAAATAGTGAGAATTAACATTACAGTTTGAACGATAAAACTAATGAAAGCGTTTATTAAACAACTGAAATGTTGTTAGTTTTGATGGCTGTGTATAAATTAAAAAAGATAGGTTGACAATTTTTTTTAAAAGATCTTGAAAATTAAAAAAAATTATGAAAAATTATTATGGGGTGCTGTAACCTACTTGTTAAACTAAATCAGTGCTGCATGACAGTATATAAAAGTTTGATTTGAATTATGCAGATATCAATCATACTTTAGTTGTTAATCCTTTCACTGTTTTTTTAAGATAAACGGTATTCTTTTTCTATTGTATTTTTATTATGGAAAAATAAAGCAATATCAAAACAGCATAGAAGTAATGTTGGCTGCTTAGTTTAGAAAATTTTATTTATCTTAAAGTTGTAAATATAATTTGTAAAATAATTTTGAAAAATACAAATTTTCTATTGTTGCTAATATATTTATTCTGTTTCTAAACTTACGTGCTTTTCCACTACATATGGTTCAGGTTTTTCAACTGGGATTTCTATGTGTTTGATAACTTCAACTGGATATGGTTGAGATATCTCTATTGGCACTTGGTATGGTTGAGGAATTGGTATCCTAATTTCTTGTGGTACTTTGACTATTACAGGATGTGGAATTGGTATAGCTGAAATCAGAATATTTATACTATGCTGTATGAAAGTATTTAAATATTATGAATTTAATCTAGACAAAGTAAATAAAATATCTTTGATTTCCAAATATGTCTTAATTAAGAGAAGTTAAGTTGAATGTTCCTTATCGCAAAGAAATCAGATCACTTTAATTTGTTTTAAGGGAGTAGGACGACCGATATTGTGTATGCTGTTCATTATGGAATAGATGTCCAAAGGTGCCATCAATATATTACGTAACACTATTTTTGATCCCCCTTTTCCCATGCAGTGCCACTAGACTCGATTGTAATGATTGCGGAGGCGGAAGTGCAAGAATGCGGATTTCCATTTGAAAAACGGAATTTTTAAAAATAGATTTTAAAACACTATGCAGTTTTCTAAAAATCAAAACTAGTTATGAAACTTTATTAATTATATTCGACATGAATTTTTTTTACATAAATACTTATTTATGAGCAAAAATTACATTTGTTAAATTGATATTGTTTATTTTTATATAGTAAGTAAAATGAAAATTCTTATAAATTTTTACCTTTTGATTTTGTATTAAATGAATAAACCACATTATTACTTATAGCATATGGCTCTAACTGTTTTAAAATAGTACGTAATAAAATTAAAATTATTTGAAAAAAATTACGACTATAGTCAAAAATATGGAATTTTTCGTTATTCGCATTTGTCAATGCGGATTGCGGATGACGGTCTCATTTTGCGATGTTAAGTGCGGAAATGCGGTATATCTGTCAACACTTGTATACCATGTTACACAGTATTAAGTACATTAACACCATCTTTACTGCAGGTTGTCACACATTGCTTGACACCTCCCCCTTGGTGGGGGAGGTCTATTGATAAATTAAACATTATTCAATGTAAAAAAATTAATAATAAATGCAGTTACGTAAAATTATAAATAATTATAAATCAATAAATTTCAAAACTAAAAAAAAAATATTTTTGCACAAATTTTTTGGTTTTTCAAAATCAAACTTCGTACTAAAATGTTATTCGGGTAGCTATGTAAATACTAATCTGAATTTTGGAGAATTGACCGAAATCGCTTGAAAGTCGTTACTTGGGGGACGCATGATTATTCTCCAAATGTCATTTTTCCGAAATGTCATTTTACCGAACTGCACTTTTGCGAATAGTCATTTTTGCGAGAAGCCAATTTTGCGAAATGTCACTTTTGCGAATTGTCATTTTTGCGAAAAGCTATTTTTGCGAATTGTCATTTTTGCGAATGGCCATTTTTACGAATTGTCAATTTTCTGAAAAGTCATTTTTGCGAATCGTCATTTTTGCGAATTGTCACTTCTGCGAATCGCCATTTTTACGAATAGCCATTTTTGCGAATTGTCATTTTTGCAAACCGACATTTTTACGAATTGTCAATTTTCCGAAAAGTCATTTTTGCGAATCGCCATTTTTACGAATTGTCAATTTTCCGAAAAGTCATTTTTGCGAAAAATACAATAGTGAATTTATAGACCTACAAGTTTTCTATTGTATTTTTCGCAAAAATGACAATTCGCAAAAATGACTTTTCGGAAATTTGACAATTCGTAAAAATGTCGATTCGCAAATATGACTTTTCGGAAAATTGACAATTCGCAAAAATGGCGATTCGCAAAAATGACAATTCGCAAAAATAACAATTCGTAAAAATAACTTTTCGCAAAAATGACTATTCGCAAAAATGACAATTTGTAAAAATGGCAATTTGTAAAAATGGCGATTCGCAAAAGTGACAATTCGCAAAAATGACATTTCTCAAAAATGACAATTCGCAAAAATGTCAATTCGCAAAAATGGCAATTCGTAAAAATGGCGATTCGCAAAAATGACAATTCGCAAAAATAGCTTTTCGATAAAATGACAATTTGCAAAAGTGGCATTTCGCAAAAGTGCAGTTCGGTAAAATGACATTTCGGAAAAATGACATTTGGGGAATAATCATGCGCCCCGTTACTTGGGGGTTTTTGGGGTCGCTGATTACGAATATTAAGTTACTTTTATTTCATTAACATTATTTTCTTAAATAACTGTACCGTCAGCATTGCACGATCGGATTTATTGCATCTTATAGCCCTTAATAAAAAACTGTAATTAATTAAAAATGATTTCAAATTTTTAATCAGCGATTTTGATCAATTCTCAAAAATTTGTCAGCCATATTGGATCGGCCATATTGAATTTTTCACGAACGTTACTATTATTTGTAAAGAGAATAAAAAATTACATAATATACGATTATAATTATTGTTTATTAACAATAGATAAAATATTCAAAAGAAAATATCAAAATTTAATTTTTCAAAATTTCCTCAAATTCGCTTAAAACTTGTTATTTGGGGGTTAATAATGCGCTCTTTTGGTCACTCTATTGACAGAACAATAATTATTTTAAATATGTTTTTGAAAAATTTTGACAACAGGTACAAAATTATGAACACTATCTAATTAATTAAATGTACGTCAAAATCGAATTTCATTGTTTTTTTATTTTAATTTTTTTAATAAACTTTGATCCACACAAGATTAATAAAGTTATTTACTAATACATGAAATCAATAATTTTAAAACTCACCATATTTTTTATATATAGGAATATTTACGGGTTTAGTTTTCTCCTCATACGTTGTATCGACATGATCAGGATAATCAGCAGACACCAAAAAAATGCAAGCGAAGAAAATAATCTGCAATTGAAATCTCCGATATTTAATCTTTCACTTCACGTACACATGAGGAAAATTATTGTCTTTATTCACAATAGACAATAAAAGTGCACTTTAATTACAGTATTTTGCTTTAGAAATTTCCTATTAACATTTTCTTCCTGAATCATATATATGACTGGAAATTTTTATTAAACAATTTTTTTATTTTGCAAAAAAAATTTTTAAATTTTGTGATTCTTTTGTTTAACTTATCCAACACACTTTTTTATTTCTACAAAATAGTTTAATTATTATAATTAATATATATTAATTTGAATCAGTGAAAGTTTCAATTTTTAAATTAAATTTAATTAGTTTTTTGTCTTTTCCTATTTTATATAACAAATAATTGTAAATAAAATTAATAATCAGTAATTCAATTCCGGCTATCTCAGTTAGTAAAATGTTATTAACTCGCAATCCCTTTCACTGTGAATTAGTGCAATTTCACTAATTCAGGTAAATCAGAAATTTTAAATCTAATGAATTAATATTTTGGCTACTTTCTTTTCCCCCATGGTCATTAAAATCAAAATAAATAATTTTCTAATATTTATTTTAATGTATTACTGTATAAGAATCAGTCATTAATTGTTGGAAGTGGAAATTTAATTGCTGTAAATAAATAAATAAATAAATAAATTTAAGAGATTAACATTAAGTTTAATAATGCTTAAAATACTTGGAAAGAATTTTAGTGTGATTTGTTTTTTGTACTTAATATTTCTTGTGTTTTTAAATGTTTATTTAGATTTTAGTGACAATGGGATTAGAAGAAAACGAGATAAAATATTAATTTATTTCGATTTAAAGCTGAAAAGATGTATTGTTGTATTTTCGTTTTGAGAAAATTCTTACGATTTGATTCATGATAGAACTTTTTGGAGGAAGTAGAATATTGACACTGTTTTATGTCCAGTTGAAAGATTGAGTTTATATACACTTCGAATTCTATCACCTTTCACTTGAATCCTCTTTTGTACTATCTCTTCCGCTTGGGATTATTATGGTATTGGTATTACAAATGTTCCAACTGTATAAAAATTTTTAAGTATCTAACTGCACTATGGAAGAACAATTATCGTCACAACAGTTCTTATTGTATTTGGATGATTGTTAATTGATTCAAAACTTGTCTTAGAATTCTGTTAAAGAAGTCAACATTATTTGTTAACTAAAATAATTGCACGCTATTACATCTTTGTAATTAAAAAATTACATCAAATTAGCGAAGATCAAGTAGTACTCTTCAACAATTTTCTCTCTAATTGATAATAATGATTGTATCACAACAATGAAAATAAACTCCTAATCTGAAAACGATTAATAACCAATTAAAAAAATAAAGACAAAATTGAACATAAGAAAATTATTATTCAATTTCATTAACCCTTTGACACAACCATTAAGAAAATAACATACCCCATATACCCCTGTTGAGAGCTGTGCGCGGTAATCATAAATGCACTTTCATTATTTAAATAAACTAATAATTCATTCAAATAAAAACAGTGTAATGAAAAATGTTGTTGAGAACTCATATGCATGCATTACTTTCATTGTGAGATAATTTTTTAATACAAAGAAACAGTGTTTTAGTGCACAATTTCTGAGACTTCTTGCAATACTTTTATTAATTTTGATTTGAAAACGTTTTTTCAGTCGACACTTCTAACAAATATTTAAAGATAATAAAATATGAATATTTTACAACAGAAAATGTAGTAAATCGTAAACACCTTAAGAGAACGTTGATTTACTTGAATAAGAAATTAATTGTTATATGGCTTTTTTAAATATTCTTTTTTCATTTAGAGAATATAGAAGGAAGTAATCAATGCATTTACTTTCGCCTGGACTTTTTTAATTTCGTTCTTTTTCATTAACTATATGCTTTTATATTCTCATACTGTGTGCGCCATTACATTATAGCAATAGCATTATAAATTTTCTCGAGATCTCTTGAAATATTTTGATTGATTTTATTCGACAAATTTTTTATTAATGTAAGATTCAATCACAAGATAAACAAGATAAATGTGCTTATTTGTAACAATGAATACTCTCCCTTCCGTGTTTGAGGTTTCTATTATATAGTTCGCAATTTTAAAAAAATATAAATGATTATGCTAAACTTTAATCTTTTTTTATTATTCCCTCCTGAAAGCTTTGAACGAACTTTTTATCAAAATAAATCTATAAAATATATTTGTTTATTTGCGATTATAAGTAATAATATATAAATTGTTTTTTTTAACTATATGAATAACAAATTTAAATTCATTTTTAAAAAAGTTTATAAATGCATTTCTTTCGTTTCAGATGTATAGTCCATTACGTTTCGATTAAGGTGATTGTGTAATCTGTTTATAGTATGAAATAGAACGAGTTATGATAAAATTTTTATTACTTTTCTCAAAATATGTTTGTAAAATATAGAAAGTGTAGACTAAGTGTTTTAGTGTTAGTTCATTTATATTTTGATTAAAGTGATTCCAGAAGTTTTTAAATTGTTATTATGTGCAATGATTCTGTTTGCTTTCTGCTGCACTAAAGAAATAATAATTTAATAAACTTTTTTAGTTCTATTACCATAAGCTTTAAATTGTTTATCTACATTTTTATTATTACTTTCCGGGGTTTTATAAATCTAAACCTCACTTTTTATTCCCCAGCTAATAAAATTCCCCCCTTTTTGCTGTACGTATAGCCGACTTTTGTTACAAGTACAAGTTCTGTAAATATTAAACAGATTTTTCAATTTATTTCTATTACATGGTCTATTTTCATTGTTTAACACATAATTTAATGTTACTTTATCAAGTTCGCAATAATTAAAATATAAAATATTTTCACGCTTGTCCGGGGCTACCCGACAAATTGTTGAAGGTTAGGATTTTAATACTCGAATGTTTGTCCTTATTTTTCTCTTAAAAGGTTTGATTATTTTACAAATGATTTTATATTCAAGATTGAATGAAGCTTTCTGTTTGATATAAAAAAATTTAATTGATATTACAAAAACATGAAAACAAATTTTATTTACCAAAAAGCTTAAGTGTCCGGGGCTATATATACCATTCTCTTTTTATAAAATGACAAGTTTACATGGATATCTTTGTATTTGCATTCTTCTTTTTGCAAGCTAAACGATTGACATTGATAAACTATCATTTGTTGTGTGAACTTTTGTGATGTAATAATAATTGAGGGCCTCATCAAATATCTGGATATGCGCTCGACGGCACGCGCTTATACCAGTCTGCAAGCAGTGAATGGCCCCAGGGGCACTCACTACTTCTGAAGTTTTTATTGCTTTTAACACGTTGAATATGAACAACTGTCAATGATTTCTAGAAACGGCATAAAACGCTTACTCAGTTATTATAATTGATTTTTATATTCAACGTGCTGAAAGGCAATAAAATTTTTAAAAAAGGATGAGTGTCAATTAAGGTCATTTTTGGATCCTGATAAAATTTTGAATTTTAAAAATCTGATGTCAGATTTGTAATGAGTGACATTTAAATCCCGTGTAATGAGTTTCAAGCGAATCTGACATGATCTGATTAATATTTTAAAAAGTCATCATCATATTTTCATTGAAAAATTCAAAAACCCATGTATTTTGCAATTTCTAAGTTGAGTTATTTTCCTGAGTTCTTCACAAACCAAAAAACAATTTTAGGGGATTTTCAAGCATGCTTGAAAGATCAAATTTTTCATAATATAAGCTGATTTTATCGGGACTTCATATTATTAATATAATATTTTACGATGAACCAACGTAAATATTCATAAGTTAAAATTTCACTGTTCCTTCCGCTTCACATATATTTTTTAAGAAGTATTCCTTGAATTGATTACATTTCTTATAAAATTCGTTTTTTCTTTTTCTTTATATTTACATTGTTTCTCCTAATAAATATAATTAACCTATTAAAAAATAATCGTTTTTAATTAGATAAGTGTAAAGTACATTCATGTGTATATGCATAAATTTTTACATTAACAAAGCAAAATAATCTTTAAACAAAAAACTAATGTTACTTTTCTCATTGTCACTTTTACTTTCTTAATACAAGGTCGAAAGTAGAATCATCTTAAAAAACCAAATAAAAATGTAACTAAAACTGCTTTCTCCAAGTAATTGATATATGAAAGTACTTCTGAATTACGTCAAGTACAAATTTCAGTACCAAAACTAGTTAAAAAGTAATTTAATTCTAATAACTTTCGTACAATATAAAAATATTATTACGGGATATACAGCTAAGTTTAATTATTATACTTTGTATACATTATATTTTGTCTTTTGCAATAAGCGTCTTTTATTACATTAATATACTTTCACGGAAGGCAATCAACAAATTTACAGCAAAAAATTTCAATGGTAGCTTTTAAAGTTTTTAATTTCTTTTCAAATTTTAGATTAGCAATTTAAATACTCCCTCATAGAGAATTGATATACAACAAACGAAAAATCTCAATTGGATTGACAACGCAACAACGCTTATATCCGAACATCAATGAACATGTACAAGAAAATTAATATGTTTATGTACGTGAAAATGAATTTAAAGATTATTACAGTAACATGTGGCTGAACATTCACAAGTCATGTACGTGAAATTGTACATGTTACATGCGCCAAAAAAACAAGCACATGAACATGCATGTATATATAAATTTTGAAACGGGTATGTATGCGTGTGTGTGGATGTTACTTGTGAATATGATAACTTGAAGAGTTTTTTACGAATTAGACTAAAAATAATATCTCAAAATCTTATAATATATCTTATTTTTTATAAAGAATAAAAATTTTTTCGCTGATCGCAAAGATCAAGAAAAATGTTCTTGTTTTAAACATGGTTACTTTCACGAGGAGAGAAATTTAAAAAAAAATCGAATGATTCTAAATATGATATCGTGTTGGTGATGCGTTATATTTTAGAAAACTTGTAATGTGATCCACATAAAATTTGTATTTAAGCAGTGAATCGATTGAGAATCGAACCTTGAAATATAAGTACAAAATGAAATGTGAAAAAGCAAATAGAAAGCATGACAGGTTCTTAAAGCAAAACGAAGATTGGTTTAATTCTAAACGTAATTTAACACTTATAACATAAAATTATCAGTCATATACTACGCAGTGTGAGTATATAAAATCTTACACTGGATTGGTAGTCAGCGACATTAAAAACTCTTATATAGTTTCATTAAATAAAAATAAGTTTTTACATTTTACGTTGTACTGAATGAACCTGGTCTTAAAATGAGTAGCGTAAGCTATTAAAATATAGCATATTTTTGTAGGCATCATTCAGGTTGGGATCCACATTATGATCACAGCTAATTGCCTCTCTTATTTTCTGAAACCAGGAATTCATGTTTTCATCAGTAATGATTTCATCATCGTCTAGAATTCTCTATTGACTCAAGCTCAGGGTAACAAGAGGGATTATCGTGCCACTGTATCTTAGTATCAGTTGCATAATTAAAGTAGTTACGCTTGCTGGGTGTAAAATCATGATACCTCGGATTAGCGTTGAAAAACATGACATATCGTCGTTTGGTTTCTCAAACTATTAATGAAAGTACTCATAAGTACACCGTAGAAGTCAATAATATTGTGAAACTCATTAGCCTCTCTGGTCAGTCTAGCAATCACCGAATTTAATTTTAATTTCTTAACTAATCTGAAGAATGAATTATCAAAATCATCTATTAATGTAAGTATTTTATTCTTTTGTTTTCTTCAAGAGTTGAATTTTCTAACACTATTTGGCATTTGTTTCAAAATTCTTGAAGAGAACTACTATTCAAATTACCAACACTAACAACCAATAATTGTACCGGATTTCGGGGAAAAGATGGTCGACTATAAAATTTCGCTAACATCTTAGAAGGTTCATGTATGAAAGAATGATCCAACGTTGCATTGAAAAATATAACACTGTTAAAAATTTAGGGAGTTATCGGACTCGGGAGTTAGGAGAGAAATTTTTCGAGTTAAAAATCAACTCCAAAAGAGAGTTAATTTACTAACTCCCTTCATCAACACCTGCGCGAGTTATTTATTCCTTGGGGAGTTGGCACTTGGGTGTAAAGTTTTAACTCTCTTTATCCAACTCCCCTGGCATTAACTCCCCAATGGGTGCGACTTTTATAGAATCCCCTGGGAAGTTAAAATTTAACTTCATTTTTTTACAGTGTAGACATTTTATTTATAGTTTAATCAACACATTTCAAATTCGTAATCAAGGTAGTTAAACTATGCCTATGCTTACTATTATACCACTTTCTTTTTATACCGTGTACACATATTTGAAGAAGTAACTAAAGAGGTTCGACATGCTTGGGATACTGATAATGAATCGCTTGAAAAATCTTAAATGTAACGTCGATGGCTCTTACAGGAGATTCTACGTTATATAAAAGGTTGTATACTGAGGTATAATCCTCAGTGATATCCCAGTGGGCAGTAGGATGTCTTAAAGATATCCAAAGAATGTTCTAAAATGTCCAAGTTAACTTTTCATGTCCTTGGGGTATGAAAAATACGACCATAAGCTGTCTATAAGAAGTTCCATGTCTGAACCAGAGACCTCTTTCAAATTTCTCTGGAATGTCCATAAGACATACTTGAAACATTTTTGTGTCATGTTTAGTATTAGTATTAATTAAATGAGCAATTGCAATATTATTGATAAACAAGACCAATAGATGAGATGGAGAAGATTGAGCAAACTTACCAAATGATGATCATTGAATAGCAGCGCAAATATTCTTCTATAAATGATATTCCTAGTGATGGGAACAGCACACTAAATCAAAAATAATTAAAAAGTAAATATTTAATTAACTATAAAGCGCGTTACAACGATGCAAAAGGATGCGTCGAAGCGCAAGAAGCTCACACACACATACACGCGTTGATTTACGTTTACAGAAAGAGATCTCGCAGATCTCTTCGGTGTACGAAGGCACGCTTCTCTCTGATGAGAGAATCGCTCGAGATCGTCATCGTAATCCATGACACGTTTCGTGTGTGACCCGATGACACCCGAATATATAATTCGGTTAATTAGCGAAGGTTGCGGTACCTTATGGGCTATCGCTGGACGGTAAAAGGTACGAAAAGTTTTACCAAATTGAAGTTTTGCATAATGGATCTGGGCTTGGCCAAGCGGTCGCATGTTAACCAGTCCAAAAAGTATCATAAAAGTTTGAGCATTGTTACTGCATCAAAAAACGTGACACACAATGATGAGAGAAAAAGATTATAGTTATAAAAAAATTCAATTCAATTCTCAATATTTTGCTATGCAAATTTGGAAAAATATTGTTCAAATATTGCAGTATTAGTATTATATGAAAAAAAATTAACTCTCTCTGTGTCGCTATATAAAATTTTTTTTGAAAAATATGCATTTCTTTCATCAACTTAACCTTACCCTCTTAATATATTTAAAAGCATATTGATAACTCGTAGAAACAAATTCTCCACTTACCCCACTAGCACACTTCACAAAAAGACTAAGATATTGTTAACAAAACTTAATAATTTAAAAAAAACGAATACAATATTCGTGTGCAAATAAAATACTTTTTCTTAGTGAAATTAAAGAAAAGAAAATATGATTACAAAACCAGGTTTCTGCGAAATGATCTAATGAAAAAAATAATAGATACGTGATGCATACTAGATCTAACATTGTCTAGTCAGTTTGTGACAGTGGGTCTTCTTGGTCGACAGCTAAGTGATTTGAATAATTTGTTTTTAAAATAATACTAATTCGCCACTTAGCCCCACCCTACTCCATTATACTGATAAACAGAAATTTAATAATAGCTGTTAATTCAGAAATTCTAATAAATATGCTATTATAATTATTATTAATTTTTCGTTGTAAAATGGTACATAAATTTCAATTGGCTGAAAATTATAATATTTAACACGAAATAATGATAAAAATTATTTCTCTAATTTTAGTTTATAATTATGTTAATAAAACATTGAATGTAAAAGAGAGATATAGTTTAAACTGAACTACAATAATATATTAAACACCATTTGATTTCATTACCCTGTGATGAATCAACTTTCTCACATTATCAAAACGTTTCAAGATTTAGTCAATTTTTTAGTGAATAAAATATTATTACATTGCCAGAATAGAGAAATAGAGCAATAAATGGTAAAATTAATGTATTACCTGTTAAGTTTTTATAGAGAAATAGATAGTTACAATGCCCTGGTCACTTCCTTTCGCTGAGAAACAATTGCATTATAGCAGCGCACCTCAAAGGAGAATTTCCAAGGGAAGATCTCATTCAATATTAGATTGTCGACAGTGAAAGTTTTCATACTATATTAAGATGAGAAATGCTTCAATATATATCAGTCCCTGAAAACACCTCTCAGCAACAACACATTCGTTACCAATTCTATTGACACGTGTTCAATCATGATTGAACTTGTGAGTAATAATAACAACAACGACGCGTCCTAGGAAAATAATATTAAATTTAATTGTTCTAAAGAAACCTTCTTATTTAAAACAAGTGCCTATAATTGTTCAAATTTGTTACATTTTCAATTATAAATACTGATTCAAAAATTGTTTTAAAAGAACAGAATAAATCAAACTTTTTTGTCTTGAAGCTTGTAATAAATAAGTTGCAAAATAATTTGGTTTTGAGAAATGAGAATTATTTTTTGATTATTGCAGATTTTTTTTACCTTAGTAAGTATGGTAGCAGCTTCTCCAATTACCATTACCGAATTTCAAGGAAGATATTATTTACCATTTTTCAACAATTATCAAAACATCGAAAGATCAGATAGTTATGCTGCAGCCACTGAAACTGAAGGATATAATGATGATGTAACAGGAACAGACCCGCATTATTTTTCTGGGGAAAATTCTGGAGGTCAGATTGAAACCAGTGGTGGTGGCGGCTATGAAGGACAACATGATTATTCTTCCTACGCTGATTACGGAAATTACCACGGTTCTAATGGTAATCCTCATGGCCTTGAAGACCACGGGAACAATTACGTTCACAGTGTTCCTGTGTCCGAACATGTAGAGGTCACTAAACCAATTGCCATTCCAGTTTATAAAGATATTGGTACGTTAAAAATTTTATTATTTAATGTCAATTTTAAAATAAATTAAAACCCATTTCTTTAACAATTATTATTTCATCTACTGAATTTAGTTAGTTTTGCATATTAATTCTTCAGGGTTTAAATTATTTTTGATTTTTTTATGTAAATTATACATTACCATTGGAAATTATCGGTACGGCTCCATGCGCAAGCTCGAAAAACAAACTAATCTTTAAATCACGATTTTTCTGTTAAAACAATGGTCAAAGAATTAATAAGTGTATACCATCTGAAAGCTGTAATATTCTACGGTAAATGATATACAATTGAAAATTTTAATAAATTACACAAAGATTTTAGCAATTGACAAATTAAAAAAAATTAAATAGTCAATAACCATTTAAAATTGACTAAATCAATGCATTTGTCCAAAAACGTGCTCTGACATTTATAATGATATCTAGCGAACCAAATAAGATATTTAAACTTTTTTGGTCTTAAATTAATTATGTGACTTGAAGGACGACCCCTATGTAAGTTTAAAATTTTTTCTGCAATGTTTAAAAAATATGCCAGAGTTTAAAAAAATGTCGAACTTTTTTTTATTTTTTTCAAATTTGTCAATTGCTAAAATTTTTGTGTAATTAATTAAAAATTTTAATTATATATAATTTAATATAGAATATTATAATCTTTTCAGTTGTATGTTTGTTAATTTTCTGACATTTGTTTTTACAGAGACTCACTTTTCGTGCACTTAATATTAAATTTACAATTTTTACAAAAGTGATAGAACAGAGATGTTTGAATATTTCTGAAAGCTTTCTATTTCATTTTAAGTATTAATAAGTATAATAAGCCTAAATTCCTGAAAATTGTATATAATATTTTAATATACCATTTGACTGTAATTTGAGGTTTTACAATGCCAAATATGTTTTATTTTCTAAAATAATCTTCTCAGAGAGTCAATAGTTCACAGGTTTATAATTAATAATTTTTTAATTCCAGAAATATCTACTGATCTATTATAATAAATAACAAATTTACGATTATTCAATTTGCAAAGACTCTATAAATGTCATGGTAAAATGAGGAAACTATATTATGTATTTACAATATATAGATTCACTTAATATGACTACATAAAAGTAAATTGTTTGAAAATAACTCATTTTAATGTTTAAATTGAAAATTTTTCATTTTTGTTGAATGAAAGTTCTCTTTTTCTTCAGTGAATATCTTTTGTAGAAAAAATGAATTCTAATAAATACTTTTGAGCTTAATTTATATTTAAACTAAAATGATAATTAACAAAGTTTTTTTAAAATAAAATTAGCTTACTTTAAGCGTAGGAGATGAAATTAATTAATGTTCAAGTTCAGAATATTCCTAAGTAGGCATTCGTTAATATAAAAAAGAAAATACAATTACAACACATAATCACACTCAATACTTAAATAATTGTTAATGTTTTTATAGCTTTTTTTCAATGAAATAATTATTAGCTGTTGTTGATGCGTGAGCAAAATCTCAGAAAGCTATGAATGTTACCAACATGATTCGATAAATTTAATTAATTCCACCAGGCTAAAAATAAGCTTATCTAATGTAAATAACTTTATTAATAATTAATTAAATATGATAAACATTTCTCGAGAATCACCCATATATTTGAAAATCATATTTTAAGAATAATATGTCACTAATTAGCGATTAACTTACAACGATAACTACTTATCGTTATTTTTATTTATGAATAATTAATTGTTAACAGGAATACCAGTTCCTCAGCCAGTGAAGATCAATGTGCCTCATCCAGTGGCAATTGGCGTTAATCAACCATACCCAGTTGCAGTTCCTGTCGCGAGGCCAGTTCCTATTCAAATTATAAAAACCATAGCTGTTCCTGTTGAAAAGAAGGTTCCTTATCCTGTAGAAAAACATATACCTGTTCCTGTTGAGAAACCTGTACCTATAACAATTGAAAGACACATTCCTGTGCCACTTGTGAAACCTTATCCAATTAAAATTCCTATTTATAAAACAATCTATCATCATGCTAAGGGCCACAGTCATGTTCATAGTCACTAGAAACTTTATTTTTGTTTTAGTATTCAATAAATTTTAAACATCAAAAAGTGACCAAATTTGAGAAATATAAATTTTCTATTTCTGACATTGAGTTAAAATTTTAATGAAAATTTAAATATGAAATTTTTGTGAAAGGTTTAAATTAGATTTCTGAAAATAATACAGAAAATTTTACTAATAATTTTTTTAGAAATATTGAAACAAGAATTCTACAGAAACTGATTTTAAAAAATTGTTTACAGTATTTTTGAACTATTTTGAATTTTCTGTTTATTAAATATGACAAAAAAGGAAATTTTTAAAAATCACTGTTCAATATATTTTTACTACAAATGTCTATTTCTTCTTAAAAGATTTTTTAAATATCGTATACATATACATCCCTCTGGGCACGGAAACGTTTTTGTTCTAGAAACGTTCCTAAAACGTTTTTAGAAAGTTTTGTGTCCGCTACATAACAGCTAAAGAACGTCCAATGTTCTAAAAACGTTTTTAGAACATAAAACGTTTTTAAATCGTTATGTGGAGGAAATAAAACGTTCTAAAAACGTTTTAGGAACGTTTCTAGAACAAAGACATTTCCGTGCCCAGAGGGATTGACACAAAAGAATTACTCAATCTTCGATTACGTCAATGTTTGTTATAGTTATTGATATTGTACATAGTGATATTGTTGATCAACACGTTATATTGTTAAGTTTTTTGTTTATACTACTGAATATTTTTAAATAAACATTCTAAAAAAATAAAAAAAACATGTCTTTTCTTGTAGACTATATTCAGCTCAAAATTATAGGATCAAAATGTTTTATATTATTTGATAAATGCTTACTATAGTAGAGAATACATTTTGCAATCACAATTCTTAACAAAATGAATAAGTATCAAATTTTGTTTTACAGCAAAAATAAACACATAATAAAACCCCGTCTTATGGTACTTTCATGTAATTTGCTTTTTATTATCGTTTTCGATTCCACGCATTCTGTGAAACGTCTGATTATTATAGAATTTGTGACTGATAATAATCAATTAATTATTATCTTGAATTTAGTTTTAAACATATGTGCATTGAATAACAATATTCCTAAAGAATTTGAATCCTACGTGTGGTGACATGTTTTTACCACAATAAATAAATAATAATAATAATTCCGATTTAATATAAATAAATCAATGAAACACAGCTTTTAAATAAACAAAGAATTTATTCCTCGAAGCTGGAATCAGGATACATGAATCGCCAAATTAAATTATATTTTGAGATGCCGAATTCTCAAACAGATAAAGTGCATCTTCACACTTTGGACCCAAAACGGCAACTGCCCAAGTCACCCCTTGGAAAACCGCGCTTTCCTTCGGAGTCGCCAAATTCCTCTCCCTCGCTGTCCCCGACTAGCCTAGATCATATGGTTATCATATGGTCCTTGAACCGCCTAAAACTCAGAGTCTCCTTTGTCCAGTGAAATAAGACCCAAAGTTGTTGTCAAGCCAGTTTAAGACATTTCACAAAAATTTCCTTTCCGACATACGATACACATTTTTCTGAAACTTGGTGTAAATGTAGTGTTGTGTAAGGGAAGAAAGAGGAAAGCTAACAATTTAAATGCTTTATCTTCCCCAGAATATTTTTCAAAAAATATTTATGTCGACTTTGAAACTAACCGAAATATTGAATCTTTTGTCCTGCAGCGCACATCCTTGGACTTAAGTATTACGTAAGCATTTCAGGGTGAGGAGAGGTCTAGCTATTGCTTACTTTCATTAGAAAAAATAATTTGGGAAATTGTTGTCCTAATATGATAAAAAAAAATTTCTAAAATATTATAGCTATATAAAAAAAATTGTAGAAAGTAATGGGGGTTAAAATTTTAAATAACACTGCCATATTCAAATCCATATAACTATTATAAAACTTTATAGATTTTAATTTTTCTTTCATAAATTTAAAGCATTTTTCATGTACTTTCTAAAAGTTTTACAAACAATTTTTTAAAAAAACTTTTAACCCCCTTTTAAAAAGGGTAAAAGCTCTCTGCATTTTACATCCGGTTGAGATTGTCATAAAAAATAATAGAAACATGTTTCTTCACATTGTCATTTGAGAGGAAAAATTTGCATTCGGTTTGATTTCCAAACTTTAAATTTATTAAATGAACAATTATATTAATTATAATACATTTTGTAACACGTGGCTGCTTAGCGTCTCTCCTTGCACGTGGTCGGTAGCCTTCTAACTTGTCCCTTATCTGCGTTCGGGCTGCATTCAGTGCTTCCCTCTATACACTACAATATCCAATGCTATTCAATGGTCGAATCAAACCAGAAAAATATCTTCTTAAAATAATCTTTTGTTTCATAAACATAATTATTAAACTATATAATAAAGTAATATCAACACGGAGAGAAGATAGTTATAGTGGGTAAAACGGAGTCTAGAATGAGAGAGGGTGTGAACTTGTTTTTAATGTTTTAATTAATAATAATTTTATAATCAGATTATTTATCAAAATTATATTATAATAATATGTCATTACAGATTTTTTCTATACTCTTAATTTGTTATTTGTCACAGTTTATCTATTAGTGAATGCGCATTTATAATTTACTTAATTATCAATTCTAACAACATTGAAATAGTCTCACGCAACACTATTTGCTCATGTAGTGCGAGAGAGACACTAAAAACAGCGCGAGTGCTGTTGGGTTAAAGAGTAAAATTGATGCTTACGAACATGAAATATGAAATTTTGGTTAAAATGTGAAAAGAATGAAAGACAACCAGACTGTATACTGTCGATTTACTATACTATATGATTTAGGGTGTTTTAGAAGTTAGTGCTGTGACCACACAAGATTTCATATTTTTGTTCGAAATCGGCATTTTTGAACTTTAAAAACAAATCAGTCTTCTGGATTAGAATGGCAAATCGTGTCAATAAACGATAGTTTAAAAAATTCAGGAGGACAGAATTCACGCTAACAAAATAGAATTCGCCGTAAACTTCCAATATTATGGTTTTTATACGAAAACGTATTGGGTTTAATTTACCACCATTTTTGTTTACTTACGGTCAATACTTTTTTTAGTGGGTACAGAAGATTTTTCTTCTGAACCTGTTTATGGAGTGCGGATTCATTATTATTATTATTATAACTTTACTTTTGATATGGTAAATTAGTGTTTAGATATATATATATATATTTGAATTGGAGAAAATGCAAAGACAACTCAAATAAGTTTATTTCATTCGCAAGTTAAAACTTAAAAGTCTTTAAAATTGACAGGTACATTTAAATATCCGTTATAGCATTGTATTATTGTAAATGCAATTTCATGAAAAGTGATCACTTTCATTTATACGAACATATAAAAAGGATACCTTAAAGAAAGTAAAACAAACTGAATGGGCGTTCACCGGACGTTCACTGAACTTAAATTGGATCGCGTTTATCTAGCTACACTTGTAATTTAGATGCATCTAACAAAATTTGATTGCATCGCATTTCACATATGTATATGCAAGGAATATATGATTTATTTTTAATTCCTTTTTTTCCCGATGATTAGCGAATCGAGCACAAGAGTCTATTAAATCCGGTTTCCAACATGCTGTGCATCTTTCCGGCATGAGTGGGAGAAAGTGTTACCTATAAAAACTGATGCTCTTATTAGTGACATTCATAGTGCCTGATTAACTAATAAGTAACTATTAAACTTCAAATTTACTGATTTCCAAAGAAAATGTTTTTAATTGTAAGTAAAATGCTAAGGTTATATAGTTCGTGACAGTTTGCGTTAAAGTTTGAAGGAAATATATTCAATTGTCATGAATGGTCACGACTATTAAATAGTAAATATTATTTGTTAAAGAAAAGTAATTAAAACTTGATGCATTATAAAGGAATATTTAAGGCAAAAAACTAGGTTTTTGTCATATATATATTAGTGAGAAGTTTAGTGATGCTTTGAAAATTATTTTGAAAGAGAAGAATTTTAAATAATTACACAGTGCTATAGAAAAAAGTTTTTTCATCTTACGTTGGTTATAATCTTTGACGGATTTGGATTTAGGGGAGACCGGTGTGTAATGGATAATTTCAATTTATTTAAAAGCGACAACTTGAAATCATTTTGTAAATAATTTCTAAAAATACAAAATTGAGGATAAGTATTTTTTATTGATTTGATTCTTCTGAATGCGATGGTGTAGTTTATTTTTATATTTTTAAAGTGTTTTAAGAGTTATGTGAAAATGGCGTAGAAAAAAAAACAAAAAGTAAAAAGTGATCCACTGCGACCCGGTCTCCCCTACGTATCTACCTACCTTGGTAGAAATTAAGTACTCAGATAGCACAACTTATAGAAACCGAACCCCTAACTAAGAAGTAAATATTAGAACAAAATTGAAAACGGACAGCGGATTCGTGCTCAGCGGCCCAAAATACATGGGGGTAGATTACTCTTATCTCCTAACCCTGACACTTTTTTATTTTTGTGTGGCTGTGTATTTATATAAAGTATTTTACATTATTTAAATGCTTATAGAATTTATTACTTTATTTCTAGTTAATTATTGGGTCCTTCGTTTCTGAAACAACCTTGGCCAATTACAGAGCAGATTCTCAGTTATATAAATGGCAAACGTAAGTCTATTATAGTTTTTCTGGATTGTTTATGTTTAAAAAAAATTATATTCTGTTTTCTTTCAAACATTGCTATTTAATTTCAATTTTACTTAAATAAATAAATAAATTGAAAAGTTTCAATAACAAAAATTAAATATTCCATGTAATTCTTTAATTAATGTATTATTTTGTTGTTTAGTGTAATAACAAGAAAGGATCAACGTTTAAATAAAGCAAAGAGTTTTCTTTCATCAGCCAACAGTAGAGTCGACAATATGGGGATTTTAAAAAATTCAATCATTCCTACAACACCAACATTATTTAGGGCTTTAAGAAATAGTAATATTAAAGGACATTTTATTAAAAAAGAAAATGATTTAAAAAGAGGTGAGACATCGTATCAAAAACATACCACAAGACCGTATAACCCAACTGTTTTAACGTTGGGACCATCAGGTGACATCAAAAGTCAAGTAAAAGCTTCTGATTTAAAACATGAACCTAATGGATTAACGTATAATCCAACTATTATAACGCTAGGACCAAAAGGTAACATCAAAAGTCAAATAAAGGCTTCTGAGTTAAAATCTGAACTAAATGGATTAAATAAAGGCTACGACTCTGCTATGAAAGTTATGGAATCATCTGATAGTATGAAGAACTATATTCCTGTTTCAACATTTAGAGGTTCTAGTGGACATGATTCGTCAATATCACATGATACCATCAATACCTTTTCGCCTTCATACTATAGCGGTACCAATAAATATGGTTCTCCTCTTTTTAGTGCTACTGGTACCAATGGATATAAATCCTCTAATTCAGAAACAGATGTAAATAATCATGGTTCGTCAATTTCATCAGTTGGTAAATACAATAGTTATGGAAATCTTATTCCTTCGGGAAGTAGTGCCAGTAGCTACGGTTCTCTGAACCCATCAAAACCAATCACGAACAGCTATAATTCATTGTTAATTTCTTCAAAAAATGGTGCTAACAGTTATAGTTCTCCTATTTCATCAGGTAAATGTTCATGGAAATAATTTAATTATCAAATTTTAAAAATTCCGTAAATAAGTCATAATATCTTGACAACAATAATAAATATAGAAAAAAACTTTATTATAAGTATAAAAATTGCAAGATTCTGCATTTTATTGAAATCATATATTCAAATGTAACATCTTAAAATAAATTTTTCAATTTATGAGGAAGTGATACCGGCAAATATGGCTCATCATCATACAGTCATACCAGCAGTTATGGATCTCCGGACTCATCTGAAAAGACGTTAGGTGGGAGTAATACTTACAGTTCTTCTTCTTCTTCTTCTTTATCATCTTCTTTGTCAGACCCATCATATAGTGGTGCCAATAGTTATGGTATTCCTTTAGCACCTACTGGTGCACCTTCAAATACTGTGACTGCTCCTATCTATAAGAACGTTGGTATGTATTAAAAACAAAATTGCTGTTTAAAACATTAATGATTTACTTTTGAGTAATAATTTTTTGAAACGTATCATCCAAAACCCCAAGAATTTTGATTAGTGCACAATAGATATATGGACTTGAACATGACAATATTATTAAAATTTGTGAAATTTCTACTCAATCAGTTGGTGTGAAAATTGAAATTACTCAAAAAGAGATAAAAGTATTCAGTTTCTTTGTTTGATTTTTATAAATTTTATGTGTTTCAGTTCAACAACCGGTAGAAGTTGAAATGGAACATCCAATTGTGTTTGGTGAATCTCAACATTATCCTATTCATGTACCAGTTTCTCATCCGGTTCCAGTGCCCGTAATAAGAACAATAGCTGTTCCTGTGGAAAAGAAGGTTCCGTTTCCAGTTGAAAAAATTGTTCCATATGCTGTTGAAAAACATATTCCATACACAATTGAAAAGAATATTCCGGTACCAGTAGAAAGACCATATCCAATTCATGTTCCTGTTTATAGACATATTTATCATCGGTATAAAGGACATGGCCATCGTATGGGATAAAGGAGTATTAAAAACATATGCTTAATTGAACTTTGTATAATTTTCTACCCAATAAGATAATTTTATTATGAAAATATAAAGCGTTTCTACAACTTCAGAAAAATATTATAGGGTTTAGTAAAAATAAAACGTAATTTTTTCCATTGGCTCAAGAAACTAGTCATTTTAAATTAAATTAATTAAATCTGTGAAAACTACAATTGTAAATTATAATCAGATTAAAATTCATAAAAAATAAAGTCGTTTATTAACCTCTCATATAACTAGAGTACTATTACGACGTAAGTATACAAGACTTGTATCATATACTATAGATGTTCTGGTACTATATCAACCATACAGTACATAAAGTACAGTCTGGTACTGTGCCAGATAGTATACTAGGATTGGGTACATTTCTTCGTAGCGTAACCCATTTTTTAAAAAGGTTTATTTTTTTATGTTTTTTTATTAAAGCAATTAAATGTTAATTTTATTAAACAATTACAATCAATAACAGGAATACAAAGTAAAATAATCTTATTGCAATCAAAAGTAGTACAATTTCGTAGAATATAGATTTTTACAAAATTACAATATGTGCTACCTATTTAAGGTGAGAGTAATAAATAAAAAATCCGTCAAAATTCTGCATGAAGTTTTGTAAATTTATTAAACCTTCTTTGCCACAATGTGTGGTCCGTGAAAAAAGCGCAACAACAGACTCTATGTGTTATTAGTATACAATTTCCCTCTGTGTATCACATGCCAGGTTGCAATTTTTTATATATCGTATTTGCCTTCTAAAATCACTCCTACTACAATTCTCAAGTCATCCATTGCTTTATAGAAATTGGGGATTGGAATTGTTATATTATCTTCTATTTCTACGGCTTTATGAGTTTTATCGGAAATAGCTTCAATTTTTTTTTCCTGTACTTTAAGCTCTTCAGCTGGTCGCATTCTGTTATATGATGTGTTGATGTCTATAATCAATCGAGTTTTTCAAGGATAAACCTAAAATAATTGCAGTTAAATTGTTATTTTTTGAAGTTATTTTCATCTTCACTTATTTCAATATCATATTAGTTTTAGCATTTTTCATTATGTTGTGGAGCTCATCTTCTGTTAAAATGTTTTTTTTTTATCACTTATCTTGCATATTTTTGGACCTAAGCCGAATGTTGAAAAATGTGTAGTGTTTTCGGTATTACGAACTATAAGGTCGGGAAATGAAAATTATCATACATACAGTATTTTATTTAGATATTTTTAAAAAATTGTAATTTTCAATGTTTTATAAAAATTTGAATAACTTCTAAAATAATGAACGCTTTCTAATGATCTTAAGCTTATTTTAAAGGTCATTTTCTGCAGAATAAGAATTACTTATAGGCTTTAACGTGCAATTTTTTCTTAAAAAATGCAGGTCGTTAAATTTGGACCAAAAAAATTCAAAAAATTTGAAATAATCTTATTAACAAAAACATAATTTTTAAAATTCAAACATATTTTTTTTTATTAAATTCTCTTGAAAAATCTTCACCTTATCATGTTTTATATATTTTCTAGAATAGTTTTTAGTACAAAAAAAAAGCATTTCAAATTTTTTGAATTTTCTTATCTAATTTTGACGCGACCTATGCATTTTCTAAGAAAATAATTACAAGTTAATACCTACAATGTTGTCCAAATAAATTCTGAAAGATCTTGTTATTTTCACAATTTTATCTTTTATTATTTTTCTTTTTCTTTCAAAAAATAAAACAAAAAAAATTTTAGTTTCCATAAATTTTATGTTCTAAATAGTTTTTCATTCACCTGCAATTGCGTGGTCTCTCAATTCTTAATGGTAGTGTATTACATGTTATTTAGGCACATTTGAATAAAATTTTGCAAAAAATACTATAACTAAGACGGAAGTATAAATTTTGTTTTTTAAAATCAAAAATTTTCAAATTAAAAATTTAAAAATTTTTTTTAATTACTAAAATTTTTTTAATTATTAAATTTTTTGTGGATTGCCTTTAAACTGTCTATATAATTGAGTATTATACATGTTATTTAGTCATATTTTAGTATACTTTTGTAAAAATTACTATCCTACAAGATTTCAGTACTGAAATGCTTTTAAGGGCATCCGGGAAAAATCGAGCCCAAAAAGTGTTTTCCCGCGTGTCGTCTCACTCCTAAATAATTAGAGATATTTAGTTCGGATTTATCATGATAATTATGGGAATTCATGATGATAAAGAATATTCTCGAAAATTGCAAGTAATTTTTGAAATAAATATTGAAAAACGAAATTACAAAAGTTGGATTTTTGGCGAAAGTGAGAGGCAATATGGCGGCGAGCACACAGACAAGTGGATCTATGTGTCAGTGGTCAAGGAGGTGGCGCCAATTCTCGGAAGTGGTCGCTAGTTGAACTGAGGGAAATGTATTAACCTCAAATTACTCCACTTTCAATCGTTAATAAAATAATTTCCTCGCAAAATTATTGCAAAAACGGAGAGGGCCGCTCCTCGGAGAGTCTTCCTCTATCACCCCTCTAAATATGAACCCGAAATATTTTATCCTCTCAAAATGAGACGTCTATACTGAACCGTTCAAAACCCCCTTTTTCCGTATATTTAAACAATTTTTTTCAATAATTATTTATCAAAATTTCTCTAAAATCCGAGAGGACCGCTGGTCCCAGCGCATTTCTCTATATTTACCAAAAAATCCCGGCTCAAAATATTCTTTTCTTTTCAAATGAGACGTCTATCACGAAACCAGTATTATTTCCCGGATGCCCTTAATATCAAAATATAGAAAAAATTATAATTGTTACCAATTACTGTCAGTCTTAATTTAGTAGTATTTTTGTGGTCTGTGATTAAGATTTTGACGACAAAATATTGCAATTTAGATTTATTTATTTATTCCATTCATCCAATATTTTTTAATTGAAAAAACTTCATAAATATTCAAAATTTCATTTGTTAGTGAAAATGTTTAACTTTCAGTATAATGTTAATACTTATTTTGTATATATTACAAGAATAAAAACCATAACAATTTTTTGTTAAAAAACGCCTTAAGCAAAGCTAATACTAAACTATAAACATCACGAGTGTATCTCTGGTAGTAAGTTTAAGGGGAATGATAGGTGAAATTTTAACTTTTCGATATTTAAGCTGTTAAGATGCAACAATTTTTTTTCTCCTGTTATTTAAGATCTAAATTAATTCTTTATTATTAGAATTAAAAAAATTATTTTCGACCATCTTCAAAATTTTATTTTTGGAAAAAATAAATATTTTTTCAAATCCATATTGAATAATTGTTTAGAATCATAAAATAACGTATGAAACATTTGTCAATGAAGAATTATTAAAAAAGAAGTTAAATTTTTAAAGTTACACCAGTAAAATTTAAACCAATTAAAATTGACCTCATTTTGAGTATCAAATTTTTTTACCTTACTTCAGTATACCTAAAATCATATTATACAACAAAAAATTTTCAAAAGTAACTGCTTGAACTGCTTTAGGAGTTTTTTTATTTTTCAAAAACATTAATTTTGTGAAAAAAAAAATTTTTCAAAATCCATACGATTGATTGTTTACAGTAAAAAGAACAGTAAAAATTTTTCAAAATTCCGAGTTTTATTGTAAAAATATTAACTATTATACTAATCCATACCCTTGATTATCATAAATGAATGAGTGATAATAATTTGAATGTTGTTAGCTAACACATTTTTGCATTTACTTACACACAATGTAAAAATGGAAATTTAAATTATTAAAAAAAAAAATTATTAAAATTAAATTATTAAATTAAATTATTAAAATTTAAATTATTGTTAAGTCTGTAGTTGTAGAAATTGTAAAAATGATGTGTTTGAGATCTTTTGGAAGTTATAACATATTTTACTATTATTATTTTTTTCATCCCATTATTGTATTTTCCGTTGTGTAATATGTATAACTACATGATTATACAATAAATTGTTGTTAGGGATGAAAAAGTCGTCTACATAGTCATCCAGACACTATCATACCGGAAATATACTATTATCAAATTATTTATTGAACTCTAAGATAAAATCATAATTCGAGTGCAATAACATTAACGAATAGAGTGGACACGTAGTAATTGTACTGTGTCAGAGGTTTCGCCTTCAATTGTCATTAGAGAAACAAGACCTGTAATTTAGTCAAACAATCCGGATATTTATCGACAACCGTAATAGTTTTAATTGATTCCATCATTACAGCTCAAAAGTATATAACCTGTGCTCTGACTAGGTTCAGTATCAGAATCATAATCTCCAAGAATCAACGAAGATGAGGGCTTTTCTCTTGGTAACAAAATTCTAAAAATTTATTTATTGTTCTCATTTTACTATTTTTTGAATATTTTATGTTGCTTAATTGTTAATTATTATTAATCCATTATTTAACCCTGAAAGTATTATATATTTCAAAACTATTTTTTCCATTTGCTACCCTGATAGCATCCGAATATTCTGGATGTTCATTAGTCTGAAGAAATTAGGATATTCCTAGGATGTCCCAGAAATCCTAGAATTCTATTAGGGTATAGACATTTTAAACATATTTTAAAATTAATTCCCGAATTAAATTAAATGAATTGTTTTTTTTAACCAAAGTAATTGTTATGTACATAGCTTTGTAATCGTAAGTCTTTGACTCATTTGAGTATTTTTGATAATTTTAAAGCGACTATTCTTAATTTTTGTATTAATTTTTGAAATTAAGTAATTTTCATTTTCATTTAAATTGTATTAATGAAATAATTTTATTTTCGTAGGTCTCTTTATTAGTTGCCTTGATATTGGTAGCAGACTCAAATCCAATTGCAGGATCAAATAAGAAGGCAAAACGAGGAGTATCATTTTTCCCAAGGGGTTACGATATTTATGGGGTTATACCAGCGTTTACCTCTACATGGAATCCCACGAATTACGAACAATCGGCCTGGGATTCTTCTTTAAATTCTGATCTAGCATTAGGACAAATACAACTGCACTCCACGCACAACATTGCTCTTCAAGTATTCTCACTCATTTAATCATATGAATTAATATCTGAATAGCCATTTGATAGAATTTTAGAATTTCTAAATTATCATTTGACCAAAATTGTAAAATAGTCGAATGAACAACCAACAAACACAAGTTCTAAATTTGATCAATAATAAAAAATATCAAGAAAAATGCAATTGATTAATTATTATTGTAGGTAACATGTAATATGACTGTACATGCTTCTTCTTAGTTGCTACTTTAACTATGGCTTAAAATTTGTGTTTATTGATTATTTGTACAGCCATTTGCAGTTTCAATCAAATCACAATTGAGTATTATAAAAATTATATAAATAAAATCAGTTTGGAAAATAAAGAATTGAACAAAGAAGAAAGATATAAAAAAATAAAGCAAAAATCAGTTTATAAGAAAGCGGATAAATGAGGTTTTACAACGAAAAAGAAATAAAGAATTAATTATTATTAAATGTATTAAACACAGGCTTTGAATGATCCTCACCCTGGAACACCGAGCATTGTTTATTCACCGGAAATTTTACGCTCAGTTCAACAGGCAAAAGAAGCAAATTATAATGTTCTTGTGGCTCAACACAGAGTTGAAGAGGCGAAACAAGCAACAATTCTACAGCAAAGATTAGCAATAGCTAGAGAAGCTGCAGCTCGTGAAGCAGCTCACAGGTAAAACAAATCAATATAATACATTTGCATTATTTGTATAAATGTTAATCCCCACTCTGTCATCTAAAAACTAATAGAAAATAGAAAAACTAGTATGAAAATAACTAATGAAATGAAGACTAGTTGCCTTTCAAAAATGTTAATAAATTATAATTATTAACACCTTACTAACAAAAGAATATCCTCAGAATATTTAAAAGGTATACTAAGGATTTTTCTAGGATATCCTGTGAATATCTCTAGGACATCCAAAAGATTGTACATACTAGAGATATTACAATTTTCTCTAGGAGCAATTGCAATTTTAATATACATCGACTCGAAAACTTTATTTAACGCAGATAAAATAATTTGACGTTTTGTTAAAATTGCAGATCAGCAGAAATTTCCGCTCATGCTCAAGAGGAAGCGAGAGCCAGTGCAAAACAATTAGTAGCTCTACAACAAAAATTAGCGACTTTAAAAGATTCTGTAGCTGCAGCACAGAGAGTAGCTGCTGCAAGAGAAGCCGCGGCAGCTGCAGCAATACAACGAAATGCAGCTGACACTGCTGCAGAATTAAGAAAGCAAGATGTAGATAAACAAATCACTACTAGTGAAAGAGAGGCCAAGGTGAGAGAATTTTTTAAACTTGAACTTTAACGTAAAAGATAACAAACTTTTTGTATATATGCAAGTCAGAAACTTATAATCAGTAAATTATATTCTTTGTCATAAATATATATTTTTAGCTGATTTTTTCTATATTGATTGTTTAATGAAGCAAACAATATAAATGCATTCATTAATGCATCAATTCTTTTATAACTTTTTTTACATGTTTATTAGCCCATTTAATTTCCGACCACAAAAGGGCAATAACAATTAAAAATTATTAAATATCAAAGGACGTTAAAGATTATTAATAAAAAAAAGTAATATTCTGACAATTGTTTCGTGAAAAATTCTGGGAAAATTCAAATAATAATATTATTGTTACTCAGGCTCGAGATTTAATTGCGGCTAAGGAAAACGCTATTGCCAACGCTTTACAAAATTCGGCAACAGGAAAACCAGCGCATCGTCCTTGGGGTTAAATTTTTTGTTTTGAAATAATCATTTATGCACATCATATAATCGCAAAATCATAATCAAACATTAATCAAATATCTGACTTATGATTGTGTTATAAAGGCATTTGTATAAGGGTCATATTTAGAATCATTTTATAATATACACTTTTTTTCTATATATTCAAAATATTCGATAAAAGATAGTGTATTTTACTATTATAGAAATAAAAACTAATTGTTTTTAATAAAATTGTGCAGTTTTTTAATATAATTTCCAACTCCTTTTTCAAAAATATTTATTTTATAAGTTGAAAACAGTATTAACACAGTATCATTAACTACTACTTATCAGTAATGTTAATATTAATTATCTAAGTATATGGGCATGAAAATGGTAAGTATAAAAAAAAATTCCTTAACATTGTTTCAAAATTATAAAAGTTCATGGAACACAATTTTAGTAGCTTTCAGCCATAATTTAAAGTTTCTGAAATTTTGTATTTTTTAAACTCTTGAATTTGAAAAATTTCTTTCTCTAACAAGAAAATCCAATACTTGATAAACCAAATTAATGCGAGTTAATTTAATTAATTTTCTATTGATATTCTATCAAGTTTAAATTTTTTGAAAAATTTATTTATAATCTACAAAGATTTGTCTATCTTTATATAATCTTCTAATTCTTATATTTAAAGTTCTTCCTTGTTAAAAAACGTATTTAATTTTGTCTTCAAGTTTTGGTTAAACAGTGCATGTATATTTTATAATTATATTTTAACGTAATTAAATAATTTCAACATATATATTTATAATATATATCAAATTAAAGTTCAGAATCTAACGTTTATTTTTTACTTATATTTGTTTAAAATAAGATAAAAAAAAGTTAATGAAATTATTAATAAAAATAGTATTATCAATGAGAGTAAAAATTCAATTCATCTCCGAAGTCTTGTTTTCTAAATAATAACATCATATTTTTTAACGTTGTAAACATAATATATAAAAAAAAAATAAAAAAAATAAAAATATAATAAAATAAAAAATAATAAAAAAAAAAAATAAAAAATAAATAAAAATAAAAACAATAATAAATAATAATAATAAAAATATTTTATGATTAAAACTAAAAATATTGTTTACAAAAATTGTAATATGTTTAAAATTATAAAAAACGAGAATTTTTCCATTAAATTATCAATTCATCTTCGAAGCCTTTTTATATTTGATAGGCGTTTTCTTTTGTTTTTAATTTTTTAATCATTGATTTGGAATATTTAACCCTCAAATTAAATTATTTATTTAATAAAAATGAAATAGGTAAGCATAAAGTGTAATAAATTAAAACATAACAATTTATTATTTAAAATAAAATATTCCTACCGAGTTTTTTTTTTTTACAAAATAATTAATTCTATTAATATTATAAACTCAACCTCTAGAACACATGATAATAAAATGTTGCTGAAGGTCTTATTTCTGGAAATTAATTTTGCGCAACTTATATTTTTATCTTTAAACATCTTCAAAACTTATTTTTATGAAAAAAAGTAAAAAAAAAGAATAATTTCATTTTTTAGAACTTCAACCAAAAAAGGGTCCCTTTCAGGAGAATCACCCATATATTGTATATATTTTATTCATACGCAATGACATTTATCTGTCTTATGCAACACAAACAATCGCGTAAAAATAAATAAAATAGTTACGTATCGTAAATCACAGCAATAAAGCATTTTCTTAAACTCATTTTTTTCATTTTTTAATAATAAACTTTTTTTTACCTCGCATTTGTATAAAGAGGAGAAACATTGAGTGGAATAAGAAGTGATCGAAACCGTGAATAAGTAAGAATAAGATAATTTCCATAATTTGCTGCAAAGTTTTCACAAACTGAATTCACTTTATAGCCATTTTCGAATATTTTTCAGACTTCGAAAGTAAAGTAAACTTTGGAAATTAAAGGTTATGAAATGTTCAATTGTTTTTACATAATATTTTCTCAATCACAAAATTAATTTAGGAAACAAAGTGGCGTGAGGCAAAACTGGAAAAACTTTTGACTCTCTAAAATACTGTAAAAAAAATTTGTACATAAATTATAGCATTATATGCGTCTATCAGAATACAACAAAGAATAACTGAGAAAAAAATGAGACGCATGATTATTCCCCAAATTTCCCCAAATGTCATTTTACCGAACTGTCATTTTACCAAATTGCATTTATCTGAACTGTCATTTTAACGAAATGTCACTTTTGCGAATCGACATTTTTACGAATTGTCACTTTAGCGAAAAGTCATTTTTGCGAAATATCATTTTTACGAATTGTCATTTTTACGAATTGTCATTTTTACGAATCGTTATTGTTCCGAAATGTCATTTTTTCCAATTATTATTTTTACGAAATATCATTTTTGCGAATCGACATTTTTACGAATTGTCACTTTTGCGAAAAGTCATTTTTTCGAAATATCATTTTTACGAATTGTCACTTTTGCGAAATATCATTTTTACGAATTGTCATTTTTACGAATTATCATTTATGCGAACTGTCATTTTTACGAATTGTCATTTTTACGAAATGTCACTGTTGCGAATTGTCATTTTTGCGAAAATTAATATAGTAAATCTATATATATATATATATGCATACAAGTTTACTATAGCAATTTTCGCAAAAATGACAATTCGCAACAGTGACATTTCGTAAAAATGACAATTCGAAAAAATGACTTTTCGCTAAAGTGACAATTCGTAAAAATGGCGATTCGCAAAAGTGGCATTTCGTTAAAATAACAGTTCGGATAAATGCAATTCGGTAAAATGACAGTTCGGTCAAATGACATTTGGGGAATAATCATGCGCCTTGAAAAAAAATTACATGAAAGCCACTGTTCTAAGCGTTGAAATCTTGAATTTTTGTCTCCTTGGATATCCCTGGATTCTGCCACACTCACTAAATAACGCAGAGAAAAAGAAGATTTTTCTGAAAAAGTATTTTTATTGAATTGTTATTATTATATTTGTTCTTTTTCTAAAATTCTATAAGTGTAATAATTAGATATCAAAAACTTGTTCCAATTTTTTCTCATAAATACAGATATTTTAATTTTGCAATAGTTCATTTAACATTTTTACTGCTACATATATTATACTTATAATTCCTTAATTTTCAGTCACTTTACATTATATTAAATCCATTAAAATAATCACTACGAAATTCGCTTTTAACTTATTTTGAAACTTTCTTATAATAATCCTAAATATTTTACTTTTGAGAAATTTATCAAATTAATTATTAATAATAGATAAATATTTGAATAAATTTTTTGAATTTCTTAAGATTATTTAGGTTTATCAAGAAAATTGTTTATTTAATTCTAATTTTATTCTTTGTGGGGAGAAAAAATTGTAATCATCTTCGGTGACAAATGCTACATTATTTAATGTTTGAGATGGACGAAAAGATTTCTCTGTTATCGCTAATGGCTTAGTTTCCTTTTTTAAAGGAATCTGTTGATGGGAATTGTCTTTTTTGAACCTAGATAAAGAATCAGAGTTTTTTGGAATTTTGTGTCCAAAAGACTTGTCATAAATTTGAAAGTTTAATTTCGATTCTTCTTCCTCATTGTTTCTGGAAATAGGGATTTTTGATCCACCTTTTACAGCACCTTTTATATTTTTGTCACTTTTTGGTGAATTTTTCCTTTTATTGTATTTTAAAATATCTGGAACGCTTGATCGGTCTTGTGCAAATTCTGAAATGTGTAAAATTGTAAATCTTTTAAATAAATTGTATTTATAAGCAATAAAGATATAAAATATTTAATTTGTAAGATTTATAGAATTTTGTTTGAGAAATTTAATTTTTCAAAAATGTTAAATTAAATTGATAACATACTGGTTTTTAGGCCTTCATTCAGGTAGGGAAGATTAAATTTCTGTTGAAACTGCGAATCATAATTTTTTATATTTGGCAGACCTTTATCAGAAGAAAAACTAACATCATCGTCTATTTGTTTTTCAAATTTCTTCGATTCCTCTTCATCGTCACTTTCATCGTATTCAGAACTTGGTGAATTTATAGAAGCGTATTGCTTCGAAGTATAATCATCGTCTTCTGATGAATTCGATTCTACCGAATAACGATTTTCAGGCCTATTATGGTTTACGAATTTGTCAAACATACTGATTTTATCATCAAATGGTTGAAAAACAAATTTGCCCATTGGTGGCATATGTTTAAATTCAGGCTCGTCTAAAGAAAAACTTTCTCTAGAATCTTCATCACTGTTGATCTGTGCTTTTGAATTTTCATTTTCCTCTGAACTACCATATTCTTGTCCAGCAGAGTTGTAGCCTGGAAATAAAAATTTGTTATGCTTACAAGAAATTACTAAATTTTTTTTTTTATATTTTTCTTGTGTTTTTGTGTGTATAAAATGTGTCCAAAAATAGAGGCTTTTGAGATAAATTAAGATAAAGAACCAAAAAATAAAAAAAATAAAATATAAAAAAAATAAAATATTAATAAATATTAATTATATAAAATATAAAATTTATATTCTGGTAATTTTAAATTAACTATAAATTCTACATTAAATTTAATCTTGCCTCATCATTATGTAAAATAATAAAAAATATCCTACACTACCTATCAAAGTTAAGAGACCACCCATTTTCAGATGAATGAAAAACATTTAAAAACATAAAATTTATGGAAACTAAAATTTTTTTCTCTATATTTTTTGAAAAATGATAAAATTTTGAAGAGAACAAGATCTTTCAGAAGTCATTTGTCCAATATTTTATTTAGATATATATTTTTAAAAAATTGTCATTTTCAATGTTTTATAAAAATTCTAATAACTTCTAAAATAATGAACGCTTTTTAATGATTTTAAGCTTATTTTAAAGGTCATTTTCTACAGAATGAGAAATACTTATAGGCATTAACGTGTAATTTTTTTCTTAGAAAATGCAGGTCATCAAAGTTAGACAAAAAAATTGAAGAAATTTGAAATAATTTTTTTGTACTAAAAACTATTCTAGAAAATATATAAAACATGATTTAGTGTAGATTTTTTAAGAGAATTTAATAAAAAAATATATTTGAATGTTAAAAATTATTTTTCTGTTAATAAGAATATTTCAAATTTCTTGAACCTTTTTTGTCTAAATTTGTCGACCTTCATTTTTTAAGAAAAAAATTACACGTTAATGCCTATAAGTAATTCTCATTCTGTAGAAAATTACCTTTAAAATAAACTTCAGATAATTAAAAAGTGTTTAATATTTTAGAAGTTATTCAAATTTTTGTAAAACATTGAAAATGACGATTTTTTAAAAAATATCTAAATAAAATAATGGCCAAATGACTTTTGTAAGGTCTTATTCTTTTCAAAATTTTATCATCTTTAAAAAGTCAATTCATCTTGTGTTGGCATCTGTTCCAAATCTCAGCTCAAATGGCAGGTTTTATAAATTTTTTTTTTTGAAACGGCACGTTTTTCACGACTAGTCTGAATTGGCAGCTTTCTACACCCAACCGACGAAATATAAAAAAAATATCTATTGGGATCCTGGCATGGGGTCTAATAATAATTTTTTATGTTAAAAATTTAAAAAAAATTTTTTTTTTTTAATTTTTTTAAATCATTTGTTATAAACAAATGAATAAAAATTAATTTTCATAAAAACTGATAGCACCATTCGATTCTACGCGAAAAACTACTACGAGATCATATATTACATAATTTTTAAAAAAAGTCCTATTGTTGTAAAAACGTTAAAAATAATGAGCCTGCATTCATACTGCATGAGGTCTAAGAATACTCTTTGACGTTAAAAATTTTGTTTAAAAAAATTTTTAACATCAAAAACTGTCCTAATTAAACTAATTTTGCTTAAAATAAATTTTTAACGTCAAAAACTATCTTTAGACCTCATGCAGTATAAATGCAGACTAATTGTTTATAACATTTTTACAACATTTTTACAACAATAAGCCTTTTTTAAAAAAATTATGTAATATATGTTCTCGTTGTAGTTTTTCTCGTATAGAATCGAATGGCCTTATCAGTTTTTTATGAAAATTAATTTTTATTCATTGTTTATAACAAATTATTTTTAAAAAATTATTTAAAAAAAAATTTTTTTTTTTAAATTTTTAAATAAAAATTTTTAACGTCAAAAATCATTATTAGACCCTATGCCAGGATCCTAATAGTTACTTTTTTATATATGCGTTCCTGTGCTCATGGGAATTAATGGGTTAATAAAAAATTATTAAAAATTTGTAAGACAATTTTTTTGGCGTCTTTATCCCCATTTTTCTTAAGATTCTTTATTTTTTTGTTTTGCACTCATGGTTCTCAAAGTAAACGTTTCATGCTTTTATTTAACACCTTATACAAGTCTCTATCATGTCAGGTTAAACAGAAAAGAATCTTAAAAACCGCCTTTTAATTCCACGTTTTTCAAAATCCTAACGTGCTAGGCAAAATTCGGATCCGTTATCGTGTTATGCGGACGAAAATGCATTGAAAACTTTTCTAACAATTATAAATAAGAAAATTTTGAAAGATATTTAATGCCTTTTCACTTAAAGGTTGTTTTTAAGTGAATTACCTTAAGCAAATTTACCTCAGTATTTTTCGGCCCTACTTTCCTAAAATGATTGATTTTTTATGTCTGCAGACAAATTTTTTACTTTATTGGACAGTATTATTAAAAATACTGATATAAACAATTTTCTAATAATAAATTGTAATGTTAAAATTTGATGGTATAATTTTTTTTAAACTTTTTGTCGTTGCTAACTAATTGTAGCTCCAGCAACATATGTCATACAATTTCTAGGAAAGTACATACAAGATCGAGAATCTAGAGCTAATAGTTTGTATGCAAAATTATTAACTTTTAGAAAAGCTCGAATGTAACTTGATATTTGACATGTTTTTTAAAAAAAAAATCCTGACGTGATAAAGGAAATGTAATTTTTCATTTGGATCGAGTGTACCAAAATATAAATAACTATGGTATTTCATTTTTCGCGAGAGATAGTTTTATATAGGGTTGAATAATTTCTGTTCAATCTATTACAAACCGTCATCTAAATCATCATTTTCCTCCACGCTTTCTTGTGATTCTTCATCATCCTTTCCATCATGCTGTGGTGGAGCAGGTTTCTTTTTATCAATAACCTCAACGTCAGTTCGAATCCTTTCAAAAGGATTGTGTCCAGTTTGAACATGCATCCTATCGACAGGTCCATTATTCGGATTAAAATGTAACTGCGGTTGGTTCGTGAGAAACTGATATGCCCCAGAAGGATGTACAAAGTCACTTCGCGAATGTGCCGGAATACTCGCTCCTTTATATTGCGGAAATTGAGGAGTACTACTTGATGTTTGAACCGGCAGAATCTGACGTTGTTGCTGAAGATCCTGAAGAGTTAAAAACGGTTGATTTCTACTCTCCGTTCCGAAATCAAAAGGAATTCCAAAATTCGGAGCTTGAAAATTAAAGCCATTGTCAGTATTAAATAAAACCGGTTGTGACTCCTGTCCTTCAATGAATCCTGAAAATTGTGTATTGTGTGTTGGCAAGGAAGTAGATAAACTCTCGTAGGATTGAGACGATGGCGGTAAATTGATTTCAGTCTGATGAGTCGGTGAGAATATTTGTTGCGAATTTTGTAAACCCACGTGCTGAGTATTTTCAACTGCATTCTGAGTTGGGGGATTTAATGTTCTAAAAGAATTGCTATTTAGATTTTGAAAGGAATTTTGAGCGAAAGGTCCTTGATCGAATAGGCTATTTTGAAAGGAGCTTTGACCGAATCCTTTGAAAGTTTGATCAGAGGATGTAAACTGTGATCCGCCATCAACGAAAGGAGAATCGAATCTGTCATGAGGTGTTGTAACGTAATTGATTGGTGTTGCTGAACTACCAACGTATTCTACATTTGAGTCACTGTAAATAGGTCCATTTGAGGATAAATCTTTGGAATTACTATTATCCTGATTTTTGGGATATTTATAATTCTCCTTAGAAGGAGAGTCATAAGATTTAGCCCTTGAATTCGATGCCTGGGGTCCATAAACATTGGAAAAATCTCTATATTCCTTATTTCTGCCTGAACTATATGGAGGACTTCTTTTTGCATTACTAAAATCGGGTTCGAAAGAACTTGGCTTTTTTGTTGTTGGCTCATCGCTTTCAAAATTAGAAGGATCAATGTTATATTGAGTATCTTCCTCCTCCTCCTCTTTATTTTGTGTCTCTTCCTCTTCTTCGAAGGATGTGCTCCCGATATTGAAAGCTGTATCATCATTAAAGTTTTCACTGTCAAGACTAAAGGTTGGTGTATCTACATCAAAAGAAGAACTTTCCTTAATCTTAGGACTAACGATACCAAAACTAGGATTATTTTTTATTCCCGAATCTTCAATACCAAAAGAAGTTGATTTGATATCAATGTCATCAATATCAAACTCATCTTTATTTATAGGTCTACTGTCTCTAAATCCTGAAAATGAATCTGCATAAATGCCTCCAGATGGTTCGTCAAAAGTTGAAAGAGAACCGCCAAAGGATGGACTGTCTTGTCTTTTACTGATATCAGTCGGAGTATTAATGGATTGTTTCGATGTTCTTCGATTTAATTTTGATGTTTGTGATTCATTGGTTATTGGTTTCGTTAGATCAATGACTTTTGAAACTGTGTAGGTGATTGGTATTTTTGTTGTTTTATTGTAGGTATATGAAGATACTAGAGATGCTATCGAGAGCAACATTATCTTTAGGATCTGCAAAATATTCATAATCTTTATCAATTATAAAATTCAAACTATAAAAAAATCGAAATGATAAATTAGCCATTTATAAGAATTTAAGAATCAAAAAAATGTATATTGAAAGAATGTGTCTGAATTTTCGGTGATATCAAAGAATTGAATCTGAGTTGTTATTATTGTAGACATGTAACACTTATGCACATAACACATTATTCCAGAATACACTTTTTTAAATCCAGTTGTTCTAAACACTAAACATATGTACAATACGTAATCACTCAAAAATATATAGAATAAAATTTTTAGTTTGTTAAACGAAGGAATAAATTATCAAACTAACAAATTAAAACTTTAAAATTTTAAAAATATATTTAATATTTATTTCTCTTGTAATGGAAAGATAAGTGAAAAATCTTCACGTACTAGCATGGTATTCATTTAGACGAGTTGACAGATACAAAAGTTTAATCCTAACTGTACTGTGCTTAGGTTTCGCTTTCTTTTATATTCTCTGTTTAGTGGTGCGAAACAATTTGAACAAATTACACTTTTCAGAAAGTGACAAAAACCAAGGCAAAGAAAAAAAAAATGCCTAATCTCTTTGCCTCTCTCTTTATGGATGTACGACATAAACCAGCCACGCCATTGGCACCTTTATGCTTTGATTTAAATTTTTTCAGCGAATTAATATTTTATCACCTCCAAAGGTGGTAGACTACTTTAGTCGTGAAAAATGTCTATTATAAAACTATGATTATGGGTGGTTTGTGGTTTACTTTCAACTTCTCCATTATATTTCATAACAAAGTACTTCCTCGACATTAATAATACAATTTTTTTTTTGAAATAACAAGAATAAATGAAAAATAGAACAAATATTTCGTGATAATGTCCGCTACTTTAGATCCGCTATTTTAAAATTTTTAATTTTGCAAAATCGAATATTTCTCAAAGAGTGGCCTATTTTCAAAATATAAAAAATAGTGTTTGATAAATTTTTACTTTCTATCATTTTGACAAGTTTGAAATAAATTTGTGTTTTATAGGAGGAAATTTTCTTTGTTAGTCAAAAGTATCTGCAAAATAAAATCAATCAATATAATAGTTATGTATATTTGAAAGTAACAGTATCACATAATAAAACCTCCCTACTTTCTTCAAAGTTTTTTTTAAATGAGCTATAATATTTTAAAGATTTGTTACCTTCATGTATAAAAACAATTTACTAAAGTTAGAAGCTAACACCAACAGCATCTGGATATTAAGGATTCGTGCATGAAAACTAAATATTTTGCCCTTTGAACTCATATCTCTGTAATTAACTGTTTTAGAGAAATTCCATTTGTGTCAACTGCACTACTTGTCAACCGCACCTAGTCTCCTCTATACGCAAGGATGATGGGTAATGTTTAGAATCGTACCTAAATATGACAATATTATAATACAACAATTTTTAAAGCGTTTACTCTATAGAATGAGTACGAAATATTGAACCCTACCTGACAATTTTAATATCAAACCCCTCAATAAAATACTTTTTAAAACTTCTAATTTTTTAAATTTTTAATAATTTTAAAATTTTAAAATTTTTAATTTTTTTTAAAAATTTTTAATAACTTTTAAATAACTGACCATCATGATGACAGAATGTTGATCATCATATACCAAAGATAAGTCCTTATTAATGTTCATCAAACTTAAAGAAAACCCAAAATAGATATCAACAATTTTTCTAACAAACATGATTTTTGGATTCTTGGTCAGAAACAGAAAATTGAATTTTTAAATATCTAGTAAAACAATGCTTCGCTGAAGAGTAATATAATATTATTATAATACAACAATTAAGTAAAGAATTATTAAAATTTTTTTTTTACACTTTTAGTGTCATAATTTTTTGAAATATAAAAGGCGAAATATTCCAAGTGAATTCTTGCAACGATAATTTGAAATGAACTGGAAATTATAATTTCCTGTTCTATAGTAGCTGCTTTAATTGCTTTTAGAGTTTTAGGATAATAATGAATGATGTAAACGAAATTGTTTTCTAGTTCATGATTAGTTTCGTCAGTGATATTTACTGGTATTGTAATAATATTAGTTTCTGTAGATTAACGGTTCAGGTGTTAAAAATTTCGTGATTTATGAATCGTGCAAGATTCACGGGTAATTAAATTTCGTGAGAATTCATGCGTGACAAATCTATTTCACTAGGTGTAAAAAAAAAGTTTGAATTTATGTGAGGTAACATTGTCAGGACAGAAACCACAAATGTGTCAAATTTATAGATGAGATAGTATTTTTTTTAGTAATCGACCTTTAGTGTTAATTGATTTTAATTTCACTTTCATTTAATTCACAGCATTTGGATTTGTAGCAATATTGATCTCATTACTTCAATCCTAGCAAACATATAGATGCGTCTGTGTATTTTTTTAGTTAAAGTTTATTAAGAAAACTTATTAATAAAATAGTTTAGATTTGTTAAAGTTAAAAGGCTTGAAGAAAGAAATGATCATATATTAAATATAATATTTAATATTAAATAATTTGTCCCCAGGTAAAAATGATTCGTACGAAATTCGTACGTATTTCGTTCCGAAATCCGTCCAGATTCGTACGGAATTCCTATCGAAATTGGTATGAAATTACTAGCGAAATTCGTGTGGCGTTTTGAAACGTTTTTTCGCACGAATATTCGTGCGAATAATACCCGGATTTTTTAAAATGGATTTTCAAGAAATATTTTTGTTCGGAAATCCGTATGGAAATTCGCAGGGAATAATTTTTGACAATTTCTTCAAAAATTTTCGGTCTAATTTCCATACGAAATTCGTACGAAATTCGAGCGAATTACGAACGAATTTATTTTGAAAAACTTTTATAAAATTCTGCTCGGAAATTCGTATGGAATTACGCACGAAATGTCAGCCAAAAATTTCCTCAAAAAATTCGACGAAATTTCCATACGAAATTCGTACGAAATTCAAGCGAAGAATGAACGAGTGTATTTTGAAAATTTTCTATAAAATTCTGCTCGGAAATTCGTATGGAATTCCGCACGAAATGTCACCTAAAAATTCCCTCAAAAATTTTCGACGAAATTTCCATAAGAAATTCGTACAAAATTCGAGCGAAGAACAAACGAATGTATTTTGAAAATTTTTTATAAAATTCTGCTCGGAAATTCGTACGTAATTCCGCACGAAATGTCACCTAAAAATTTCTTTTAAAATTGTCAGCGAAATTTCCATATGAAATTCGTACGAAATTCGAGCGAATTACGAACGAATTTATTTTGGAAATGTGGCCGAAAATTTTAAAAGAAATTTTTGGCTGACATTTCGTGCGGAATTCCGTACGAATTTCCGAGCAGAATTTTATAAAAATTGACTAAAATAAATCCGGTGGTAATTCGCTCGAATTTCATACGAATTTCGTATGGAAATTTCGCCGAAAACTTTTGAGGGAATTTTTAGCTGACATTTCGTGCGGATTCCATACGAATTGCCGAGCAGAATTTTTTAAAAATTTTCCAAAATAAATCTGTTCGTAATTCGATTGAATTTTGTACGAAATTCGTAAGGAAATTTGTCCGAAAATTTTTTTAAGAAATTGTCAAACGAATTTCCGTGTGAATTTCCATACGGATTTCTGAACGAAACATCTTTTTTAAAATCCATTTTAATAAATCCGGGTACTATTCGCACGAATATTCGTGCGAAAAAACGTTTCAAAACGCCACACGAATTTCGCTAGTAATTTCATACGAATTCGATAGGAATTCTGTACGAATCTGGCCGGATATAAAGTGTGAAAATATAATAAGTATAATCTAGACTTTAGTTTTTAAATAAGGAGAATAAAAATAATATTGCCATTAAAAATAATTAATCAAATTAGGGATCTGGATAAAATAACTTGACGGACGCTCATACACACGCTCTAATGTCAGTAGGGAAGCAGTGCCCTGAGGCACTCACTGGTACTTGACTGGCGTTATGTTATCGTGATCATCCGAAAGATAGTTGACTTATTTAATCCAATTGATAATGAAAATATACATATGTGTCAAAATTTTTCAAAAATAGCACTTTGAAAATAGTTTAAAAATTATATTCATGGCATGAACTTTTTTTTTTGTTTTCTTAAGCAGAAATTTGTTTATTATATTAAGGAAGCTAAATGGTCATGAAATGAACAACTTTTGTTTAGAATTAACATAAGATTTATAAATGTTTTAAAAAATTTACAATTTTTACATTACTTGGAGGTTTATTGGGTTTCTGATAATTAGTATACGTCAGATTTCAAGAATTATAATGGCGAATCCGGTATATCGAAAAAAAATTTAAATTTCAATGATTTCTCGAGGATTTTCAAGGTTTCTGATGACAAATATAATGTTAGATTTTAAAAATGGAAAATGGTGAATCGAATACATTGGTTAAAACTTAAAACACCCGAGAAACGAATTTCAATCACATTCATCTAAATTTGATTATTTTTGTCAATCTTATTTGAATTATTTTTTAAATCTGTAGACTGCGTGGAGCGGAAGCCCCAAGAAGAAAATCGTTTTTCAAGAACTGCTCTGACGGCGCCATTTTGTAATAATTTTCAATAAAAAATTTTTTTTAATCTTCAAAACCAAAAAAAATCTTGAAGTTAAACGTTTAATTCAAGCCTCTTGTATTTAATCACAGCAGTCCAAAAAACACTTCAAACAAAATATGTCACTAAAAGTATCAATAAATAAATTCACTTTGTAACAAAGACTGTACTTAAAATAAAAATTTTTACCAAAAATTAACTATTCTTAATCAAAAATCTTTGTTTAAAGACACGCTTAAATTTGAAAGTTCGAGAGTAAAAACTTTTCTGTGCCATATGAGAATGTGATGAAAATTGGGCGTGTTTCTTTTTAAAATCTAGTCGCTTAATGATCAATTAAATATATTAAATTCATAAATGAATTCTTATATTTTAATTAAGAACGAAAAACATTAATCAAATAATAAATAATTTTACATTTAGAAGAATTAAATGCACATTTTTAATTTGAAGAGAAAAGAATAAGCTAATGAGAACACAGGACATCTATTCGTCATAACTAATAGGATAGGTGATAGGTGATCCGCATATCTACAGCTTCTTCTCTTACAGTCCTCAATAATACAAAAAGTATTTAATAATAGAATAAGAATAGTAGTAAAATAGACGATACTAAATTATTATAATTAATTTCATACGATTTTTTAACAATACCAATAAATTTGGTGTAACAAGCAGGCCGGAAAGATAAATTTGGATTAATTTATTAACTCATACTATAATGTTAGTGGAAGAAACCAACCCCGCGTACCTATATATAGGAAAAGCATTTTCAGTGAAAGTAACTATCGGCTTCATTTTATTTCATTTTATTTATTTTAAGCCAATATACAAAGATGAAAGATTTGTAATGATTTGAAGTTAATTTTGCTCTAATTAAACAATTAGCTTAATTTATTTCCTATGTATGTGCATTTTAAAAATAAAACATTATTTAAAATAATAACGTAGTCTTCAAACAATAAATGTCATTTTAAACAAGCGCTCTTTCTATTTTATTTTGTGATTTACTAAGTTTTAAAATAATTGCTCTTGTGAATAATATTTTTTTATTTATAGGAGCCATAAAACTGCCAACGTCAATCGATAATTTGCTTATAATAATTTTATAAATACCTAAACAAAATGCGATACATCTGAACCAATTGGTATTAACAGTTTTTAAAAATTTTACATTTTGTGATAATTTGTTGAAACAACTACTTATTGTTGAACAATTGGAAATTAAAAACAAAACAACAGTTATTTCTTCTTTTCAATTTGCTTATAACTAATGTATTTTTTCTCGTTAATATTAATAAATATTATTAAATAAATTTTAATAAATATATAATAGATAATAAATTAATGAAAAAATTAATAAAACATATAAAATATAAAAATTGAACAAAAAAACTAAAAACAATAAACTATTAATAGCATCATTCATTGTTTATACTTTTCAACCTATTTAGTCTCTAATGTTCAAATGAAAAAAATTTCTTCAATTTAATAATAAAAGACTATCAAATAGGCATGATGCCAGAAAACAATTTTTCAAAATTCAAAATAACATAAAAAAATTCTACTTAACTTTTTTTTTAACTTAAATGCTTCAGTAAAAAAAAGTGATACTATTACAAGAAAAACTATTATTTTCTAATGTTACTTAACAATATTATAAATAATTTACTTTAATAAATTAAAAGCAATGAACCAAAGTAGGTAATAAAATAAAATTATTTTAAGCAATCGTTTTGTTTTTTTGCTATCAGAATTTTATAAACATTTTGTTTAAAAAATTTGCAAACTATCAAGTGCAACAGTAGAAAAATATGATTTTTTATAATATATATTGTCCTCTAATAATCAAAATGTTTATTGATGGTATTAATTTTCATTTAGCATTATTTGGTGATATTTACAATTTTTATCCATTTGTTATTACAACTAAACATATTAATATAATAATTTTTCAAAATTTTAATTTTTACTAATAAATTATTCGTTTAGGACAAAATTAGTATTTTAGTTAGTTAATTAGTTAGTAAGTTAGTTAGTAAATTAGTTAGTAAGTTAGTTAGTAAATTAGTTAGTAAGTTAGTAAGTAAATTAGTAAGTTAGTTAGTAACTAAGTTAGTAAGTTAGTTTAAAACTAAGTTAGTAAGTTAGTTAGTAACTAAGTTAGTCAGTTAGTTAGTTAGTTAGTTAGTTAGTTAGTTAGTAACAAGGTTTTAAGGTTTAACAAAGTTATAAACAATTTTGATAAAGAAAACTGTTCAGAGTAAAAAAAATTGTTCTCTCTTCAACACTAAAATTTTTTGTCATTAAAATAAAAACTAAAGGATCAAGTTTCTTTAAAATTAATAAACCATGTTAAGCAATATTATTAACTAGTTTTATAAACAATTTGCAAACTTTAAAGGACAATCGTAGAAGAAAGGTTTTTTAATTATATATTGCCCTCTTGACTTCAAAAATAGGTGTCTTAAATAAGTGGGACAAAATTGTCTAAGACACTAAAAGTGTCTTACTTTAAAACACTTTCGTATTTTTTGCCTGTGTTGAAATCAAAATGTTTGTTGAAGGTATAAACTTCATTTAAAATTATTTAGCAATATTGATTTTTATGAATTCCTTGAATATTATGGTACAATTCTCAGACAATTTTTTAGGAGTCTACGCAACACAATTTACAATATAGATAATAATTAAGTGTCAGAGCGTCGCTTATTGTAAATCTTAAATTTATAATCTTATATCTTATATTAAGGGCCAGTTTCACTAACTCTAAATTGAAAGTTAATCAATGATTATAAAGTCATTTTAATCACCCATGATTGGTCGGTTAAGGATTTAATCATTGATGAAATTTTAATCGCAGTTGGGTGAAACTGGCCCTAAGTAAATTTTTACGAAAGGACACTGACCATTTATATGTTAAGTAAATAAATATTTAAAAATGTTATAAACAAAATGGAAAACTTTAATTACTCGCTGTATGTGTTTCCCACTGTTTTTAGATTTAATGCATTAATTTTACTTAATTTTAAATGCTAATACCTACACTCATATTTAGCTAAAGACGATGATATTTATTTAATTAAGTATCTAATTTACCACCCAACGAATATTTAGCTAAAAAAACTATATTTTACTTAAAAACAATTTTTAAATTAACACAAAAGTTTATTTAAAAATACCCTATAATTAATTACGGGTTCTTTAAATAAAGTTTGATGAAGTAGAAAAAGAAGTACGTTGAACTTAACGTACTTCCTCTATATCACTTTTCTATCTTCTTATAAACGTATTATTCACGTTTTACTTTTTGCAGCGCGTTATATTATGCTGACAATCCAGGAAAAAAAACGAAATGATTACAAGCAAAAAAGAAATAAAATCCACTAAATTAAGTTTGTCACCTCTTACTTAAAAGTGTGAAAAAAAAAGTTATTTAAGTCTCTCATTGTGAAGACATTGGAGAAATTAGCAAAGAAATTGCATTAAATATTCGATATTTAGTAACCAGTTTATTTGGAGTTGAATTTCTCTTGGGGTTCGATTTGGTCTTTAAGAGCGCGCCACAACTTTTTGGCAAATGCGTCATCTTCTTTTACAAAATCGACAAGAGAATAAGCATTCAACTCGTTGTGCGGTGAAATTATACTGCGTCCTCCTCGCTCACGAGAAACCGAAGGCATATAAGGTGGGATGCTGTTGTCTCTACTTCATCAGTACCAAACATACAAGATTCATCTTCTGAGTCAGCAGGTTTAAGAATTTGTTCACCATGCGGTCCGCCTGGACACATGTAAGTTGCAATTAAATTAATTGTTCCTAATTCGCTTTCTAATCAAACTGTGCGTTCTAATTCCTTTAATTTACATCGCAACTCAATCTCTAATCTACGCGTCTTGATCACCTGTAATTTTCGGACTTTGTTTGCTCACTCTCTATGGACTCATTGTGCAGCCGTTTAGTTCTAACATTATCATTTACTGAATGTCTGACAATCAGCCAAGCATGCCAAACGTTAAGGGAACAACTTATGCATGAAGTTTACATTTTGCCTCGCATTTTGCTGCCATTCTTTTATTGTCAAGTTCACAGCATTCATAGAAAACTTCTCGAATAATCACTTACTAACTAAAACATAATTCAATTGTTTCGCTTTCATTCATAAATAACAATTCACTTAATATTTGAATGTAGATTTATATTCGATACATTAAATTATAATATATTCGATCATATTTGTATTCCTAAATAAATTATCCTAGAGATTAGAATGAAATTTTCAAAATCAGTGCCAATGAAACGTGATTGATTTAATTAAGTTTTATAACTTTATGTCGTTTGATAAAGAGTGTAATTAACTGACATGAATTAGTTGTTGATAATAGTAATCAAGTTTGTTAAAATTGTCGATTTACGGTTGAAATTAGTGCCATATATTACCATGAGAGACAAACTTGTTCAATATGAGTAATCCATTTGTGGGACACTAGGAAATCGCTGTTCCACTTTTGGTTTTTCCTTTCATAAACGAAATTTATGTGGTTTTCTAGTTAACCTGGTTATGATATCAGCCTAGAAATTTAATCTTCTTTTATAAGAATTATTCCTTTGATATTTATAAACAATTTCTTTACAATGAAACATTTCTTTTAGATTGAAACATTTCTGTTAGATTGAAACATTTCTTTTTGATTAAAACATTTCTTTTTTATTAAAACATTTCTTTTTTATTAAAACATTTCTTTTAGATTAAAAATTATTTTAGATTAAAAATTATTTTTCTTTCAGTTTTGTGTTCTTTATATATTTAATGAAATGTTTGTAATCAATAATTCTTTGCATATCAATGTTTCACTTTTTGTTTCTAACCTTTGATTATATTCTTATTATGTTTACTCAAATCTTCATTTTTATTCTCTTACTTTCTCTTCATTCCAGTACTACCATCACCGTTGCTCAAGTTTCTGAAAAACTTGTTTCTCTTTGATTCCCTTATCGCATTCAATCATCCTCTTTTTCGGCTACTATGCCCCACAACTTTTTCTTTCTGCTCATTCTTATAATTTTTTTCGTTATCTTCATTTCTCTATTTTCTTCTTTTTATCCTTCTTTTTATACTTTTAATTTTTATTCTAGTTTTAAATTGTTTCATTTTCTTCAGGTTCTATTATCAACTTCTATAATCTTTATCTTTTTTTCTATTTCTTAACTTTTTCCTTCATTACATTTTTCTTTTTACAATACAACTATACTCTGTTCTTTTTGTCCTTATATACATTTCTTTTCATCCCCTTTTTTTTATTTTTCATTATAGTATCACTACCACTTTGTTTCTTTCTCTTTCTGTTTCTACTTTTTTTAAATAATTGACCCTCAGTTTTTTTTTATTGTATTATTAAATTTTTATCAAATTTAATATGTTCAAATTTAATATGTTCTCCAAAAAATCATTTTTTAAATTCAAGACATTATAAATTTTTAAATATTACAATCTTAATCATAATTAATGGAGTTTATCAAATTAGAAATTTAACAATCTTCTTTATTTTTAATGTTTTATTGTAAATATTACATACATAGCTAATTTTATTATTTATTTTGAATAATATTCGCTCATATAAACGAATATTGCTATATACCTGCAAAATTTTAATATTTATCTATAACATGTATAAAGAAAACAAACAAATAAGAAAGGTGAGATGATATACATTATTAGGAGAAGAGTAAACAACCGTTAAGTTCCAATGCATCAATATTTTAATTACAAATTTAGAATAAGTGTTTGTATACTTTCTTCCACTTGATTAAATTTAGAATAAGTGTCTGTATACTTTCTTTCACTTGATCTGCGCTCTTCCGTTATTGTGCTCCTTTCAAAAATTTTTTATTATCATCTCTTCGACTTGTGCAAGTAATAAACCTAATTTAAATAACTTAAAAATAATCATCCAAGTAGAACGTAATATTACTTTGATATTACTGCAATGTTACATGCAATATTAGTAATGTTACGTGAAATATTAGTAAAGTTACATGTAACATTAGTAATGTTAAAATGTAATATTAGTAATGTTAAAATGTAATATTAGTAATGTTACAATGTAATATTAGTAATGTTACAATACCTACTATATTATTAATAAAAGTAAAATGTAATATTAAAGTATTGTTAGAGGTGATGTTTATGTAATATCTAAGTAATACTTTTGTTGAGACAACATTGACTCAACATTTTATTACATCAAGATTTTATTATATTCTAACTTCAATATTCAAAATTAAAAAAATTTTGTTCAAAGAAATGATTTTTTTGATAAAAATAAAAAAAAAATTTCTTAGGATTTTAAAAATCCTTCTGTCAGTTTTGAGATATTTAGGTATATGATAAATAAAGGTATAAATTTTTATCAAAATTTTTAAATATAATTAGTAATTTTTAAAATAATAGAATTTAAAAATTTTCTAATTTAAATTCATGTTGAAAACACTACAAAAAATCAATTTTAAAATAATTACAAAAAATAATTAAAAAAAAATAAAATTCTTCTTACAAAATTCAACTATGTTCAAAATTTAAAAAAATTCTCGTAAAAATCCCAATTGACTTTATAAATAAAAAAATTCTTCTCCAAATATAAAAAATATTAAAAATTTTTCCTAAGAATTCAATTATTTCCAAAAAATAATAAAATTTTTTAAAAAAATTTCAATTATTTCAAAGATTTTAATCAAAATTTTTTGTAAAGAATGTAATTTTTTTATAAATAATTAAATTTTTCTATAGGTAATTTAATTATTTTTTAAAATTTTAACAAAATTCTTTACAAAAATTCAATTATTTTCATAAATAATAAAATTCTTCTGACGAATTCAAGTATTTCAAAAAAATAATAAAATTTTTGTAAAGAATTAAATTATATTTATAAATAAGTAAATTTTTTTTAGGGGATTTCAATTTTTTTTTATAAATAATTAAATTTTTCAGGGGAATTCAATTATTTTTTAAAATTTTAACAAAATTCTTCATAAAAATTCAATTATTTTCATAAGTAAGAAAATTCTTGTGAGGAATTCAATTATTTCAAAGATCTTAATCAATTTTTTGAAAAGAATTGAATTAATTTCATAAAAATAATAAAATTCTTTTGAGAAATTAAATTATTTTTAACAATAATAAAATTGTTTGCAAAATTTGAATGATTTAAAAGATTTTAATCAATTTTTTGGGCAAGAATTCAATTAATTTTCTAAATAATAACATTTTTCTGAAGAATCTAATTTTTTTTTCAATTAAAATTGATGCAAAAATTTAATTATTTCTGTAAATAATAAAATACAATGTAGAATTTTAATTATTTTTTCATACAATTTTAAATAAATCCGCGAAAAGTGGAATTATTTAAAAAAAAATTTATTAAAATATATTTATAAAATAAAAAATCTGATGTAAAAACAAAATTCATTTTTTCGAAAAAATTTTTGAATAAAAATAATAGAATTTTTTAAATAATTGCAGAAATTCAATTATTTGAAGAAAAAATTCTTGTCCTAATTTCAATAATTTTTAACAAATTTTCTAATTTTAACGATTTTCAATATCTACTATTTTAATAAAATTTCCCAAAAATAATTCAATTATTTAGAAAAAATTGAATGTCTTAATTTCTGTGGAAAATCTTGTTCCAAAAATAAAATTATAAATATAAATTGTGCAAATATTTTTCTTCTTTTTCTAAAACAAAATAATAATTTTGTTCAAAAAATTGTGATTCATAAACAGAAATAATGCAAAATAAATAGATTTTCTATTTCTTAATCACAGTTGTTTAACAATTTTCTAATTTTCTTTAGAAGTAAAGAACAAAAATAATTTCAATTTGACAAAACATAATATTTAAGAAAATTTTAGTCTTTTAATGAAAAGATGTGAAAAAAATTCTGATGATTTCTATTTGTCATTAAAATTTTGAATTAATTATTATAAAATAAAAATAATTATAACATAATAATATAATATGCATACAATCTTTCTAATGTTAACAAAAAATAAAAGTATTTAAATAAAAGACAACTTCAGAGTGTGAGGGACAGAAAAAGTGAATGAATGAAAGAATGAAAGAACATTCAAATTAATATAGTTAATTAGTTGCAGTTGTGTTATATTTTCGATTAATTAGCAGTTTTTAAATATTTTTTTTAATTCCTAAATTTACTAAACTGACTTAGCTGTGAAACTTCCTCACTGAGATAGGGTACTAAAACTATAGTTGGCCATGTATGACAGCACCACGCATAACTTTGAAAAGTTTTCAGTATATGTTTAGACTGTGCTTGTATTATGTGTTTCCTTCTTTACAATTTTGTATTTCCCGCGGGAAACAAGGATCTCTTCGCGTCCGTGTTGGCTATTGTAGCATTTTTCATAGAAGAAGGAAGTCATTAAAACAAACAAATAACAAGTATCAAAGAACTTTTCTTATTTTCGTTGAAACTTGGAACATTATTTCTAAGGTAAGTTAGTTTCCTTAAATATAAATATATGAAAAACAATTTATTATATGTAATATTATTATAAGAAAAACAATTATAATGGTTTCTACTGTTAATGTCAAAATATAAGTTTCAAAGAAGTATTCTTTTACGGTTATATTTTAGTAGTGCAAAGTGTTAAGTATGGCACATTTAATAAAAATTCAAATATTGTTGTACTATTTTTGTATCAGCAATTTCTTTTTTTTTTTTTTTTGCTTGCAATATTTCATTTCATCCTGATTTAGCTTTAGAAAATGTTGATTATACTCACAAGTTGCTTGTCAAATTCTTTAAAAATCAGCCGTCTACTTTACGGAGAAGAACACAAGTCATTAATCATCGTAATCTTATTTATTTACAAGATAATGTTAAATATGCGTAAAAACCCATTTGACTTTTAATTCCGTATTTCTATTTGAAAGTTATTTAGAAAAATTGAAACGCATAATAATATTAATATTAAAGTAATATTAAAGTAAAATGAATTACAAAGTATGATAATTTATAAAACTGATTATATTACAGATTGGCATGAAGAAGAGCATGAATCCCTTATAGTTAAATGAAGATAAAATCCAGTCTGATGTTACTAAATTGGCAAACGCATTTAGTAATGAAAAATATAAACTAACATGTATTCGTATAATTTAAAATTTTTCATTACTTAATCTCGTTTTCTGAGCTTGGAGTTGAAAACAGCAATTCTAGAAGAGGTACTTAATTTAACACTCTGAGAGAAGTGCGAGACTTCAGACGCGCAGCTATATATACCTTAGTCTTTGCTTTTTTGCTGGGTGGAACTAAAGCTGTCTCATATTCTGGTGATTTAACGCCCTTAATGCGACGTCTCAATTTGTAAGCTATTTAAGTACCGCTACGGGGCATCACACGACTCACAAGGGAGCTCAGCGTTCCTGAATCGTTGGTTCATATGAGAACCACAATTAATACTCTCTTTGGAAGTCTGAAGTTCCTTGATTCTCTAACTGTACAGTTTGTAATTTATTTTCTAAAATATTTTTGTCACAGGTAAAGATATAGCAAAGAAATAATTGTCAGTGATTTAATTTAAAAACTCAAAAAAGTTAATTAAGGTAAATTTAGCAAATTAAGGTAAACTTAGCAAATTGTGGTAACGTTTCCAAGATATGTTGACGCAACATTGCATGGTAATTTTAAAATACATTATACTATTATAATAATTATATATTAATATTATATTCATGTATAATATATCGAATTCTTATTGAAATTATATCTTTTTCTTTTAGATGCATTTTATACAAAGAGACCAAACAAAACCACATTTGAAATTATAAGCAGGATGAATGGTTGGCTGTCAAGGGTCATTGATTGAAATGGTGGGCACAGAGAAAAGAACAGGAAGAAAGTTATTGCAAGCGAAACTTTGGACGTCGAACGCGCAAATCTGCTTTGTAAAATGTTAAATGTATTGTAAAAAGAATGTAAAATGTTTGCTTGTCATGCATTAATATCAATAACGTTTTGTTCCTTTTCAAAACTAATACTTTGTTATTGAAAAATAAACAAGAACTTTTTTTTAAAAATTGCAATTCAAGATTTCATGCTAGACCCATACTTGTCACTAAAATTAGTTAAAAGTCACTGTTTAACTGACAATCACTGAGACTGATTTTTAGTTTTTGCAATCTGTAAAAATAACTGATTGTCATGCTTTAATTACCATCAGTTATATTTAACTAAAAGATTGTGAGATAAAAAAATAGTTAAAGAGATTAAAGTTGATGATCATAGTATTGTTAAGGAATTTGGCCATTTGTTCAAAAATACTGAACTACTGAATACTAAATACTACTAAATACTACTAAATACTATGAATACTGTTTTTTTCATGTTCTTAATTAACAAAGTTATAAGTACAATTAGCTAACTTTTGAGCGAGGGATCAATATAAATATGAAGTACAATCACAAAGTATATATGTAACGGGCAGAATTTGTCGAATACTGTTTTTTCCCCCAACAGGACAGATATTTACTGTTACTGGTACGCGTAATTGTGGAGAAAGTGTTTCCGATTTTCTATCATATACGGAACCGTATCTTTGTGATTCACTCAAGTCACTTGGAATACAAGAGACTGAGCAGATGCTTTTAAGCAAAATAGTGAAAGTTTTGTACCCAGAATAACATTTTAAATATCTCAACTCACCTCCGTTTGTTAGATAACCAGCGTCTTCATTCAAGAATCTTTCTTTTTTGATAATCTGACTATATATAAGAAAAAAGGATTCAAAAAGGACACGAATTTTATTGACATATCCTATCTTATTATTACGTATTAATAGACACTTGGGACCTTATTTAGTAGTGGTTAAAACATTTATGTGGATCCTAGGTATAAAATTTGTTATCCATTATAGAAGTTAATCAATAAAGAAAAATACGAAAGATAAAGGAACATATTAAATCTATTATTGAGAAAGCAAGAATAAATTACTATTAATCTCTTTTCCTTTTGATACATCTTAATATTTCAAGGTCCAGTAAAGCTGACATACAATCAGAGTCAAGGCTGCATCATAGTTTCAAAAATTTTTATATTAATACAATGCGAAAGTATTACAATAGTCGAAAATGATTTTTGCTAATTTTATGAAATCTTCACGTATTAAGTTGTCCAGAATTTGGAAATCATACACAAACTAATCTAACTTTTTAATTGTAAATATCTTATTAACATTTGTCAACTAAAAAATCAGATCTCGAACTTTAAACGTTTATTTAAATGTTAAAAATGAATTAAAACTTATATTTAAAGACGTTTCCACTTTTCCTATACAAAAAGTGTTGAAATACATTTTGCACTGATCAAAGCGTAACGGTTGCGTAGATCTGAGTTTGTTCTTTTCAATTTTAATCTAAATATATTATAATACCTCAAGTGATTTCTCTATAATTTTTGTGAACATAATTAAGATGTTTATTAATCATTTACATGTATTCCAGTCTTGGAAAGTAAAATAATGCTTACCGCATATTTGATAAGTTAATTTTGTTAAAGCATTAATGACTAAGTTGAACTTTATTTGCAGGTTATTTGCACGCTACTGGTTGTCGGAAGAACTCAGGCGCTACGATCACAATTGCACGAGAGTGAAAGGAAAGCAGGGGTCGAAGACATCTCGAATCACGATTCTTTACTTGACCTTGATAAAGAACTCAAGTATGACCTCAAGAATAAAAACATTTCCGTTCTGCCTCCGATATTTCTCTTTGAATATACGAACGGTACCAACGTGACAAATGATGATAAATCAAAAAGAACGATAGATGGAGTCCTAGGTTATGGTTTTCAATCAAATAATATTAATTCCGGTCATTATAATTATTATTTTCCCGCTGGTAAGTCCGGAACGTCAGTCAGCATTGAAGAATCCATCAGTCCATTTCTACCAAAAACTATTGTTGAACCTGAAAATAATTCCGAAATTCAATACGACGGTGATAGACAAAAAAATTATTTCGTTAATCAGAAATCGAATAGTAATTCAAATCAGGAATTACCGCATTATGATCAAACACAAGCATTTTTTAGACAGAGGACAAAGTTGCTAAAAACATCGGCTGATTTGGAAACTTATCAAGAAGCTCCAATAATTCCGAATGCTCAATTAAGTACGTATACAACGGAAAGTCCGGGACTTTCGGCCTACAACTCGTTTTCAACAACTGTAAAGTCAAATTTGGAAGTGACCACTTACTCTGGCCAAGAGAATAATGGACTAACAGAGAGTTCAACACCAGAATCACTTTTGGACATCACGCCAGCTGCATATCGAGCGAAATATCGATTCCGTCCTTACAGCAATCCAAGGCCTTCAGCTTCCGAACACAGAAATCCTAGTCTTCAGGAAGATTACTATTCTGAACCCGAGCACGATTTAAGTAGCTATCCCAAATACTCCGTGGAAAATGGTGTCAAATACGAACACAAAATCGTTTGGAAATATCCTGATGGAAGGGTCTCTGATACACCTCCAACTTCCTATGTCACCTACTCGAAACCTACTCCAAAAACGGTTACATCTTCTAATTTTCAAACTAATACTTATAAAGAAAAATCTAACTTTCCACCAATCACACATAATTACAATCCTAGTCAAGCGATATACTCTCAAAAACCAGCACAGTTTCTGAAAGATGACACAAAATTGAAGAGTAATCAATATCCTCAGTCTGCATTTACAGATTCAAATTACGAATCAGGACATGCGGATTCTCCATTACCAACTCATAAGATAGTTTATCAGAATTCCTTCAATATGAAACCAGGCACAAGGCATCGTTTTTCATCAAATTTAGGCCATCGTCTAAATCAGAGAATTTCGTACAATTCCGCGAAAACCGTTAGACCAATTTCCAAGTATGCCATTAATAGTCCAAATCCAGAGTATATTGAGACAACAGAAAATCCTGGAAAAATTGATTCGGAAAAAGTCACAAACGAAGCTCAAGATTATTTCAACAAAATGTATAATGAAGCAAAATTTCCGAAAAATAGTTACGGCCATAAAATTGCCGATCCTCAATATGATGATTTATTGAAGTATAATCCGTCAATTTCACAGTACATCAAGAATCCATCGTCGATATTGAACGCTCAGCCGACATTTGTCCAGGCTGGAAATTCATTGATTCCGGTGATAATTCTTCGTGTTGACGGTGCGCCACCAGTACGACAGAAAGCAACTCCCAATATTAATTTGAAGGCTTTATTGCAACAATATCTAACGCAATATGCACAGAGTCTCAATGAAATGAGTAAGGATTCATCCTACGATTTAGGAAATGATTATGTAAGAACAAAATCTAAGGAAGGAAATCCCATTTCGGATTTGACGGAATTCACTCAGAATTTAAGTCAGTATTCTAATAGTCCGGATATTGCTGCTGGATTTCAAAATAAATTTACCCATAATAATCGTTATGACAGAAGACATTATCAATCTAGTAATTATGTTCCGATTATAAAGCAAGGTCAACGATTCATGGAAGATGAGGCTAAAATGATTGAGACCGTTAACAGATATACGAGTCAGGGTAGGAAAGCTCAGAAAATAAAGAATGTTGAAATTATCGATGATCCGCGATACACAACTTATCATAGAAGCTAAATTTTTCGAGAATGGAAGATTTTAATTTTTTTAAATAGATTAAAACTGAAAGAAATGTTTTTTTATTTAAAAAAGGGACTTCGACGTTTAAAATTTACTGGAAAAATGTTTAATTTGTGAGAGTATTATTTTTCAACTGTTCATATTTTCTTTTAATTTTAAGGCAATCGACAATTCAAACAGATAAATTAGTTCTACTGTCCTAAATTTTTTGATTCAAATAATCAATTACACTGGAGATGGAGTGCTGCTCGAGAGGACACCGCTCGAGTGAATTCACAAGTAAACCTATACCTAATTGTAATTCTACGATTTTAATGAAACTTGGTACTTTCGTAGAACCCACAGAAATAACAGGATCCGTATTTTTTATATCTTCCAATCATAAAAGTTTAAGGGTTGGAAGTACTTCTTGTATTGACGAAAATCTTCAAAAAGAATGAAAATGCGCAACACAATAAGTGAAAATAATTTCCATAATTCTTTTATGTAGGATTTTTCTGGATCATTTATTTTGAACATAAGATCCAAAATCAAAAATTTCAAATAGCGAATCTAAAAAGTTAAGATATGAGAATTATAGAAATTTATTTCTCTAAGTTTTTTACTACACATGTACTTATTTTTAATAATTTTTTTTTGTTTGATCAATTCAGGGGATAGTTTCATAAAAATCGTCGTGTTACATTTGCATTTGTCAGTAAGCAACTTTTTTGACTTAGAAAAATAATTTTGCCTTTAATAAAAATTTAAAGTGTTATTTACTTTTTGTGATAAATTTTTATGTTTTGAATGCATAGAGAATCCCAGACGAGGGTATAGAGGTTTAACTCTCCTGCGCATAAAGCCGAGTACAATCGTCCCAACTAAACTGTAACTGTATGCATAAGGACGAGTGCTGTGTCGCTCAATAACTTTTGCCCACCCTACTGCAATTAAGGGCATTATAGAAAGTTTTATATTTTATTTTCTGTTGAAGTTACGAAAGTCGAAAAAGGTCTCATTAGAAAGCTCATTTTTTGAGCAAACAAACCAATTTAACATGTTATTTATGTAATTGTTTTCAATAATTTTGACTTTCAAATAATTACAAAACTTTTAATTGTTACTATAATGATCATATTTTAATAAGTTTTGACATTAAATCTCAATTTCACAATGATGAATGGAACCATGTGCTTGACTGCAACGTAATTATCTGTAATATTTTTCCTAAATTTAACACTTTTAAGTGTTATAAACACTTTTGAAAGTGTTTATGATTAAAATTTTCAAAGTGTTTATATTAATACTTTTAAGTGTTATTAAAAGGAATGATGATAAAGTTTTGGCCAAATTAACATACTGTATCAACGACCTAGTAAAAAATAAGTGTCAAACTAAAACTTAAGAAAGAAAGTTAAGTTACTCTGATAATACAGTATTCACATTGAAAAAAAATTAATTAACGAAATCAAACTAAATTTTGATGAATTTTAAAATTTAGTTAATGTTCTATTTAGATGAAAATCAATTAGAATTTAAAAAATTGACTTTAGATTGTTTCTAATATTTGATTCATAATTAAATTTCACTGACTAAGAAGTTATAAAAAGTAAGTTACAAATGTATAATTACAGTTATAACTTCTTTATCACAGCGACATCAGAAGCATGTCCTAAAGATTTCTGTCTAATACTCATTTTGATAAGCAGCATAAGCGAGCAAAATTGACCCTACTAGGTATCACTATGTTTTCTGTCATTACAAATTGGTTCAATTTGACACACAACATAAGTAAATCCAAGAATTTTTGTAATTCGGTGCTGAAGAGGTGAAATGAATTTTTAAAAAGTTGTTTATAATGTATATACACGTATGAACAGAATAGTTTCTTCGGTTGAAAATGTAAAGTCGTTCTTTCATCAAAAACTGTTTGTACGATAAATTGTGCACCACAATAGCCATCATGGTAGGATGCACGTCAATAAGACGCAAGGTACCGTTTTTTAAAAAAACCTTTTAGTAAAATATTTTAATAATTATAATTAAGCTATTATGTACTCATCTTATTTATCTATTTTGTGTACCTGAACTCACAGAAACTATTTCCTTACTCTGTTGAAAAAATAAGCATGCAATTACACTTGCAATATTATAATAATGTAATATATCATATCATTAAAAAATACTTGTATCTTCACTTGTAAATCCCGTTTCAAATTCACATGTGTAAAAAAATTTGTAATTTCACGTGCAATTTAACACGTAATTCATCATACAATTCTACATATAATAGCGCATGATATTACATGTGTGATTACATACATATTTTTCAATAGGGTAAAGTTAGTAAAGTATATGATGAATTTTCAAATAACTGACATTTTTGCGATAGATTAAATATTGATAATCTTCTATTTCATACAGAAGACTATATTTAATATTTTATCTCAAAATTTAATCTTTACTGTGCCATGTGAAGTCTAATTCTCATGAATTCAAAAATTTTCTTTTTCTACGTAGAAAATATGAAAATGATAAAAATATTGATTACTTTATGAAAACTGAATATTATATATCTTTAAGCAGAGACTGACATTTTATAATTTATATTTTTTATGGTAATTAACTCAAAAAAATTTCTGTAAGATTTTTAGCATTATGAACATGCAGAAATGATAGTTATTTGTAAATCACCAGTATCTGTGTTAAATTTGTCAACCTCTGTATCTATAATATAAGTATAATTGATAAGGTTTTTAATTTTTGACTACTTTCTAATCACGTATTACAATTTTGTATAACTGTTAATTTTTCTATTTGTTCTACAATTATTTTGCTTAATTAAAAAGATAAATGAAATAAAAAAAGTAGAATAATAAGCAAACTTACATTAGATTTTTTTTATAATAAAATTTTTTAATTATTAAGTTGCTGAAATAAGTGTTTGTGCCATGATGCATAAATTTGAAATTTACAATTAGATGGAATTCACTAATTTTCTTGACTTGTTTTTCATGATTTTAATCAATAAAATTGTATTGAAAATCAGAGAAAATGATAAAATCGTCATTAATTTTCCAATTTTCCACTGATGAAACAATTTACTAAAGCAAATACTTACTAACTTGTAGATTGAAATTGTGAAAAGAGAAAAAGAAATTAGTTTTTCGCTGTTTCAGTTTTAGATAGTATAGAATGGAAATGTGCAATTATAACGAATGTTAAATTATAATGATATTGTTAATTTTATACATTTTTACTGATTAATGATAATCTAGTGAGAAAAAGTTACGGGTACTTCAAGAAGATAACTAAATTTTTTGACATATCAAATTGTTACCTTCTCGAGAATATTTGTTAAAATACCTTTTTTGTATCTTTGCAATGTATATTTTGAATTTAATAATAAAAAATAAAAATGTAAAGAGTTTTTAAGTTTAATATATATTAGTGACATATTCCTCACTCACTAACTCTAATTTAATTACTTATTAAATTACTTATTAAATTATATTAAGAATATTTTTTATACACTGAGAGAAATGGATAGTCAGATTTTGATGTTAAAAAGATGATGTTACACGATACTATCATTATGCTACTGCCAACCATCACAGATGCTAAAAAAAATATAGTTATGCTACCCCTTACTACCAAGATGTTACTCCTGATGATATTGATGGTAACGGTGACTATCTAGATAGCTGTCTGTATACGTAGCATTAAAGATGGTCACCCTAACCACAATTATGTTACCCACTACTATAAATTTCTCTCCGTGTAATTTAATTATAGGTATTAAAGCTATAGATTTATTACAGTTATGTCGATGACACGATTATATGTATACACTATCTGAAGAAAAATTTCATAATGAAAACATGGACATTGCTTTTCGATTATTACAAGAAAATAATTTCCCTTATGACTTCATAAAGAATAATATCGAAAAAAGACTAACCTATTTGACAAATAAAACTAACAATAATACAATTATCCATAATTTCGACTTATCACGATCCTTAGTTTTACCTTAAATATGTTCAATATATTTCACAAGCAATAATCACATTATGCAAAAAATTAAAAATGTCAGTTATTTTCTCCATAAAAAATCAATTACAAAATTCTTCATTACCTTCATCCAAGGACAAAATCCCCAAAATCGAAAGCACAAATATGATCTATAGAGTTCCATGTAAAAATAATTGTAACAGTGTATACATTGGACAAACCAGCAGACAATTAAAAAAGAGAATCTATGAGCATAATTATTCTCAAAATAAAGATCACACAAAAACAGCCTTATGCAAATACCCACATAATTTTAAACATAAATTTGATTTTAATTGTAACAACATTAAAATTTTAGACAGTGCAAAATTGCAAATAATTCTAGAAAAAGAAATATCCTTGAAATGTATCACATTGTAAAAAATAGTAATGCCAAAACTTTAAGAACCGATAAAGAAGGATTATCCGGATTCTCCATAATTTACCACGATGTTATAGGCACTTTAAACTATTTTAATAAACATTCTACGTATATACCCAGATAACAATCGTGCGTCGCATTTAAACGCATGTTTCTTGCACTAACTGCGACTTACCAGATGAGTCGGTTCATATACGCATCTTACTATCGTCTGCGACGCTGGTAATAATGCGAGTGTTGTGAACTGCATTTCGTAAGCGCCTGTGATACAAAATGATAAGCATGTTCCGTTCACAAGTGCGACTTGCTAGAAGAGTCAATCCATACGCATTTTACCATCCACAGTGCGAATGCTGTGAATGCGTGTGCAGTGAACTGCACTTAATACGCACGCAATTAATGATGCGCAACCACCCGTATCGGCAATCACACATTTTATAATGGCGACAGCATTGTTTGTGGTGTGTTATCAAAATAAGTTTTTATTGTGATTTCATTTTTTATTGTTTTTATTGCGATATTATTGTGAGGAATTATTGTGGATTTAATTTTTAGTACTGCAGCAAAATAAGAAAGTTAAATTTAATTTGTTTAAAGTACATATATATTTTTGTTGTATTAGATATAACCTCAAAAAAAGAATTTGGAAGTTTTTAACAATTTCAATTCCAAAATTGTACTGAAATATTAAATTAAAATCGTTTTTATAAATAACATTTTAATTTAAAAAAAATTACTAATGTCAATAATCTTTTCTTTTTATTTAATTCAAATAAGGCTGAAGTATAAATATAATTTATTCGCATTATACCGTCACGCATGTGCCCATCACAATATGCGACAGTTATGGATCGCATATGATGACGCATCTGAGTGGTCCAGTGAACGCGCATAGTGCGGATAAATCGGCACGCGTGCAGATGATATTAGTAGCACACAACGCGCATTTTGTTATCTGGGTACGTTATTTGACTTGGAAAGTTATTTGACCCTTATCGACAAAAATTGTCATTTCGGACGCCCGGTGGGGACTATGGAAGCTATACCTATGTAGAAATTTCACTAAGTTTCCTTATCAAAAATTGAATTCCAGTAAGAATCTTGTAAGGAAAAATGTAGGGAATTGGTTGGGCCCCGGGATTGCAAAAATTTATTTCATCCAAATTTAAGAATTCTAATCATATAAAAATCACCTTAGTTCTAGTAGGGACTGCGGTCTACACATTCCTAAAGGATAAAGAATTTTATTGCAATTTTTAAGTAGAAGAACCCGTACCCGAACGCTATCAGACAATCAACATTTTGGTAAAAAGTCATTAAAAATTTATTTCTTCCAAATTGAATGACTCTAATAATCCAAAAATTACCTGAGTTCTAGTAGGGACTGAGCCCTTCGTAATCCTTAAGAATAGAGAATTTTATTTCAATTTTTTAGTAGTAGCAGGTCCACCCGAACGCCATCAGACAATCAAAATTTGGTAAAAATGAAAATGAAAATTTATTTCTTCCAAATTGAATGACTCTAAAAATCCAAAAATTACCTGAGTTCTAGTAGGGACTAAGCCCTTCGAAATCCTTAAGAATAGAGAATTTTATTTCAATTTTTTAGTAGTAGCAGGTCCACCCGAACGCCATCAGACAATCAAAAATTGGTAAAAATTAAAATAAAAATTTATTTCTTCCAAATTGAATGACTCTAATTATCCAAAAATTACCTGAGTTGTAGTAGGGACTGAGCCCTTCGTAATCCTTAAGAATAGAGAATTTTATTTCAATTTTTTAATAGTAGCACCCTCACCCGAACGCCATCAGACAATCAAAATTTGGTAAAAATGAAAATGAAAATTTATTTCTTCCAAATTGAATGACTCTAAAAATCCAAAAATTACCTGAGTTCTAGTAGGGACTGAGCCCTTCGTAATCCTTAAGAATAGAGAATTTTATTTCAATTTTTTAGTAGTAGCAGGTCCACCCGAACGCCATCAGACAATCAAAATTTGGTAAATATTAAAATAAAAATTTATTTCTTCCAAATTGAATGACTCTAATAATCCAAAAATTACCTGAGTTCTAGTAGGGACTGAGCCCTTCGTAATCCTTAAGAATAGAGAATTTTATTTCAATTTTTAAGTAGTAGCACCCTCACCCGTGTGACAGATATTAATTTAAAGACAATAAATTTGCATCAACTGCACAATAAAATATTAAATAAACAAAGGGGAGATTCCGCTTCGAACCCAAACCGATTGATGCGAAAACGGCGAGACAGAACGACAGGTTTTCTGAGATTAACTTGGACTTACCAAAGTCGAACGACGGCAGCAAAAATGAGACGACACAAAACACAACAATTATTAATAATAAAATTGACACGAATTCAAGTTAATGCTCGTATTTATTAATCACTGAGTTACACTCGAACTTCTAATTTAAATTTACGGCAAAGACAAAGTATTGACTCGTTAATTAATTTGATAAATGGAAACGAACTGTCTTTCAAACAAGCGATTATTATAATGACGCCGGCCGGCTTCCTCTCACGACACTCCCTCGAAGATCCAACGGACGAACTTCTAAAACGCTTCACCCATTGGACGCTGGAACCACCGCACAAGACGAAACCCAAAACCTCCAGCCCAATCACGAAATAACCGCGAATATTCAAATGTCAATAATGACCCAAAAGGAAATTATAACGAAATGCTTCGTTACAATCCCCTCTCCTAGGCCAACAATAATCCAAAAATTGTTGCCGATTAAACCCAAAATTAACAAAGAAAAACTACCAATTAAAGATAAGAAAATAAATGTATTTATTCAAATGAAAAACCTTCCATTAACCAATAATTAACTAATTTTAAATTACAAAAAATAATAAGGATAATTAAATGAAAATAAAATATTTCTTCAAAAATTAGTCAACACTTAACTTAAGAAAACTAATCAAATTAAATTAAAGAATAATGAAAAACCAAAATAATAATAAAAACCAAAAATAAT